CACTAGGGGCAGATGGAGAAGCCTGAGCATCACCCCCAGATCTTGGGCCAGATTAGGACTCTAGGCCTGTCTCCCCAAGTCACCTGTAGAAGACAGATATGTGGGTGCCCAACGGGGGGGGACTTATGGGAGACTGCTGTCCCAACATTTATTCCCTCCCCACCAGAGTGACAGAGCTGTGGATGTACACATGACTTCCCAGTGAAAGATCACATTTCCCAGCCTCCCTTGCAACTAGATGGGGTCATATGACCCAGGCCCGGCCAGGGGCCTGCAAGTACAGTTTGGTGTGGGGCTTCCAGCCAAGCCCTCCCTGCTGGCTGGAAAGTGCGCTGGAGGCAGAGAGAGGTGACCTCAGGTGCAAGTCAGCAGCCAGGTGTCCAAGACCGCCTGGTCCTCCATCAGCCCTGGGCACATAGTTGCCTCATGAGAGAGAAATACAAGTGTCTTATTTAAGTCGATATAGGTTTCATGGTTGACAAATTGAATCACACTCTGCCAGGGTCCTGAGGGACATGGAAGGAGACTCTTGAAAAAGACAGAGATATGGCAAGAGGCCTGCGGGGGCTGACACCAGCAGCTGGTACCTTGACTTGTGCTTTTTTTTTTTTAAGATTTATTTATTCATGCATACAAGAGCTGGGGTACAGGCCAGAGATGCGGGGGCGGGGGGGGGTGTTGAGAGGAATCACCAGAGACAGAGGGGAACAGAACAGGCAGAGTGACTGAAGTAAATTGCTGAGGGGAGCAGCAGGCAAGACAGGAGAGGTCTGCTTTGCCATGTGGGTTGCTCCCTGGCTGGCCAGGAATCGAACTCATGCTGCAGAGGCTGTGGATTGCTTCACAGTGCAGTGCTTAACCCCTTGCGCCACCAGGGAGGCTCCCTTAACTTGTGCTTTGATTTTGCTCCTTTCCTTGCAGACCTGCAGGCCCCGAATGCCCCTTCCCCATGGGCCTCCACCAGAAGGCGCCTTAGACAGTGACAAGCTTTTGGGCCTCCATTGTCCTACTCTGGGCCAACAATGTTTGGCTGGACATTTACCCACGAGGGGATGGGTAACTCTGGGTGCTTGACTTGGGTATTTTATGGAAAAACTTTTAAACTATATTATTTCCCTTCTCTCCTTTCCACTGCACCCTAATTATATTCAAGTTCTTTTCCATGGAGGGTCTTACACACCAAGAGTATGTTTGGTCTTTATGGGACCGATGGCAGAGCCCATTTAGAGGTGCAGGCTCGAGGTTGCAGAGTGCCCCTCCCCCTGCCTCCCCCTGTAACAACACTGGTCTTGTTACAGGTCAAGGAGAGGGGCACCCCAGAACCCCCAAAGCTGCCCACTCTACATAGGTCCTGTCATCTGCCGCATCAAAACAAAACATATAAGGCCTTTAATAAAAAGGAACTTTAATACAATCAGCATGCAATACAGAAAAGAGGGAGAATGGGGAAGAATATAGTTTCCACACCAAGCATCCGAAGTTACCCATCCCCTCCTGGGTAAATGTCCAGCCAAACAGGACTGGCTCAAAGCAGGGCCTCTGAGGCCCCAAAGCCTGCCACACATCTACGACACCTCCTTGCGGGGACCCATAGGGAAGGGGCAGAAACAGCCAGACAAGTCTGGAAGGAAAAGAGTAAAATCAAAATCGAGGTGAACTCTGCCATTGTTAACCTCCCCACGGGTCTCTCACCAACGTCTGTTTCACCCAGTCCAGCAGCAAGAAGCCAGTGCAGCTTCTCCACGAGTCTCTCTGCTCCGTGTGCCTCCTCCAGGCCTCCTTCTGGTTCTCCATCCTGCTCCTTCCTTCCCCATTCCCTCTCCAGCTTCCTCTTAAGTGGGTCAGGGAACCCTCCCTTAGGTGGGGCAGGGAACGTGGAACCTTCCCTTTTCCCGGAGCACCCCCTGTTACAGCCTCGGCAGTTAAGGAACATAGACCTACAGGCCCAGACTTTACAGAGTGGGACTAGCAGCCACTCACAGGACAGGATTTCAAGAGAGTGGACACAAGTGTGGCCCCCAGTGGTCCCCACACACCCTGTCAGCTCAGGTGTAACCTCCTGCAGGCCTCAGCTGGTACGAGCGAGGTGTGCGGCAGGTGGGCCCATCTCCGTGTGTGTGCTCGCGCGTGTGTGTGAGAGAGAGAGAGAGCACACGCTGACGTGCTCGCAACCACAACCTCACCTCACTGCACACTTTCTCAGAACGCGCCCAACGGTAAGCGCCACGCGGCTGTGTCACCCAGACACCTACGCCTCTGAGAAGCCACTTCAGAGCTGGGACTTGTGAGGAGTGTGGTTTTCAGGATGTGTTTTCGTCAAAGCTACTCCGAAGGCATGGTCAGCAGGAGCTGGGTTCCCAGGTGCCAGGGCAACTGAGCAAGGTCACGAAGCATCTAAGGCAAACGCAAAGTCAGGCCAAACCGCCCCACACGCCAGGAAGTCTCAGACTGACCCTCCGGAACACCGGCGCTGAAAAAGCTGCCCAGACCCCTCCACACCCGCCTCCAAGAAGGGGGGGGGAGAGTCACAGCACTGGGGAGTTTTTTCCTAATGAAACAAAACCAAAAAAAATCCCAAAAACGAGAAAAAGAAAGTACCTTGCCAAGAACTCCAAACTTTAGCAAAATCACTAACGTGTGTTTCCAAGTGGAAACACACTTCCAAGCCCCTCCAGGCACGTTCACAAGGTCGAGGGAAGAGAGAAGAGGCTCAGAAACAAAGGTCAGACTCTCACAGCTGTGGAGGTTGCAGGTCCCCATCCCCACTTCGCGTGAAGCTCTCCAGGAAGCTTTCCACAAAGCTGATGAGAAAGGCCCTGAAGGAGGGCTTGACCTTCCAGTTCCCGAGCATGACCGCCAATCCCACCCTGACCAGACTGCAGCCCTGGGTGAGTCACGGCCACGTTGGTCTTCCTTGCATGAGAAGAAAACTGGAAAAGAAAGAAACTGAAAAAGGGGTCCTGGAGCAGCCCCCTCAATTGGCTGTGGGAGGAGCCACACTTAGCACCAGCAGCTGTCAGCCTCTGGGTCAGGGAAACTCGAATAAAGGTGACAGGCTGGGTCTGACAGCCTATCTGTAAATCTGCGCTGCTGTTCCCTGACCTAAAATGGTTAAAATGATGTTCAAGATTAGGCCCCAGGCAGGCCCTGACATCAAGGCCCGTTGTCTATCTCCAAAGCGAGGGGCCGGTGTCTCACTCCCTGGTGTGCTGGGCTTCCGGCCTGGAGACACCCACAGCGTCTCAGCCATTGGCAGGGGCACAGCCAGGGCCTGGCGCGGTCCCCACCCCCTCTGTGGTGGACCTGGTGCAAGTCCAGGCCTAGACCAGCTCCTGACCGTGCTCGGTCCCGTGGCCTGCGCGCCCTCCTAGCTCTCCCCCCTCCCTCCCAGCCTCAAGAGTTTATCATTAATTTTCTCAAAACACAAAAAAAGTGGCAGGCACTCAAGAATCAGTAACATTCAATCGATAGCCGCTCAGTAATTATTTATCAGCATCTGGCCGGAGGCAGGTTTCGGTCACACCTGCCAAATGGAAGGCCAGGTGGTTTGGGCCTAGCTTGGGCCGAGGTCCCAGCAGCCTCCAGAGGAGGCTCATGCTTAGCACACAAGTTCAGACTTAGGAGCGCCCCTGTCCCACTGACACAGGTAAGGCCGAGCAGGGAAAGGAAGGAGCTGCCCAGGTCTCTCGCCTGGGGCTGAGCGTGCAGGCACCTGTTGCAGCCTCACTCAGGTGCAGGGCTTCCCGTGGGTTCCAGAGGCAGGTGGAGGCAGTGGTGGAGCAGACCACTCCTCCCCAGCCCGAGGAGAATGGTGGGTGGGGGAAGACAGGCCAGGCAGGGGCGGAGGTTTGGGGAGGAGGCCATGACTTGAGAAGAGCCCTCCAGTGGATTCTACATCACTTGTGCGCCGGGTGCAAGGGAGGACCTGGCTGGAGCCTCCAGCTGGTGTGTTGCCACCACCTGCCCTACTACCTGGAGTAGTCCAGCCACCTCCATTACCAAGAGGCCTGGCATGGAAAGCTCTGTGGCTTCTGCATACCCCAAGTCCGTGAGCATCGCTAGGTGGCTGAAGAGCGGCCCCATAGGCCCCACGACAGCTCTGGTGTCCGCTGGGCGGCCCTGCAAGGCCAGCACAGGCTGCAGACTCAACCTCCCACCTGTGAGAACACCCCACGGGCCCCGCTCTCCCGAATGATCTCTGGGGGAGGGGGTCTGTAAGCCCCGTCCCTCGGTCCTTGCTCTGGGTCCACACCCCTCCTCCTGGAAGCCCTCCCTGAGTCCAGAGGCCTGAGGGACAGAAAGGCAGGAGCTGGGGCCTCCCTGGTGGCGCAAGGGATTAAGTCTCAGCACTATGAAGTTGTCCGCAGCCACTGCAGCATGAGTTTGATCCCTGGCCAGGGAGCTACCCACATGGCGTGGCAGACCTCTCCTGTCTCCCCGCTGCTCCCCTCAGCAGTGTATTTCAGTCAGTCTGCCTGTTCTGCCCCCACTCCCCACTCTGGCTCTGGTGAATCCTCTCACCCTCCACACCTCTGGCCTGTACCCCAGTTCTTGTATGCATAAATAAATAAGTCTTTAAAAAAATTAAAGAAATAGGGCCTCCCCGGTGGCGCAGCGGTTGAGCGCTGGGTTGCGAAGCTGCCCGCAGCCTCTACAGCGTCGGTTCGATCCCCGGCTGCTCCCCGGGCCACCGGAGGAGGGTCCCACATGGCGTGCAGACCTCTCCTGCCGCCCGCTGCTCCCCTCAGCAGTGTGCTTCGGTCTTTCTGCCTGCTCTGCTCCCCGCTCTGGCTCTGGTGAATTCTCTCACCCTCCCGCGCTTCTGACTGTACCCAGTGCATGTATAAATGAATAAATAAATAAATAAATCTTTTTAAAAAATAAATAAATAAATCCAAAATAAAAAAAAGAAAGAAAGAAAGACTGAAAGGGGGCCTGAGGGTGAGGGGGCACAGCCAGGCTGGGGTGTGTGGGGCCGCGGCTGGGCCGTGGCTACTCACAGTTCAGGATGATCTGGGCAGCGCGGTAGAGCTCCAGGCGGTGCAGCAGGTCGAGCAGCTGCTGGACGGTGGCCTGCCGCATGCCCCACCACCACAGCAGCTCCCGGGTGATGCTCACGCCCTGCACCCGCTCCATCGACTTGATCTTGCGCAGCTGGGTCAGGTCCGTGATCACATAGGAGGCTGGAAGGCGAGGACAGGGGCTGCTCAGCCAGAGGCGACCCTCCATGGAGCGCCCCCCGCCGGCGGCTCTGTCTGTAACAGCTCCCTCCACCCCAACTCTGGCTGAACCCGAACCCGCTGCCAGCTGCCTCCACAGGCAACCCTGTCCTGACGCCGATTCCACTGAATACGGGCCATTAGGCACAGCGACACCTGAGCAGACGCCAGTGACACCAGACTCAGGAGACCCCACGGGAGGCAGGGCGGAGGCTGGGGCAGGAGAGCCTGTGTCCTGGGCTCTAAGGGGGTGCTAGAACCCCACTGCCTTCCCTTGATTCAAAATAACAGAATGGGCCCAAAGGAGTCCCTTCCCCTCAGCCCTGCGTCACCAAACTGAGACTGAGAGCAGTTCCCGGCTCCCTGAGGTGGGGACTTCAGCAGTCCATGAGGATTGCCAGGTCCACACCCAGGAGCTCATCATCCAGGGAGATCCCTGCCACCCCCTGAACGAAAACACTCTTCCACGACCAAGCCACGATCTGCCAGCGTCACTCCCCGGGCCGGGCCTCTGTCTATCCCCCTGCCCCGCACTGCTCGGCCGGCTCCTTTGAACTGCTGCGCCGCGGGCTGCTGACTCCTTGAAAGAAGCCAATCAGATCTTTAAACTCCACTCAGTTGAATTTTGTTTTTTTTTAACAGTTTTGGTGGCAGTGATGGGCTTCACAAGACAGACCTCTGCCGGCACAGGCGCCGCGCCCATCACATGCACAGCTCTCGCGCCATTTCTGGGGGCCGCGCGCAAATTCCTCTGGTTCGAAGTTCCACTCTCTTTGCAGTCAGCGCCCACCGGAACTGGCGCTCCCTTCCAGGGCAGAAGGCGCCACCTGCAACCCAAGCCTTGAGCACTCGCTCAGTCCCCACTTGCTCGAGCCTGCTGGCTCGCTGCCCAGGCTCCAGGCCCACGCTGGGAAGGGGTGGCCATGCGCACCCACGGCCTCCTCACGCCAGCCTGGAGGAGCATCTCCTTGCTCACCTGCAGGTGAGCTGAGGCTACTGCGAACGAGGCCCTCGGAGCCGAGCTAGACACGGGGGACGTGGGTGAAGCACTCAGAAGCTGCCAGAGCACTTGACCTAACTCTGAGGCTCCCGAGTCAGGGTAAGTGCGTTGCTCCTGGAGCAAACTGATTCTAGGTCTCACCAGGCTCCTGAAAAGTTTCTGCCGACCAGGCATGGGAGACACAGCTCCCAAGCCCACAGCCGCGCCACATCCCTCGAGGCATCTGGGGGCTCCAGAGGCCCAGGCTTAGCTGAGCCTAGCGAGCCTCGAGCCTCAGGCTTGAGAGACCAGAGAGCACTGGCTGCAGGCGCACCTGCTTGTTTTCTGAGGACAAGTACAAAATGGCAGACTCGGCCTGAAACTCCAGGTTGAGAACTGTAGGGGTCACGACAGGAGGCCGCTGAGGATGAGAGAGAGCACGAGGACGTGCACACAGCAAGCGCGCCAAGCCGGCAGGAGGACACCGAGCTTAAGCAGAAAGGCCTGAAAATTCCAAAATAGCGCCATTGAGAAAGTCATTGCAAAGGACTGAGGGAAAATTAAAAGGTACCCAGAGGGACCTAAACAGCGCATAAGAAGGGTCATAAGAAGGGTCCCCGCCCCGCCCCCAGCCTCTCCTCTCTAGCAGCTCAGTCCATAAACAATAACAAAATAATAGGTGGCACTTTCAATGGTCACATAGTATCCCACTGAGTTTACTGAAGTGAGAGAAGCAGTAAAAAAAAAAAATGAAGAGGGGCCTCCCTGGTGGTGCAGGGGTTAAGTCTCAGCGCTATGAAGCTATCGCCAGCCACTGCAGCACGAGTTCGAGCCCCGGCCAGCGAGCTGACCCACACCGTGCAGCAGACCTCTCCTGTCTCCCCCGCTGCTCCCCTCAGCAGTGGATTTCAGTGGATCCACCTGTTCTGCTCCCCACTCTGTCTCTGGTGAGTCCTCTCACCCCCCACACCTTGGCCTACATGCCAGTTCTTGCATGCATAAATAAATAAAAATAAATATTTAAATAAACAAAATGAAGAATAAAATAATCAGTTCCTGAATTTCAGAAATCGTGGTACAGGAATCCAGGTGATGCTTGCTGCAGAAACCAGCAGCCCAGGACACTTTTCCATTTGAAAAATACAAGTGAATGGGGCGGGGGAGGGAAGGCAGCCAACCAGGACCCCCACAACATAGGGCAGCAAACACCCCTAGGTTTGGACTTGCCCCTAAGCGCCTGGTGGGTGGGAAGAGGAAAGCCAGGAAGTGACAGTGGCTCTGCTCAGCCACCTCCCTGAGGGATGGGGAAGGAGTCAACACCTCGGACAAGCACCCTGTTTGGGATGGAAAATTCTTGAGTTGCGACTTTAGTCACTGGAAACCACAGGCCAGATTCCTGGTCCATGGGAAGTGATGTCACAGGGGCTGGTTCCAGCGGCAGAGAAGAGGAAGGAACACCCCCTGCAGCACGGGGGCAGCTGGCGGCACACCTCCCGCTGTGATGTCATGGGAAAGCAGCGTGGTCGGTCATCCGGGAGCTCAGCCTGGCCCCAGCCTGGGGTGCGCTTGCTCATGGCACGCAGGGGGCACAGCAAGTACCCCCAAGGTGCCCGGCATTTCAGACACTTTGGTGCCATAAACATGGCCTTAACACGTTCTTAAGCTCTTGACATCAGTGTTTAACCGCCCCTTGCAGCAGGGAGACCAGAGGACATCTGGGGGGAGCAGCCCAGTGGAGGGCCCTGCTAATTCCACACCTGTTTTCTCAACGCCCAAGTGAGAATAACTGGTTATTACACCACATCTGGAAAGCAGGAGAAAACCACAGTCTCCATAACATCCCACTGGGAAACCCCCCCAGAAAAGGTCTGGCTCTACTTCTCTTTCTAATCTTCTCCCTACAGACTTGTCTCGTGTAGCAGGTCAGAACTGGGTTGCTCAGGACCCAGACTGGATTCCAAGGCCAGGGCTCAAATCCTGTCCCTCCACTTCCTTGCTGTGTGCTGGGGGAAGGCCTTGCACCTCTCCCTGTGCCTCGGTTTCCTCCTCTGTCCATCAAGAATAAGAACAGTGTCAGCTTTAGAGGCCATGGGGCGGATCAGATCAGCCGCGCAGATGGAAGTTCTTGGAACACGCTGGCACATAGGAGGTGTGACACAGATGTGAGCCGGAACTGTCCTGCCGTCTACGCACTCGGGAAACCTGTCCTATTGGATGGTTAACACACTGCTGTCCTCCAAGGGCAAAAACAGACATAGGGCCTCCCTGGTGGTGCAAGAGGTTGAGTCGCAGCACTGTGGAGCTATCCGCAGCCACTGCAGCATGGCAGGAGTTGGAGTCCTGCCAGGGAGCTGGCCCACATGGAGCAGCAGACCTCTCCTGTCTCCCCGCTGCTCCCTCAGCAGTGGATTTCAGTGGATCCATCTGTTCTGCTCCCCACTCTGTCTCTGGTGAGTCCTCTCATCCCCTGCACCTCTGGCCTGTACCCCAGTTCTTGTATGCACAAATAAATAAATCTTAGGAAAAAATAAACAGACATAGCTTCCCCCGAGGACACCAACAGAGGCAGCCAAGGGATCCGCCTACAGATGTATAATCCGAGGAGCGGTCAGATTATGGTTGGAATTTTCTGAACTCCCAGCACCACAATCAGCCCTCAGTGACTCATACTGAGTTTTCCTTGAATGACTCACAGGCGCCAAGGCTGTTGAGGACAAGGACGGTGATGGCAGCACTTGCTCTGGGGAGAGGATCCAGGGAGCATGTGACGACTGGCCAGCTCCAGGCCACCGACGCCGGGCCCAGCACGGAGAGCTGGCTGACCAGGGCGCCAAGCCACCGCACAGGCGAGAAGGGGATGCACCCTGCACCCCCATATCCCGACACCCTTCAGCTCCTCATTCTACCTGGTGGTGGCTCAGGGTCCACCTGCTGGCAGGTGCCGTGCTCGGCGAAGGGAACGCAGGAGGTAGCAGACACCCCGCCCTGCGGTGCTTACACTCCAGGAGAGAAGCAGGGCAAGAAGGAAGGAGCAGGCGGTGTCCAAGCACGCCAGGCGGAATGATGGGGCAGGGTCGCGGAGGCGGGCCACCCACCTTTCCAGGGAGCTGAGGCCCAAAAAACTAAGCACCCCACAAAGATGTCAGCGTCATACGCTGACCCCAAAACGTGTGAACGTGGCTCCCTGCCAGACCACCTTTGGGGGACTTTGCAGGTGGGGCAGATTAAACAAAGGACTTGGAGATGAGGAAATTGTCCTGGATTATCTGAGCGGGACCCCAGGTCCTCACAAGGGTCTTTCTAAGAACCAGGCGAGGTCGGCTTGGGGGTGTGATGAGGAAGCAGAGATCAGGTGAGCTGCTGCCCTGAGAGCAACAGGAGCCAAGGGGTGACAGGCAGGAAACGGGTCTCTCCTAGGGCCTGCCCAGCGGGCTCTAAGGCACATGAATTTTAGGGCCCTGGGGCCTGGCAGCCTGAAGGTCATGCAGGCAATGGCTGTTGTAAGCCTCTCAAGCTGGGATTTGTTACAGCAGCGAGAGGGAACTCTCACAGATAAGGAAGTCAGGTAGGGGAGAGAGAATGTCCAAGGCAAAGGCAAGATCCAGGGCCCCTGAGTGCACACCACGGAGGCCAGCGTGGGGCAGGCATTCCTGGGGGTCTGGGAGGAGACCCCAAGGGTCAGAGGCCCTCTCCAAAGAATGCGTACCAAGGTCCAATCAGCCTCAAAGAGCCACTCAGCTCCATCAGTCATGAGGGAGGCGCAAAGCAAATCACAAGGAGAGACAACATCACGCTCGCTCCAGTGGCCAGAACCCAAAGCACAGACAATACCAAGTGCCGGGGAGGATGTGGGATGTGGAGACCTCACCCACTGCTGGTGGCCGTGACACTGCGCAGCCATTGTTGGGGGTGGGGGGTCCTCCAATGTCCAACAGGGTTACCCTCTGGCTCAGGAATTCCACACCTTGGTATCTACCCAAAAGATATCACACGAAACCTGGTATCACACGAAACCTTGCGCCCAAAGGTCCCTAGGCACTTACTCATACTAGCCCCGAAGCGGACAGAACCCCAGTGCCCTTCAGCTGATCGCTGGATATATAAAATGTGGGAGCATCTGTGCAATATGATATTATTCAGCAATAAAAAACATTCAGCACCGTCACGTGCGGCCACATGGCTACATCTTGAAGACACGCTGCAAGAAAGGCCGGTCCCAACGGCCCCTTGGCGGCGGGATTCCGTTTACACGAAACGGTCAGAATAGTTAAGGCCTAAATGGGGAAAAGCTGGTGTGTGGGCGTGTTGGGGGTGATGGTTAAAAGGAAGAAAGTGTCTTTTTGGGTAAATGAAATGTTCTAAGATAGTCTGTGCAGGTGGAGATGCAACCGTGTCCGCTTACTCAATGCCACTGAATGGTGCACTTGAAAGGTCTGAGTGTAGATCCGGCGAATTCTGTCTCAGTAAAGCTGCCCCTTTCTCAAAGCCATAGGTGTGCCTTTAAGACCATGTCCCGGGAAGGGAAGTGACCCTGGCGCTCACAGCTCAGGCCAAGACACTGGAGGGCACCGGAAGACACCGGAGGGCGCCTCCAACAGAAGGTCTGGTTCCACTCCAGGGAACCTGTGAAGCAGCTAAATCCCAGCTGACCAGAGCAGAGGAATCCGGAGAAGCCTAGAAACCAGGGTAGGGAAGGCGTCCTCTTGGCTCCTGGCTGCCCTGATTGGCCTCCAGAGAGACAGATTAAGCACACAGGTGTGGAAACTCCTTACTCCCCTCCAGGTGGATCATGTACACCCTGCGACCTGCTGCCTGTGACACATTTCATTAAAAATGGTGCATTGAGGGCCTCCCCGGTGACGCAGCGGTTGAGCACTGGGTTGCGAAGCTGCCCGCGCCCTCTGCGGCGCCAGTTCGATCCCCGGCTGCTCCCCGGCCACCGGAGGAGGGTCCCACATGGCGCGCAGACCTCTCCTGCCGCCCGCTGCTCCCCTCAGCAGTGTACTTCGGTCCTTCTGCCTGCTCTGCTCCCTGCTCTGGCTCTGGTGAATTCTCTCACCCTCCCGCGCTTCTGACTGTACCCAGTGCATGTATAAACAAACAAACAAAACAAAATAAATAAATAAATAAAAACATGCCTCTATTAAAAAAAAAATGGTGCATCGAAACACACACTGAAAATAAAACCTGACTCCTTATTGTGAAAGAAATGGCTTGGCCAGAAGAAATAACTGTGATAGAGCTTAAGGGAAAAAAAGCAGGCTATTAGAATGTATGTGATCAGATGTTTTAAAAAGAGTAGACATGTAAGTAAACGTGTGTAGGGAACAAAGATGCAAAAGTCTAAAACACCCAGCACTCTGCTGGCCCGCAACCTTAGCTGCGTATGTGTACATGGACAGTGTGTGTGCATAGGTAACTATTATTATTAGCATCCAAATGTTGAGGATGGCCAGCCCCGAGCGGTAGTTTGAGCTAATCATTTTGTGTGTATTTTGACTCTGGTATTACTCTTGGCTTAAAACAGGGTTTCTGTTCTTTTTTAAATTCATTTTTGTGTAGAAGAACTGGGGTGTAGGCCAGAGGCGTGGGGGGTGAGAGGACCCACCAGAGACAGAGTGGGGAGCTGAACAGGTGGATCCACTTAAATACACTCCTAAGGGGTTTAAGCACCACACTATGAAGCAATCCGCAGCCTCTGCAGCACGAGTTCGATCCCCAGGCAGCCAGGGAGCTACCCACATGGCGCGGCAGACCTCTCCTGTCTTGCCCTCTGCTCCCCTCAGCCGTGTATTTCGTCAGTCTGCCTGTTCTGTTTCCCGCTCTGTCTCTGGTGAATCCTTTCACCCCCCGCATCTCTGGCCTGTACCCCAGCTCTTGTACGCATAAATAAATAAATCTTAAAAAGAAATAAAAATAAATACACTCCCAAGGGGAGCAGCCAGCGAGACAGGAAAAGTCTGTCGCACCATGTGGGTCAGCTCCCTGGCCGGGGATCCCGCCCAGGCCATAGCCGGGATAGCGCCGAGGCTCAGCCAGAACAGGGCACCTGAATCACCACAGCGTGAGCACTGAGCGCGCATAATTCTGGGAGGTGGGGCTGTCCTATGCCTTGTAGGGTTTGACAGTTTTCTGACCTCACCCCACAGCAACACCAGTTGTAACCACCAAAAATGCCACGAGAAGCTCAAAGGGCCCTGAGGGGGCGAGCACCCCACCCACACACTCCCCGGCTGAGAACCACCAGGGAGAAACACACAGCGTTTGCTCCAAGTGGGTGGAGGACACACGGGCGTCCCCTGCGCCGTCAGCCTCTGGACTGCACCTCTGTAGGACACACTCCTGCACAGATGCTGTATTTCCTAACCCAAGCTTTTCATAGAACATAAATATAAATTTACAACATAGTGACACCGGTTACACCGACTTAAATATAAAACAAAGGGCCCCTGTGAAGACTTCCCTACGTTTGCTGGAATTTGTCACGCAGCTATCCGGTGCTGCTCTGTAATTTCCATTACTCACAACCACCCTCTGGCAGATCTAATTTACCTCCAGGTCGCTGATTAAGAAGCAGAGGCCAGAGAAGTAAAGGCACCCCCAAAGTCACCAGCTGGGGGGCTGCGGCGCCCGGAGCGCAGGTGCCAGCTGGGCCCCTGAGGACCCCGCGCAGCCAGTCCCGGGGCCACGGGGGTCAGGGCGCAGCCAGCCTCGGGGTTCAAATCCCGCCCGCCGCTTCGCGAACCCAAGCTCGGGCGAGAGCGCCCGCCCCCCTAAATCGGTTCCTTCGGTCGGCGGGTCAGCGCCGCGGGCGTCGGGGGTCCACCGCCCCGGCCCCCGCGGGCGCCCAGAACTCGGGGTCCCGGTGCGCGCGCAGCCCGCGGGGACAGGGCCCCGAAGGTCCAGCAGCGCCCCCGCCCCCCCACCCCCGGCGGAGAGGCCGGTCCCCCGGGTGGGGGCGCCCCTCGGACCGACCCCGCGGGGCCGCTCGGGCCGCTCACCGAAGTGCATCCAGTCCCACTCGCTGAGCGTGTCCATGTTGCGGCACAGGTCGTCCAGCACCCAGGCGGGCAGCTGGTAGATGTAGCAGGACATGGCGCGGCGGCCGGCGCGCGCGGGCGACTGGGGCGGACACCGCCCCGCGGCTGCTCCACCCCGCGCCCCGCGCGCCCCCGCCCCGCCCCGCCCCGAACCCGCGCCCCGCCCCGCCCCGCGCGCGCCCCGCCCCGCGCCCCCGGGAAGTGGGCGGGCCCGCGGGAGCCACCGCCCCCCGCTGCCACCCCGGCGCCGAGCGGCCGGACCCCGCGCGCCCTTGGCGGGGGTCGTGCGCCCCGGGGGCGGGCGGGAGAGGGGCGGTGGGCCAGGGGTGCCCGCCCGGGCGCAGAGGGGAAGCCCTGCTCGTCCCGCTCCTGCGCCTTCCTCAGGCCCTTCGGTCCAGAATGTGGGGGTCACCGAGACCCAGCTAGGCCTCCTGCAGAGGAACCCGGTTCCCACCTGCGCACCTGCGGATGGCGTCACGGCCCGCAGGTCAAGCCTCGGGAGACGCCCCCAGCCCGCGCTGAAGCCGCGCACAGCCCCTGCGCTGACATCTCCCTCGCAGGACGGTCAGGGGAGGAGGTGCAGGCGCTTCTGTCCCCAGGGAGTTGGGGTGCACCCCCGCCCCCCGCCCTGCCGGGGTTTCAGGGCCGCCGCCTCACGTGGACGCGAGCCGGGCTGCACGCCCGTGTGGAGGCCGGGAGGGGGAAGCCCCCGCTGCTCCCGGGGGTCTTTCTGGGGACCACGCTGGAGCCCCCAGAGTGGCCTCCTCGCTCACGAAGGTGCCGGGGTTTGAGGCGCCCCGCGCAACCCAGCGCCTCCCTCTGCCTTTGTAACGGCTTATTCAGGAGCTTCGAGCTTCACTGGGCCAATGTCTTCACCTCACCCTGCGCTTTTACTTCCAGCGCCGGGGTCTGCTTCCTGTAGCCACCAGAGCCTCAAGGAGAACCGTAAACCCATATCTAGAAAGCTGCTGTCCCGGGGCACCCCGGGCCACACAAGTCCCCCCTCTTCCCCAGTTACTCCAAGACAGGGGCCACCCTCCCTGTCAGTGTCAGCCGGTGCCTCTGGACCCCGCACTCAGCGGGCTGGGGTATTGGGTCTCGTGGGTGCTCACCCTCCCGCAAGTGCCAGCCGTCCTCTGGGGTCCCTCCCTGGCGGGCTGCTAAGCCGGGCTGTTGCCCCAGCAGCCTCCCTTCTGTCCGTCTGAAGAGGCAGCCGCTCGCTGTGGCGCCCTGGCTGTGCCGCCATCTTCACCAAGGTGTGCACAGGACACAACTCCTGCCAACTGAACAATCCCGGTTTCTGCCTGAGGAGTGCGGACCGAGAATGGCATCTGCTGGTGTGTTCACTGACCTGTGCCCTCCTGGGGTTTCCTGTTCCAATTCCTGAAACAAGTGTGGTGGCTTTGTCTCTAACGCATGGAGGAGTTGCTGCATTCCTTTATGCAGTCACAGATAGGGCTCACCCTCCTGTGATCAGCCAGTGTGTGTGCATGTGTGTGCGTGCGCGCGTGTGTAGCCCCAGGAAAATGTCCACTTGGGACAGGGCGTTTAGGGGAATACTGCAGGGGTGCCAGGTACCCCAGGGACTAGACTGGGACTGCAGTGCTAGGACGGGGTGCAGAAAGCTGGTGAGAGAGGCCCTGAAAAGCTCTGACATCTTCCCTGCCCCGTGCAGATTCCTAGTCCAGCGCCCTCTCCGAGAGCACGGGAACATGAACACGGACCGTTTCAGATTTTTACTAGAATAGACTTTATTTTTAGAGCAGTTTAAGGTTCACAGCATGAACCCCTCGCCCCCACCACCACACGGTGCACAGGTTACAACGGATGAACCCACCCTGACTCAACGTTGTGCGGCGTTCGCAGCGTGCCCTAGGCTTCCTCTTAGCCTGGGCACCCTCTTCCCGGGTGTGCACTGACCGCTTCTACTCGCCCGCCCCCGCCGCCCGCCGTATCCCAGAGTGGTGTCACCGCCCCGAACTCTCCGTGCGCTGCCCAGTCGCCCTCCCCTCCCCCACTCAACACCGGCACCCACTGATCTTATTTTACTCCTCAGTGTGGCCTTTTCCAAAATGTCACGTAGTTGAGATCAAATGCTAAGTAACCTTTTCAGATCGGCTTCTTTCACTTAGTTATGGTTATCCGCACCTCAGCTTCTGTGTCTTTGCACGGTTGAGAGTGCACTTCTGTTTAGCACTAAATAACAAAACGCACGGTCTGGAGAAACCCCAGCTTATCCCTTCACCTGCTTGGCTGCTTCCAAACCTTGGCAATGATGAATAAAGCCGCTCGGAATATCCACCTGCAGGGTTTTGTGTGGAAACAAGTTTTCGACTCCTTTGAATAAATGTCAAGGAGCACAACTACTCAAGTAACGTGTGCTGTCCCACCCTTCGGGCAGAGAACACAAAGTTGAGTCCTGTTAAAACCACAGTTAAGGCCTCCCTGATGGCGCAAGGGGTTAAGATGCAACCCATGAAGCTGTCCGCAGCCACTGCAAGCACGACTTTGATCCCCGGGCAGGGAGGTGACCCACATGGCGCAGCAGACCTCTCCTGACTTGCCTGCTGCTCTCCTCAGCAGTGCATTTCATCAGTCTGCCTCTTCTGTTTCCCGCTTTGTCTCTGGTGAATCCTCTCACCCTCCCGCACATCTGGCCTGTCCCCCAGTGACTCGGAATGGCGTTCGGCAATCCTGGGAGTGAGCATTGCTGATCATGTGGTCAGAGGAGGTTTAGTTTTGGATTAAACTGTCTTCCCACGTGGTTGTTCTGTGTTGCACTTTCCCACCTGAGTTTCTTGCCATTCTGAATCCTGCTATTGGTATCCTGGATTTTGGCCATTCTATTTTTTTTTTTTAAAGATTTATTTTATGCATACAAGAACTGGGGTACAGGCCAGAGGTGTGGGGGTGAGAGGATTCACCAGAGCCAGAGTGGGGAGCAGAACAAGCGAATCTCCTAAAATACACTGCTGAGGGGAGCAGCGGGGAGACAGGAGAGGTCTGCTGTGCCATGTGGTTCAGCTCCCTGGCCGGGGATTGAACCCACGCTGCAATGGCTGCAGGTAGCTTCTTAGTGCTGAGACTTAATCCCTTGCGCCACCAGGGAGGCCCAGATTTTGGCCATTCTAAAAGGTGTGGACAGATGCCTCGTTGTTTTGTCTTTCCCTGATGGCAGATGACCTGGAGCATCTTTTCTGATGCTTTGGTGCCATCTGTACTTCTTCTTAGGTGTCTGTTAAGGTTGTTTCTGTTTTGTTTTTTTTTTAAAAGATTTATTTATTTATGCATATAAGAACTGGGGCACAGGCCAGAGGTTTGGGAGGTGAGAGGATTCACCAGAGACAAAGCAGGGAACAGAACAGGTAGACAGACTGAAGCACACTGCTGACGGGAGCAGCGGGAGAGCCAGCAGAGGTCTGCTGCGCCATGTGGGTATCTCCCTGGCCAGCCCAGGAGTGCAGTGCAGTGGCTGTGGACAGCTTTACAACGTTGCGCTTAACCCTCTGCACCACCCGGGAGGCCCAAGGTTGCTTCTGTTTTTATGGGTTAACAAAAAAACTTTCAGCCTTCCCTGGTGGCACAGGCCTTTGAGCGCAGCGCTATGAAGCTATCTGCAGCCTCTGCAGCACTGGTGCAATCCCACGCGGCTGGCAAGGGTCCCACATGGCGAAGCAGACCTCTCCTGTCTCGCCCGCTGCTCCCCTCAGCAGTGTATTTTGTCAGTTTGCCTGTTCTGCTCCCCACTCTGTCTCTGGTGAATCCTCTCACCCTCCTGTGGATCTGGCCTGTACCCCGGTTCTTGTATAAATAAATAAACCTTTTAAAAAAACCAAACAACTTTGTTGGGCCTCCCTGGTGGTGCAGGCGGTTGAGCGCAGCACTGTGAAGCTGTCCCTGCAATGAGGGTTCCATCCTGGCCAGCCATGGAGATACCCACATGGTGCGGCAGACCTCTCCTGTCTCGCCTGCTGGTCCCCTCAGCAGTGTATTTCTTTAGTCTGCCTGTTCTGTTCCCTGCTCTGTCTCTGGTGAGTCCACTCACCCTCCCGCACATCTGGCCTGTACCCCAGTTCTTGTATAAATAAATCCTTTTTTGAAAAAAAACGTTGTTGCTGATGTGAATACTTTTCTGAAATGTTTAAGTTTTTTACAAGGAATTTCAGGAGAAAAATAAAATTAAAAGAAATGATATTTAAAAAAAAAAATCACATGTTGGAAGGAGGAGGGGCTGAGAGTGAAGGTGGCTGTTTGCGTCTGCTCGCCTCCCCGCCCCCAGCCTAAGCCTTAAACTAACACAGCTTTCACAACTCTCAAGAAGAGGTCGGTTAAAATAACACCACGACACACCCACCCACTTCCTTCACTGGGCACCATTTAATATATTAAAGAACAGCTTCCTTTGTAACTCAAAACAGAAAACATCCATCTCTTAAGAGAAATACATTTATTTCTCCTAGGAATGTAGAAACACATTCATAAGATTTCAAGGAAGGAAAGGTATCACTCATGCCACAGGTTTCCCGTCTTCCTTGGACAACACAAAAACACAGTCTTCACGCTGCATGTTCTAACAAGAGGGACACGCAAACTCATTTGGACATGAAGACGGGATTAAACAATAAAACGATACCGAGCCAGTCCAGCACCCGCGGATTCCTTAACCCCCGCGTCTCTCACCCCGGCCTCCGACAGCGGTGTTCCGATGCCAGCCTTGCTTCCCTACCCAACACTTCAACAACCAAAAATAACTACTGACAGGCGTGTCACAGAACGAGTACTACAACATACTTCAAAGAAAAGGCCAACTTCTTGGTGGAATGTCGAAAGAGGGGACAGGACGCGGCGAAATTTCAAGTAGACGGGGAGAGCCGGGAGGCCTCGGCTTCCTTCAGTTCCCAGGACTCAGAGCACAGGAGCTAAGCCCGTGGTTAGCAGAAGCAACCCAGGAGGCCCACAGCCCCACGCTACTTCTGAAAGGAAGGCTGTGCGTGTGCCTGGGAAAAGCTCGTAACATCAGGGGAAAATATTTCAGCTCTAAAGTTTAATGAGGAAGTAGAATACAGAGCTACACCTGGACGGTGTTTTCACCTGGGTGAAAATCAAGCAACCAAAAGGTGCCCTAAATGAGGGTGCCAGTTCAAAACGTTTAGTGTTTAAGCAATCTACCTTAGCCATCTTTCTTCTTTTTCACTTTTCTGTGTTTTCCAGCATTTTCTTTACTGGGGAATTTTTTTTCTAAACTATTTATCAATTACCACCCCCGGCCCCCTGCCAAAAAAATAAGAGCAGCAGCCTGCTAGTATGAATTTGAGTCATGAGTTTAAGTGCAGTCTGCAAGGAAGGATCTGCCCCTTCATGAAAGTGTAACACACTGCAGGGTGCTCTCTGGATGCTGTGTCGGGTGCAGCCTCCCAGAGGTGGGGGCATGGGGCGCTTCTGTGGCCAGGTGCAAAGTGTCCCCACATCTTGCCTACTGAAAATGCTGAACCAAACAGAAACATCACAGATTTGCAAAAAGGGACAGACATTCACATTTGATAAAACTTATTTACAATACAGTAGTGGCTCCTTGCTACTAGAAGCAAGCAAGAGGACGCTGCCTTCTCCTGTTTTCTGGGCAGATGTCACAGAAAACAGCTCTCATCGCAGTGGCTGCACAAAGCTCCTCCTGGCCGAGAAACAGAGCTAAGACAGCACTGTGACGAGCACAGATGGAGGAAACACAAAGTATAGAAAATTACAAAAGGCGCTTTCTATAAAAATGGTTCCCTTTAAAACATCTGCTTATGGTAGCCCCCCTCCCCCATAACAAAAAAAGCCAACATCCCCAAACACTTTCCACCAGCGTAGCCACTGGTTTGTTCATTCGACAAACAGACCGAAGGCTCATGATGTGCGAGGCACTGGGGCCTCAAAGAGGAGACAGGTTTGTCCGACCTCACTGACGTCTCCTCTCCCCAGAGCGGGAGGCGGCTCGTCACCAGCCACCGCAGGCAGCTGCTGCTGCTTCCTACTGGCATAGCACAGGCCGCGGTTCTGAGTTGCACAAAGTCCTCAGAAACTCTCCTGACTTACTAGGAAGCAAAACCGCCATGACTTCCCCTTGGTGAATACGTCCCGAAAGGGCAGGCATTAAGCCCATCTGCGGTACTGGCCCTGGACACCTGCAAGCGCAGAGGTCATGGGCGGTCATTCGAGGATGAGGCCGGGCCATGCCGACCAGACCAGCGCCGCGCCGGGCAGCGCCATCCCAAGCCCGCTGGAGAGGGCGGGCTCAGGGCGCGTCCTCACTCTCCCCGGCCAGGCGCTGGCTTTCAAGGTGCTCCTGCGTCAGCCGCTCCAGGTCTCTCCTCACGTTCGGGTGGTCTTCCAGGTCTTCGTAGAGCGACCGCACGATGTCCAGCCTCCTGTAATTCTCGGGCCTGACGAGGCTTCGGACCACCTGGAGGCATCGCTCTTTCAGGGTGTACACTGTAGGGGCAGAAAACCGAATCCTCAGGCGCAGACTGGGGTCTCGGGGTCCGGAAGCTGCGAGAGGCTCTGCCCGCCCGGGCTATTCCTCGGTGCCCACCGGCCGGGCTCTGTGCCTGCGCTGTGCGCCTGTGCTACCTGTGCACTCCTGACCTTGGGAAGGAACTTCCCCTGAAAGTGGGCTGGGTCTGCGATTTACTGGAAGGAACTGAAGGTGAAGTGATACTAAGGCAATTCTGAGCAGAAGTCCTAAGAAAGCCTGGCCATGTCCCCTTCAAGTTCTTAGAAGCCCTAAGCTACGCAGGGGGAGGAACCACAGAGAGGGAGGGCCGCAGACTCCAAGGGGAGAGGCGGGCCCCAGCCAACCTGCCCCGGAAGGCCGGCATACCACGGACCACCAGGGACCAGAACGGCCACCAGCTCAGCTCAGCCACGCTGCAGAACTATGGACAAGGAAGGTGGCTGCTGCGAGTTTGGGGTGTCATCTAGCAATACCAAAACAGGGTGCAGGTGGATTTTGGAGTAACTCAGATCCTACTTAAAAGTCATCGGGGAACTTACGCTTTAAGGTATCTGTAAGGCAAAACTGACTGCATTTAACTGACCAGTGCTTATTTCTGCAGACCCACTTCCACAAATCAGTGTGACCCCCGCCCCCCATGAAGCTGCAGGCATTCGGGTTTTTCTCCACCCACAAGTACATCAGCTTCTTAGGGTTTTCAATAAATAGCAAACTGTGGTGCTAATGTTCAATTCCATGCAGGGTACTGAGCTTGACTGGATTACATAACATAGAAAAACACAACACGAGTCATAAATAAGTCAAGATAGCTCATTCCCCACACCTTGGCCTCCTCCTGAGACCTCAGGTACATTTCAGTTCTAAGGTCAGGGAAACAAAATAATTCTTAATTCATTAATCCTACAGAGGTTTACAATCCAACAGGGATTTTAATTCAGCCCACCTCTAAGAAGGCCAGAGAGCTTTCGAAACACAAAAATCTTTGGTCAATACAGAGCAAATCAATATTAATCACTTCCATCGCATGGAACTGGAGAATAGGATGCAGAAAGATTGGACAACAGGATGGTGGAGAACAGGATGCAGAAAGGTTGGGACACCTTGGCATCAGGCAGAAATCAGTAAGGGCTCAGCTCCTTCAAGCACACTGGCCTCTGCTTATACACACCAGCCTTAGCTTTTCAATCTTTCAGGAGAATGAACGGTACCTGGCAGTGTGATGTTGGCAAAAATAGGCTGTCCGTCAACATTGAGAGATGGTACAAATAACTCAGTCTGGTTAACCAGAAGCCCATCATAGGTCCCAGCATCTCTGAAGAGCCAGAGGTGACCTGTTAAGAGAAGCAGAGGCTGTCAGTAGCCACACACCTCTTTCTTTCCTCTCCCGGGAAGACACCACATTCACCTGTTAGTCATTCGCCAAAGGTAAGCAGTGCCCTCTTCACTTAAGCATACAAAGCCCCTCCAACAATTACCTCCTTCAACCCTCACAGTAGATCCATTTGCAGATGAGGATGGGTCTGAAAAAACCAAATGACTTGCGCCAGGCACAGCTAACAGTGGGCAGACACCACACTTCAGTGGCAGAAAAGCAGAAGCAAATCACACCCATCACTGCAAACTAACCGAAAGAAAGGACACCGACTCCTCAAGTTTGTGCTTCTCAAAAATGAGGTGCAAAAACATCGTACTGAAAGGAACCAAGGGGTACATTCTTAAGAACAGGCAAAATTAATGTAGAGCATGAAAAGTCGGCAGTGGGTGCCTCTGGGAGGGAGAGGACTGAGTGGAAGCAGGAGGGAAGTATCCAGAGTGAGGGAAACCCTCTAGCCTAAACCTTGATCTTGGTGGTGTTAAGTTTCTCAAAACCTATCAAACCCTAAGATCTGTGTACACGACAGGAGTTGGGGCGGAGGAAGGAAGCAAATCCCCAGGCTTAAGATTCTGTTTAAGGACGCGGGAGGTTGTCTCAGAATAAATGCAGTGTGTGGGCCCGAGGCACAAAACATACTGGAGGATGTAAGAAATTTAAAGTGGTAATATTTTTTAATGTAATAAAGCATGCATAACAAAACGGCCACTGAAGCCACGTGTAAGTGCACAGTCCAGTGACACAACGTGGGTCATGCGAAGTCCATTCACACCGAAATTTCTTAAAAATTTCATATTATCGGGCCTCCCCGGTGGCGCAGCGGTTGAGCGCTGGGCTGCGAGGCTGCCGCGGCCTCTGCAGCGCCGGTTCGGCCGCCGGCGAGGGTCCCACCAAAAAAAAAAAAATCCCTATCGTCTGGGACACACCAGAGATGCCTTTTCCTGACCAAGGACTGGCCCGTGGTGTCCCCCAGAAGCTTTGGGATTGCAGGAGGGCGGGGCCGCTGCTGGAGAGGGATGTTCTTTGGATCATCCAAAAGTCCCCAGCATTCACGCCCCTGCTGAGGGTCACTCCCAGCTATGTCCGCCTGGATGTCATCGTTCAGTGAAAAAAAGCAACAGTATTTTCTTAATATTAAAAAAAAGAATTTCCTACTGAATCAGGCCCGAGGAGCGGCACAGAACACAACCCGCACATCTCCCAGCCAGAGCAGGAGCCGACAAAAATGCCCCCCTGGACGGCGTGGGTCTCCCCCACCTGCCACGAGGGCGCGGGCGTGAGGCTCGATGCTGGGGCAGAAGCAGCTTCGGTGCCCAAGCGGGAGAAGCGCCCCTGGGGGCCGCCGCGAGCAGGCGGGGCCGCCTCTGCCCCAGGCGCGGGGCTCCCCCGAGCGGCTCCGTCTGTCCGTCTGTCCGGCCAGGTCCCGTCCCCAAAACCCGCCAGAGCCCGCCCCGGGAGAAGCCGCCCGCCCCGCCCCGCCCCGCCGCGCCCCTCGCTCCTCCCGCAGGCGTCGGCCGGGTTCGCTCAGCCCAGAACCCTGGGCTCCAGTCCCGGGGTGCGCAGCGCCCCTCGCCCGCGCGACTCGGCCCATCTTCCCTGGGAGACGCCGCCGCACTCCCCAGGGCCCGGCCGCTCCCGCGGGGCTCCCGCAGGCGCCGGCTCCCGAGTCCGGGGTTCGCGCCCGTCCCCGCCCCGCCGGGCTCCGCGGGGCCGCCCACCCGGGCCGTCGGGGCGCAGCGCGCACGTGACTCGGCCGGGCCCTGCCCGCCCCGCCGCGAGGGCGCCCGTCCGGGCGGGTGGGGGCTGGGGATGCGGGGGGCGCCGGGGGCTGGGGGTGCGGGGGTGCGCCGGGGGGGGGGGGTGTGGGGGGCGGGGGGCTAGGGCGGGGGTGTGGGGGCGCCGGGGGGGGGGGCTAGGGCGGGGGTGGGGGGGCTGGGGTCTAGGGCGGGGGGCCCCGGGGGGCGTCGGCGCCGGCCGCCTACCTCGGTAGCTGTGCATGCGGCGGCCGGTGCCGGGCGGCAGCGTGGGGTAGGGCTGCGGCTCGCCGTCGAAGTTGAGCCACACGGGCAGCGCGACGCGCGGGCTGCGGTTGCAGAAGATGACCTGGGACGGCTCGCGCGAGTTCACCGAGCGCAGCAGCGGCCGCGGCCGCCCGGCCGCCATCGCCGGCCCCGCGCGCGCCGCGTCCGGGCCGCGCTCCTCCGGGCCCGACGCCCCCGGGCCGGGCTCCTCGCGGCCGCCCTCCGCGGGCGCGTCCTCCCCGGCGCGCGCCCGGCCCCCGCCCCCGGGGCATCCCCCGGAGCCCGCCCGGCCGACCTCGCCGCCTGGGGCCGCGCGGGGCGGGGCGTGCGTGCGTGCGCGCCCCCGCGAGGAAGGCGTGCGCGCCCGGGCGGCGGGTCTGCGCGCGCGCGGCGGGGCGGGGCCTGCGCAGGAGGCGCGGCGGGAGGCCGGGCGCGGGCGGAGCCGGGAGCCGGGCCCGGGCGGGCCCGCAGGGCGGCCAGGGGGTTCCCCGTTAAACTGCGTTTTCTCCGCGCCCCGCCCCCGCGAAGCTTTAAGACCGTCAAGGTTCTTGCTGTCTTCTCGCTAATATCCAATAATTGTCTTCTTTTCAATTAACCGAAATTGTCTTGTATCCACCGCGGGTCACAGGGACAAACCCTGCGCGCCAGCGCGAGCGCGACCCCTCGGCCCGGGCCGCGGCCACCCAGGAGCCCCCGGGGCGCTGACAACGCCCCATTTCTGGCGCTCCTGTACGTATGCCGGGCACATGTGCTAGTTGAGACCCGGCACACCACCCCGGACGCGCGCTCTCACCGCCGCAGACCAGAGGCGCGGGCGCCACGGAAACACAGCGCCACGGGCTGCGCCGCGTCTGCTGCAGGCGTCGGCCGAGTCCGCTCTCAGTCCACAGGGGTCACTCAAGGGCTATTTGTCAAACCAACTTGTTCCTCTGAAGGAATTTTGGGCAACTGGAAGCGGATCTTTTCAACCCTGTGTCTGTGTGCCGTCTGAAATTCACACCCACCCGGAGTCTCACTCCAGGTCTAGTCAGGTACATGATGTTGCACAAACTTTGTATTTTTCAAGCCTTTGCTCAGTTTTAAAATGTACCTGCCATAAAAATCCGGGCTAAGTGGCCAAGTGCTCAGTGCCTGGCACACAGTCAACCCTGAGCCAGCAGCTGTTTTTATAAAGATGCCATCTCTACCCTCAAAATGCTCCCAGGCATTGGGCAAGCACAGGAGACGTATTCAGCTGTGAGATGGTCGTCAAAAGCACGTGGAAGGTGATTAGCTGGACCCCAAAAAATTCAGTCCAGGTTTCGCCGGAGGGATTTACCCAAGATGAACTTTGATGAAAGAACGGGAGTTTTCCCTTCCATCTCCCGCTAGACAGCCTGGAGGTCAGATTGGGGCTCATGCCGCCAGGAGACTGAGCAGACCCCACTAGTCCGCAGTTCCCCGCTCTCGTAGTCTACTCGACGGCCACCTTTGCACATGAGCTGTATTTGTGTGGAGTCACCACTGGCACCAGCATGCTCCTGCCCCGTGCTCCAGAGGCAGTGGAGCAGGCCCTTCTCTGGAGGCGTGGGAGAGGATGACTGCTGGCAACAGGCCTAGACCCAGGCAGCTTCCTGCCCCACGAGGCGTGGCCCATAGTAACAAGGCACGTTCCCAAAGGCTTAGCTTCCTGAAATAAAGGGGCAACGTTCAAAGTACTGAGTAACCCCACTGAGAAGACTGGTGAGAGCATCCGGGTCCAGCAGGTCAAGGTTCAAATCCCCAACACTTACTTAGCATGACTTGGGACAAATCTAAGTCCCTGTAAGCTTGCTGCTCACCTACTGCATGGAGGTAGAATGCCTGTTTCTCGGGGCATTTACAGCAAGCTTTGGGTGCTAGAACGACGTTTTACAGACTCTGCTGTTGACATGAATTGCTCTTCACAAGAAATGTAATTTAGCTTGGACTTCAGAAAACTAATCGTCTGCAGATAAGCTATACAGATGACTGCGCTATACGCCATGCCCAACTCTGCTGTATGCTGCTGGTGTGTGACACACATGCACAGGAAATCCTTGGCAAAGGGTCACTGAATGGTCAGATGGAACCCAGGATGTATCAGTCAGAAAGTCCAAACATGGGCAAAGCAGCCAGGCCTGGAATCAGTAGCACATCCACGAGCTGTATGTCAAATAACACCACCAGGTGTCTGCAGTAGGCAGGCCCGGGCTCTACTCTCCCCTCAATCACAGCAGTCAGATAAAGGTGAGGAATTTATTGGGGAAATATGACAGCCAAGACATCCCAAGTGACAGAAAGAAAACTCTGAAAATGTTCCCTCAAGTGGGGGTCTGGCCTTGACCTCCCCGAAAGGACCAGAAACTGGGGGTCGGCAACAACATTCTGGCAATCACCTTGCTAGGCCTGAGTGTCCCGCCAGGATGGCCTCCCGCCTCTGACCACAGGTGGGGAGGAGACAGACTGTTTACAGAATCACTGCAGCGGCAAGGAGAGCTGTAAGGGAAGTCTGGGGGGTGAGAGGTGAGGTGGGGAGGCCCTAAACGAAGACCCCCCCCAGGCTTTGGGCTCTGAATATCGCACATACATTGACAAGGAGTTCTACAAAATGTGACTGTAAAGGTAAAACGCCTAATGCAGTTTCCCAGAGTTCCCCTGGACTTCTCCCCACATGCCACATCATCCTCCCAGACGGACATGGCACGGCCCAAAGGCCACACTTTTGAAAAAGGAAAACAAGAATAAGCCCTGTTGCTCTTTAAGGAGAGGAAGGCGCTGGAGGCTGCCGGGGCCTTTCCCACGCAGGCCTGGGTCCCGTAAAGCAACCCCCCAGCAGCGGCATGGCAGAGTTCTAGGTGAGGGTCTCGCCTTTTGTCACCTGTCAAAGGAAAGGTGACATTTAGGTAAGTTCAAGGATTAGAGGAGGTGCAAAACCCTTTTAGACCCCAGGCGGCCAGGAGTCCCAGCAGCCTGGCTCCAGCCCAGGCGGGCGCCCCACCTCCCGAGCCTGACCTGCTCCCGGCCTGGCGTGGACCGCGCTCCGCCCAGCCCAGCCCGGAAGGCAGCCCACACTCACCCGGGCCTCGATGTACTCTATCCTGCGCTCGAGGGCTGTCAGCTTCTCATTCAGCGTGGCAAGTCTTGAACGACAAGACATATCTGGTAAAGGGAGACTGATGTTCAGGATCAGCGTCACCCCCAACACACACAGAGACATACCCCACACCACCCGGAAGCTGAGGAGGAGGTGTGACGGGGCAGCAGCGACAGAGGGAACAGCTGGGCAAAGCAGAGGAGAGGGAAGGAGCACAGGTGCCTACAGTGAACTGCGGCAGGTGGGGAATAATGGCTCCCCAAAGATGCCCATGCCCTAACCCCCAGAACCCGTGAATGTTACCCTAAAAGACAAGGCACTTGCGCTCGTGACGAAGGTTATGTAGAGGTCTCAACATCCTGGACTATCCAGAGGGACCCAATCCAGCCATATCCACACGTGCAGACAGGAAGGAGGAAGTGGGGGAGAGAGTGGGTGCGAGCGGGGTCTGGCTCTGCAGATGGGAGGGGGCCATGAGCAAGGCATGCGAGTGACCTTCAGAAGCCGGGAGCAGCCTCAGCTGACCGCCATCAAGGACACAGGGCCCCAGTCCTACGAACACATCACCCACCCGACAGCCAACGAGCAAGGAGCCTCCAGAGAAGGCAGCCCCGCCGATACCTCCAGCTTAGCCCAGTGAGCCCGAGCTGGACTTCTGAGCTGCACGACTGTGCGGGAGTAAGCACACGCGGTCTGAGCTGCTGCCCGGGTGGCCATCTGTTATGGCAGCACAGAAAACTCAATCACCAAGCTGTACAGGTGGCCCTGCTAAGAGGCAAACTAAGGGTTTCAAGAGAGGCGCAATGACACCAGAAGAAAACGATCTCAGTAGAGAGGAAAAGTAGAGGCCAAGAAAGCAACAGAGTAGGGGCCTCCCTGGTGGCGCAAGGGGTTGACACAACCTATAAAGCTATCCGCAGCCTCTGCAGCAGGAGTTCAATCCCCAGCCAAGGAGCTACCCACATGGCGCAACAGACCTCTCCTGTCTCCCCACTGGTTCTCTCAGCAATGGATTTCAGTCTGTTTGCCTGTTCCGTTCCCCATTCTGTCTCTCACCCCCCCGCACCTCTGACCTGTACCCCAACTCTTGTATGCATAAATAAATAAATCTTTTTAAAATTATGAGTTCTATTTATTTATTTTTTTAAAGATTTATTTATTCATGTATACAAGAAACGGGGCACAGACCAGATGTGCAGGAAGGTGAGAAGATTCACCAGAGACAGAGTGGGGAACAGAGCAGGCAGACTGACGAAATACACTGCTGAGGGGAGCAGCAGGCGAGACAGGAGGCCTGCTGCACCATGTGGGTATCTCGCTCACCGGCTGGGATCGAACCCGTGCTGCAGAGGCTGTAGACAGCTTCACAGCACTGCGCTCAACCAACTGCACCACTGGGGAAGACCCAAATAAATAAATCTTAAAAAAAAAAAAAAAAGCAACAGAGGCTGGGGGGAGGGGGAGAAGGAGGGGAGGTGTGCATGGAGCTCATGGAAGCCTCAAGCAAGGCCATCAATTGGGGAGGGCACTTCATGTTTCCTCATTGTTTGCATGGGCCTTCCAGAAGGAGGAAACTTAGAGAACATCAGATACTCTGTGGAACCCACAGCCCATCTGTGAAAAATAGCAACGTCCTTTTCCTCTTCTACCTTTGCCAATCATCCTTCACCATTGCACCCCAAATGAAACCTACATTCCCCTAAAACACCTTTTCCTCTGCAAACTTCTCTAACAGAAACTACTGATTATTCTCTCTCCAACTATTCTTAACACAAAGGGGGAAAAATATTTCTGGGCAGCCTATTTCCCACCGCCTTCTCTAACACGGCCATTCGGGTATCTCTCAATAATCTTCACTTTCTAAGAAGTGCCTAGGTGGGGCATGGGGGGGATGGGGGGCTGGCCCGGAATGCACTGGGGTCGGGGGGGACAGACAGGGTCCCAACAGGAGTCAGTTATTTGGAAAAACCTCTTTACAAGAACCAATTTGTTGTTGTTTTTTAAAGATTTATCCAGGGCCTCCTCAGTGGTGCAGCGGTTGAGCGCTGGGTTGCGAAGCTGCCCGCGGCCTCTGCGGCACCAGTTCGATCCCCGGCTGCTCCCCGGCCACCGGAGGAGGGTCCCACGTGGCGCGCAGACCTCTCCTGCCGCCCACTGCTCCCCTCAGCAGTGTCCTTCGGTCCTTCTGCCTGTTCTGCTCCCCGCTCTGGCTCTGGTGAATTCTCTCACCCTCCCGCGCTTCTGACTGTACCCAGTGCTTGTATAAACAAAACAAACAAATAAATAAAACATGCCTCTATTAAAAAAAAAACAGATTTATCCATTTATGCACACAAGAACTGGGGTACAGGCCAGAGGCATGGGGGTGGTGAGAGGATTCTCCAGAGACAGAGTGGGGAACAGAACAGGCAGATTGACTGAAACACACTGCTGAGGGGAGCAGCGGGGAGTCAGGAGAGGTCTGCTGAGCCATGTGGGCAGCTCCCTGGCTAGGGTTCGAACCCGTGCTGCAGTGGCTGCGGACAGCCTCATAGGTTGTGTCTTTACCCCTGCGCCACCAGGGAGGCCCTACAAGAACCAATTTGTAATTATTCAATACACTTCAGCCAAATCCAAACTTCTTTGCTCTTACTCCACTTTTTAGCCAATAAAATTAAACTCCTTTTTCTCCCCAAGAACAATATAAACCCCTTCCCTTTGCTGGATGGGGAAGCAGATTTGCTGGATGGGGAAGCAGATTTGAATTTTCTTCCTGCCTACTTGCCAGTTCACTTTTTTCCTCAAAACAAAAACCAGCTTCATTTTGAAGTCTAAAATATCTGCTCTCAGGCACTCCCCCACTCAGTGATTCAACGCTTAGCTCACAACCCCCTTGTCATCTCTCCTCTGGCTGTTATGCAAAAGCGCTTCAGCACCCATTTTGACAACTCTTCCTACAGCCTGATTTTGCTCAGCTTTCATTATATCCAAATCTTACCCATTGTGGGTGTTTAAATATTCTTCCAAGCCGAGAGGATATCATTTACCAGATGGATATAATTCTCCCCCTTCTGTATTAACCTAAACATGTAGGGCTGAAGTTCTGATCTGTAAGTTACTAGGCACTTGGTCTTAGAGTTATCACTTCCCCCTTTGAATAAAGATTTCACAGACAAGAATGTTCCCCATGATGACGTAGGAGTGATCTGGAAAAGTATGATGTATCTACAAAGACTACTAAAAATGCCGTTAAAAACGACGAGTTTGAAGAATATTTGACAAGAGAAAACGTACATCCTACAAATCCAAATGATATTAATGTTCTTGTCATTTACAACTTATTCCCAAGGTGTCTTCCACTGGAACGAGTTTCTCTAAGACAGACACCACCTCCTCTTCGGCTTTGTCACTCCAGCACCATGCCTGGCACAGTGATGGTTCTTTAAAAAAAAAAGATGGGTTCTGCTATGTGAGTGGAACGAGACAGCCCCAGAGTGACTCACACTACAGAGGGGAAATCCAGGCCAATTTTGAATCGCTGGGGGGATAAGCAGCAGCAGCAGCAGCAGCAGCAGCGCTGAGTTCCGAACCCAGTTCCCTCAGCGCCCAGGCTGGCGCGCGTTCCCATTCGGCGGTCCAGGGCACGCGGCCACCTTCCTGCTGAACACCTGGGTCCTCTACTCCCCACAGCTCTTAAAATGTACTCACAGCCTGACCCGACTGTCTAGTTCATTTATTTTTTGTTTCCACAGTAAATCCTTCCCGCATCTATAGCTTCACTGCAGCTCTTCGTTATTTTTAAAATATATGTTAAAAGTGTATCATTTATATCCCATAAGGTTCACCGACTTAAAGTACAGGACAGTCACAGAGTTGTGCAGCCATCACCACCTGAATTTTTGAACACATGCATCACCCCTAAAGAAACCTTCTACCCATGCAGGATCCTCCCTCCCCAGGCTGCCCACCGACCCCCCACCCCCACCCCGACAACCGCCAGTCTTCCCGTCCCTATGGATTTACCTATTCTGGGCGTTCCTCATTCTCCTTTTAAACTTACTATTATTATTCTTATGATTATTATTAATCTGCCAGGGCTGTTGTTTCTAACTCCAGATCATCTGGAGCAGCAGCCTCTCAGCACCCTCTTTTCCCGGGCACGACACCCCCCTCCCCAATCTCCTCCAGTCAGGTTTCCAGAAGCTCAAAGGCACATCATATACGCTGCTAAGAGCAGGAATGTTGTCACTGACAGCCTGCCGCTCCCCCTAAGAGACACGCCAAAATGATCTGCAAGCCGGGGTGGCGGGAGGGGGCTTCCTTCCTGGACCGTGGTTCTGGCCCAGCTCCGCCAATCAGAACCAGAGTCCAGGAACAACACTGGCCTACTAGGATCAACGCTCTTGAGAAATTTAAAATGTTCAATTCAGAAATTCTGGTCAGAGCCCATGAAATACATATCGATTCCAACCAAACACAGGCAATAGCTGTCGGCAACAGGACAGACGAAACCAGGGCACACTTACACTCCGGACCGCGCCCTGCCAACCACCCAGGGCTCATGCGGTGGACACAGACGCTGGGGACAGATGCGGTCACCGGGCAGCAAGTCCTTGGAGCTCTCCACACAGAACCTTAGTGGTGCAAAAACCAACACCCACACTTCCTCCTGAATTACTTGTGCAGTGAGTCTCTCAGGAGTGCTCACTACGTCCACCTACTCTTCTTCCTTCCTTCCTCACAGCGACAGGCAGGCCTCCTGGAGGACACCAGGCTCGCCGTCTTTGTTGGCTGAGCACAGAGACTGAGACTTAAAACAGCCACACTCTTTGGTTTTCCCGGCACCTATGAGCTCAGACCCCAAAGAAAAAGTGTAAAAACACAAAGTCACCACCTGTGACGGTGCGCTTTCCCAAGCACCACCACAGCTGAAGCCCCGCTGGGCCGCCCGCCACCGCCGGCGGTCATCAGGGCCGGGGTCCTCGGTCTCGGGACGGAAGCCAGAGCTGGCAGCGCCGCTCGGCCTGGCTGAGCCCACGGCGCACAAGCTGTTCAGAAACCCCTGCGCCATCTCGGAAAAGCGGCTCCCTCTCCAAGCAGCGGCCCACGGGCTCTCTGCGGCAGGGCGGGCGCACAGGATCGCTGCCATTTTCTAAGGGCTCAGAAGGCCCTCTAGTCCCCCCACATTCCTCGTGCATCTCCCCATCACCAGGTCATATCCTTTACACTGGCCCCACGTAAACACAACAGAACAGAGGGGCCAAGCTAAGGGTTGAGGATGCAAAAATACAGCCCCAGGGGCATCCTGGGCCAAGGCCAAGACTGTGCCTGAGGCCAGCCCTGTGATGGATCCCGCCAGGCAGCCTGTTGGTCTTTGATCCAAACTCCTGCATCGCCATACTGGAGGGCGGCAGGAACTTGCCTCCAGTGTGCCTAGTAAGTCAACTTGCTAACTTTTAATCCTGCTTCACAACTGTTTTTTTTACTAATAATTGTGCTTTTCTTTCAAAGGTGTAAATTCACTTTCCAAAATCTTAAAAAAAAAAACCAAATTACTCCAAACATTAGGCAATTATTATTACTTTAAGGACCAATAATAGCCTAAGCTAAGGGAAGACATTTCTTCCATCTCCTAAAGACTGGAATTCTGTGTGTCTCTTTCCTCGGTCTACTTGCTAAAAATCTCCAATAAGAAAAGTCTTTATTTCTACCTGATCACAGAATGTGACTCCCTCACATCTGATAAAGTCTCAAAGCAGCATTTCCTTGCTTATATGCTTGAACTTAACCAAAAGGCCAAGAAGCGATTTTCCCTGCTTATAGAACAAGAGACATTTCTCTTTGACAAATGCAATTTAAGCTCAAATTCTTCCACGTCAGTCAGTTCCAAGACTTATTCACAATAAATTTAGTGAGTGTGACATGCCAAGATTTACATCAAAGACAAATATATGTGAACTGAAAGTTTATTAGTATAATTCGGTGCTCCAAAATGAAGTTGTTACGGGACCAAGATCCAAACGTGGGGGACTGACATGCTAGGTCTCTTTTATGTTTTGAAAAATAGCCTCAGCTGGATTTGATATTTTAGATGTTTTATTGATTGAACTAATGTTCTTAACAGTTTGGATATTCTGTGTGTACCTATCAGATATTAACTCCTACCCGCTAAGTAGTCTTTTAATTTTGCTTTTTAAAGTTAAAACTCTCCCTTCATCAGTAATCTTTCCAACTGCTCTCCACCCCCTCTCCACACTAAGCCAAAGACTCAATAATGTGATCCAGTCACTGTTTCAACCTTCCCCTAGCATGGACTATTTTGGTTTTTCTTACCTAGCCTTCCTGAGGGGATATTATGAGTAAAGAATACTGTGAAGAACCTCCAATACATACTGGCTCTCTGGGAAAGGAGAAAGCAAGGAGGAGAACTCGCATGGGCAGAGTTTGCATCAAACTTAAAACAACAAAACCTCTGAGTAAACCCAAACTATCTAGATAAACAGGTATTTCTCAAATGTTTTTGGCGCCTCAAAATCAGTGAGTTTGGCCTCTTTGACTTGTTCTATGTCTCCAAATCCACTTTTTCACTTAAACCACTTCACTGACAGTCCTCAAAAAAACCTGCAGGATCCACAAGACTGATGTCTTGATTCCCCGCCCTGCTACAAACACTGCCACAGCAAGCTACATACATGAACATGGGCCACTGACATACTATTTTCTTCCCTCATTAATACTATGGGCACCCACACTGGACCATACAAGACACATCAGGATTACAGGCAAATACACCCCGAATATAAATGAATCAATACAGAAACAATGTTCTGCTTTGGTATGAAGTGCTCACCACTTCACCTTCCAATAGAAATCCTTTGAAAGCAGGGAATAGTTAGTTATAGTTAGTTGTTATTCTGCACTCCCCACAGTGCCAGAGAGCCTTGTACTGATATCTAGTATCCCTTGTTAATGCTCTGCCACAAACCTCTTGCTGTCACTTTTTTTTTTTTAAGATTTATTTATTTATGCACACAAGAGCTGGGGTGTGGGCCAGAGGTTGGTGTGTGTGTATATGTGTGTGAGAGAGGATTCACCAGAGACAGAGTGGGGAGCAGAACAGGCAGATCTACTGAAATATACTGCTGAGGGGAACAGCGGGGAGACAGGAGAGGCCTGCCGCGCCCTGTGGGTCAGGGATCCAACTCGTGCTGCAGTGGCTGTGGATAGACTCATAGTGCTGAGACTTAACCCCTTGCGCCACCAGGGAGGCCCCACTGCTCTGTCACCTTTATACTCCCTAGGACACATCAGTCCTCCAGCAAGAAAATAATGCCTTCACAAAGGGGTGTGTGTGTGTGTGTGTGTGATGTACTGCACTTTAGCTTAATATCACTACATCAGTGGAACAGAAGCAAACTAACTGGAAAAAGATGACTAGAAGGATGTCATCCCACACTTGTGATAACCTAGGCAGACCCAGGGCCCAGTTCCCTTGAAGCCACACTTGGGGGACCTAAGCAGGGGCCTCTGCTAAAGCTTGCTGTCCAGAAGGACGCCGCTCAGCGCTGCCAGAAGGCGACTGTGGGGAGCAGGCCATGCCCCAGGACGGGCTCTGATAAAGCTGCAGCTCCGCGGCGGGCGCCGACCCTGTCCTGGCAGCGACAGCGCCTCGGCGGACAGAGCGCCCCGCAGCACCGCCGCGGCCACGGCCCCCCGCGCCCCAACCCTCGCTCGGCCCCGTCTGCTCCCCCCACCGCCCCCCGCGCCCCGGCCCTCGCTCGGCCCGTCTGCTCTCCCCCACGGCCCCCGCGCCCCGGCCCTCGCTCGGCCCCGTCTGCTGCCCCCACGGCCCCCCGCGCCCCGGCCCTCGCTCGGCCCCGTCTGCCCGCCCCCCTCGGCCCGGCGCGCACCACAGCAGCGGCTGAAGGGGCGCCGGGGGAGCAGGACGCTGCAGGGTGATGACTCAGGGTGCAGGGCCGGGGCGGCGCCGGGGCGGGAGCGGCGAGGCGCCCCCCGGAGGGGTCGGGGTGCGGGTGACGGCGATGGCACCGGGGAGCCCCGCCTGGGGCAGGCCGGAGCCGGCGGGCCGGGGCGGGCCGGGGGGAAGGCAGGGCTGGAAGAGGAAGCGAAAAGCGGGGGGCCCCGGGCTCCGGGGCTGAGCCCCCGGGGCTTCTCAGCGCCCCCGCCAAACCGCCGCAGAGGCCTCCCCACTCCCGCCTCCCCGGCTCGCCCGCTGACCGAACGAGTTGAGAAAGTCCGCGATTTTCTTGATGCTGCTGGTGATGACCTCAATGTACTCCCGGTTCGCCCAGTCCTGGTGAATCTCCCGCTGCACCGGGTCCTCCTGCCCCGCCATGGCTGACGCCGAAGGAAGCGCGTCTGCGCAGGCGCCCGGACCCGGCAGGCCGCCAGTGCGCCTGCGCCGCCGGCCCGCGCCCACCCTCAGAGCCCCACCAATCCACGGGCAGCAAGTGCGCCTGCGCTATGTCACGGCCGCCCGGCGTCCTCGCGCGCCTCCCACGCGTCTGAAAAGCGACGTCTCAGCGCGGGCGAGGAAAACGCAGTGCGCACGCGCCGAGAGCTCCCCGCGCCACCCGCATCCGGGTCCCTGACGGTTTGGGGCGTTGAGGGGCGCGTGGTGGGTGGCGCGCCTCCGCCCTCAGCTGCTGCGCGGCGGGGCTGTGCAGTGTCCGCCGGGAGACGGGTGACTGGCTGGATCACGTTAAATACAAATCATTGTTTAAAATGTCTTTCAGGGCCTCCCCGGTGGCGCAGCGGTTGAGCGCTGGGTTGCGAAACTGCGCGCGGCCTCTGCGGCGCCGGTTCGATCCCCGGCTGCTCCCCGGCCACCGGAGGAGGGTCCCACATGGCGCGCAGACCTCTCCTGCCGCCCGCTGCTCCCTTCAGCAGTGCACTTCGGTCCTTCTGCCTGCTCTGCTCCCCGCTCTGGCTCTGGTGAATTCTCCCACCCTCCCGCGCTTCTGACTGTACCCAGTGCATGTATAAACGAACAAACAAACATATAAATAAATAAATAAAACATGCCTCTATTTAAAAAAAAAATAAATAAATAAAATGTCTTTCAGCAACGCAACATGACGTCCCATACAACGTTCGGTTTATCAAATGATACTAGCGAAGGCACAGACACTTCCTTTTTTAACGATACTCGTCATGGCGGGACGGAGGGGAAGTTGATGGGCCCGCGAACAGCAGGTCGCGTTGTAAACGGGCGCAGCCCCTTTGGAAGGAAATGTGTTTGTTCACTGGTGACCAGGGACGTGAAAGACCAATAATCATTTCATTAAAAATTCACTGAAGGGGGGGCCTCCCCGGTGGCGCAGCGGCCGAGCCCTGGGCTGCGAAGCTGCCCGCAGCCTCTGCAGCGCCGGTTCGATCCCCGGCCGCCGGGGAGGGTCCCACATGGCGCGCGGACCTTTCCTGCCGCACCCGCTGCTCCCCTCAGCAGTGTACCTCCTCAGTCTGCCTGCTCTGCTCCCCGCTCTGGCTCTGGTGAATCCTTTCAACCCTGCACCTCTGACCTGCACCCCAGTTCTTGTATGCATAAATAAATAAATCTTTAAAAAAAAAATCACTGAAGGGAGGTGGGGTGGGGACGGCTTTATGCACAAAGGTGCTCTTTGTGGTATTAGCTAAAAGAAAAACAAAACGGCTACATCTCAGTAGTTGGGGTCCTGCTCATAGCTACTCACAGCAACTGTATGCGGTCGCTTAAATGCTAGGTATGAACACTGCAGTATAACACATGATAAATTGGAGGAAAACAAGACCCACATATTGTTCTTTAATTGCAATGGTGCACAAGGTATGTTTGCTTCAGGACAAAGAAAATACACCCCAAATGTCTGGTTTGTCAAGGTAGGGAAATTATGAGCACTTTTATTTTTGTTTCAGGGAATACTTACAATCTGGTGTGTGCCTTTTATTTTTTCAAATGTGACTGAGCGAACAGATTACTTGTAGCAGTAGCTGGGAATAAACCATTACTAACAGTCCTCTGGTAGATTTTAGGAGCTACACTATAAAGCTCTCTCACAACTATTTTCTCATTGTATTCTTACAAACACTATGCAAGTCAGGAAGGGGGTTTTCATGCTAGAGGAAAAAACTGAAGTTCTAGGTCACATTGTGAATTAAGTGGTGGACCTTCACCAGGTAACTCCAGATTCCACTGATTTTTACTCTGAAAAGAGGTTAAAGTCTTTATCGGGGCACTTCTATGTATTCATATCAGCAATTTCTAAAATAATTTCAACAAGATGTCTTCTAAGTGGCTGAAACAGTGTTTTGCTCATATAAGTCAGATCAACCTGTTTTCCTGTAATGGGAGGGCATCTTAGTTTTCAATCACAAATCCACCAGAGGAGCCACTTCGCCGTTCTGTGCTTTGCTTTCCTTTCTTTTTTTTTTTTTAAGATTTATTTATTCATTTCTGCATACAAGAACTGGGGTACAGGCCAGAGGTGGGGGGGGGGTGAGAGGATTCACCAGCGACAGAGTGGGGAACAGAACAGGCAGATCTACTGTGTGCATAAATAATCTTTTAAAAAATAAAAATAAAAAATAAAAAATTAGGACTCCAGCAGGGTGACCCTCTCTCCCAGGTAACTGTTTGCAGTGATGCTGATTTTATTACTAAGTTGCCTGATCACTCGCACCATTGTGAAAGGGGCATTTTTCAGCTTTGTGAGATGGGACAGTATAGTCCTTTTGAGGTTAATAGAAGGCAGAGTTTTGGGGTTCTTTTCCTAAAGATTTACTTATTCATGCATACAAGAGCTGGGGTACAGGCCAGAGATGCGGGGGGTGAGAGGATTCACCAGAGACAGAGTGGGGAACAAAACAGACAGATTGACTGAAATACACTGCTGAGGGGAGCAGCAGGTGAGACAGGGGACTGAACTCGTGCAGCAGAGGGTGCTGATCACTTCATAGTGCGGTAACCCCTGCGCGACCAGGGAGACCCAGAAGGCAGAGTTTTCTAGCAGGAAGTCAAGAGACCTGGATCCTTACTCTCCATGAGCTAGCATCTGTGTAACTGCTGTCTGCTTGCTCTGGGATCATTCCAAGGCAGTAGCAAAGCCTTCAGAACCCTGGGTACTCAGCCTGAACACCCACGGGGTTAGGGTTTGATGAGCAGAAACTAGCTTTTAACACAACTATTAGGCCGTGGTCTTCCTAGCAGGTTCCAGACCCCAACCTTTGAAGTGGGCGTGTCTCTCCTGTGACTGGCACAGGGGTGTTCAGGTGGGAAAGAGAAGGGAACAGAGGGAAATGGCTTCAAACTGGTACTCAAGACTGAGTCTCAGACCTGGCATTCCAAGACGGTGGGGGTGCGGAGTTCATCCTGACGTATCCAGCGGTACGCCTCGAGCCCTCCCCTGCCCCCGCAAAGGCTCGGGGGTCCCCCGAGGTCCTGGGTCACAAAGGCGGTTGCCAGGCGCCCGGAGGAGAAAAGTTGCGGCCCGGGAACAGCAGCCGCCACTCTGGAGCGTGCGGCCGGCGGAGTTCAGCAGGTGAGCCCCAGCCCGCACAGTGGGACAGGGCCCACTCTCACGGCCACCTCTGCCTCCGCCAGAGGCGTCTGCCCGCCCCCCAACCCCCCACCTTAGTAGGGACCCCCATGGTACAAGCCCCTTCTTCTGGCTGGGAGGGGGAGCCCACCCCATTCAGGAGGACCTCAGCTATGCTCGCTGCCAGCCCTTCCCCAGGCGGGGAGATGCGTGGGAGGGTCCTTGAGCGGGAGTTGCTGAATGAGGGGAAGCCTTTGGGAGCCCTTACAGCAGCTTGAAAAGACTTCCTAGGCTCACCCCTCTTGGAGTGGATGGCTGCCAGGAGGTGAAAATGTTGGTAAAGCTGGGGTCAGAGGCCTTCTTGTCCCCTTGGGTTCCGCCAAATGTTTATTTTTAAAATTTATTTATGCATACAAGAGCTGGGGTAGAGGCCAGAGGTGCTGGGGAGGGGGGGTGGTGACAGGACTCACCAGAGACAGAGTGGGGAGCAGAACAGGCAGATCTACTGAAATACACTGCTGAGGGGAGCAGTGGGGAGACAGGAGAGGTCTAGTGCGCCATGTGGGTAGCTCCCTGACTGGCCGGGGAATCGAACTCATGATGCAGTGGCTGGAGATAGCTTCATAGCGCTGTCTTTAACCCCTCCGCCACCAAATATTTAGAGTGGGCATTTGATAAGGTCGTTTACCTCAGGCCCTGTTTCCTTTTAGATGAGGCCGTAGGAAGAGTCTGGGATTAAGTCTATCAGAGTTAACCACCTCCCCTGTGACCACCCTGCCAGGATGGTGCACCAGGGCGGCCTGATCTTGGATACATGCTATCAGGTCACATCAAGCATCCAAAGCCTTTCACAGGCTGTTTGGAATAGCGACCTGCCCCCTGGGAGTCCACTTCTCTTCCTGAGCAGCCCAGATAGCTGAGCACAGTGTGAGAAAGGACCTGCATAGATCAGGAGAAACTCAGCAGGTAGAATCAACAAATCTCCTTTAATTAAGCACTGTCAAGGGCAGGCCTTCCAGTGTGAAATGTCACCAACTTCTAAATAATGAACTTCACTGTCTTACAAATGATGGTGGAGATGCCGACTTTACACAGCCCTCCCAGGCAAGGACTGGCTGGGATGAGATCAGGGCTGCTGCTGTTGACCTCCTGTGGGAGAGGAGAGAAGGGCAGAGAAAGGCACTTGGCTCTGAAGAAAAGCTATCTGCTCTGCCTCCAACACAAGGCAGGTGTTCAAATAATGTTAGCTCCTCCTGAATTCAGTAAGATGCTTTATTTAAACCATTTAAATGCGGAACGATCCAAATTCTACCTGGGTAAAAAATTTGAGTAACATTCCCCCAGCCCTTTACTTGTCTTTAAAAGGGGAGGTGAGAACTGAGGTCCTAACCTCTTCCATACATGGGGGAAAAAAAGCAAAACACACCGAAAAGGGCCGGAAAATCTTTTTAAACATGTAAAGACTGGCCTTTGGAAACTTTTTTCCTCCCAGCCTGGTGATTCTTCTTGGATGGAGTGTAAGTAGCCCAGGGCTCTGAGAGAGCCGCTCCTTTGTGTCAAAAAAGATTTTTTGGGCCTCCCCGGTGGCGCAGCAGTTGAGCGCTGGGTTGCGAAGCTGCCCGCAGCCTCTGCATCACCGGTTCTATCCCCGGCTGCTCCCTGGTCACCGGAGGGAGGGTCCCACATGGCGCGCAGACCTCTCCTGCCGCCCGCTGCTCCCCTCAGCAGTGTACTCCGGTCCTTCTGCCTGCTCTGCTCCCCGCTCTGGCTCTGGTGAATTCTCTCACCCTCCTGTGCTTCTGACTGTACCCAGTGCTTGTATACATAAATAAAAAATAAATCAATTAATTAATTAAAAAAAAGATTTTTTTTGGCACCAAGGGACTGTCTCCATCAGAATATTGAAAGCTGCAGTTTCTTTAAAGGAACAGCGTAAGTTCTCAAGCTGTAAGGTGCATCAGAACTCCCTGGAAGGCTTGTTTTAAACTCTGATTGAGAAGCCCTACGCCAGCCGCAGGCCTGAGGGGGCCTAAGAAATTGCACTTCTCCCATGCAACCAACGGTGCTGAAGGTGGTAGTCTCAGGGCAACACTTTGAGAGCTGCTGGCACAGGGGACTTGGAGTCACGAATGTTTGGTAAGGTGTGGCCTTCTGAGCTTCAAGCCACAAGAAAGACGGTATCATGAAGTGGTACCCCAGAGTGCACAGACCCTCTCTCACGGCTGTCAACACGGCATAGGCCCTGAAGTGTCCGTTCTGGACAACTGCATTTCCCCATTTGCAACATGGGAGGATTCTGATGAGGTTTGATATGGTCTTAGTACACGTAAGAGCTGGCAGACTGCATACATGTCACCAGCTCCCCACCCGTTAGAGAATGCCTAGTGCACTGGTGTCTAGGGAAACTCCATGTCTATTCCTCTCATCTAGGACTGTCAATGGCAGGATACCAGCTCTGGTCACCATGGACCCCACTGGACGAGAGCTTCCAATGGCTGCGGCACACGACACCCACACCTTCTTCTAAGCACCCTTTCAGGGCTTCCCCCTGCATCCCACATACTCCTTCTGACCTTGAGGTGCAGCTGTGCTTTCAAGAGGTCACTCTAGTCCTAGACAGCCCATTCCTGGAAACTGGGGTGAGTCCCAAGTTGCCCTGCCACACCTCAGAGCTCCAAAAAACGAATAACAAGAAAGGGCTGGTCAGGAAGCCCCAGCCCGTGCGCCTCAGCGGGGTGGATTCCGTTTTTGGCAGGGTCATCACGGCGCAGCCGCCAAAGTGGACTGGGACCTTCCGAGTGTCAGACAAGTCAGCCTTTTGCAAAATCATCAGCCGGGAGCACCAGTGGCCCACGGGCCTTAAGGAGCCCCAGATTCAGATGACGGTGACCATGTGCAAGCAGATGCTGCGCTCCATCCTCCTGCTGTACGCAACATACAAGAAGTGCACCTTCGCGCTTCAGCACTCCAAGTAGCAGGCTGGCGACTTATCCCCACGCCACGCCCTCTGCCGTGTGCTGGAAGCTGACAGAGCCTGTGCATGTAAAGGAAACTGTGCCATCGCTCCAGCTGCCTTGTTTTTCTGGCAAGCAGTGACACCTCAGGAGCTCCCTTCCTACCTTCCCCTGCAGAAAGGGGCCAGGGACAGAGCCAGGGAGAACACTTCCATTGTAAAGCTGAACCACCATTTAAAAGAGTCAAACTAGAATTGACATGTATATGTGATAAAGGACCATTAAATGAACCATATAAAGCACAAGCCTAGTGTGAAATCACTTAACCTCTAAGATGGCAGTGAGTTGAGGGAACAAAGGGTGTCGTGGAAAGAGATTTTGAGTTCAAAGAATATGCATGTGGGTCACATAGCAATGTAAAAAACAACCTCCCCCACCGAAACAACAAAACCAGACACCTTAACACCACCAGAGAGCACAAAAATGGGTAGAAATGTTAAATATTAAATAGTTACAGCCTGACAAGAAAGAACTTGCTAGCAACACTGAAACTGGAGACACAGAGCTCCCCATTCTAGCTGAAGGGTACTCCTAATGTTTTATTCCTTGTAATTAGATTTTAGGTACAACCTGAACACTGTGGAAATAAAATGAGCATAAAGTCAACAGGAGTTTATGCTGCCTTTCCCCCTTCCGCCTTATATCTACATGACAACCACAACATTTAAACAGTAGCCAACACATTCCTTTGATTTTCTCTCTGCCTTAACAAGATAGTCATCATTTCTGCAAAGATGTCACAAAGACCTTCTCATCTCAAATAAAAGGAAACATGACTAATAAAACTAATTTGTTGGCACTAATCTATTATTTCTCCACACAAACCCCAATTCAATTCCACCTAATTCCTGAATAATGAAGGAAATCCAGGAACAGGAATAAGGCAGCTGAGACACAACTTCAAACAGACTTTATTTGTAGAACTGGTACAAGCCTAATTCTAGAAAAAATATCAGTTTCAAAACTAGCTCAGCGCCCAGAACCAGGACTACTACTCCACAGCACAGCTACCCTCACCCCAACTGGTAAGTGATGCTACCGTGAGCTAAGAGCAAGGGTCCCCGGTGATGCCAGACAGTCTGCGAAATACACACAAGATAGGATGTGTCCAGAGAGGCAAGTACCAGACTTCAAACCTGAACACAAAATGCTAAGAGGCGGGGAGGGCGTCAGTGTGTGCTAATCAGAGGCATCGTCGCTGTCATCACTAGCTTGCTCGTTTTCTGCATCACTTGCTTCATCATCTTCACCATCCTACGGGGCAAAGGAGAATTCAGTATTTTAGGTCATCTGGTGACCCCATGAGTTGCAGTACTGCTCCCACAGGATACATGCTGTGTTGTATCATTGTTAAAATCAACAGTAAATATTAAAACATTCCTTTGAAAACTGAACCCAAGGTTCTCCCACTCTTTTTTTTTTTTTTTTTTTTAAAGAGATTTTTATTTATTTATACAAGCACTGGGACAGTCAGAAGTGTGGGAGGGTGAGAGAATTCACCAGAGCCAGAGCAGGGAGCAGAGCAGGCAGCAGGAGAGGTCTGTGCGCCATGTGGAACCCTCCCTCCGGTGGCCGGGGAGCAGGCGGGGAATCAAAATGGCGCTGCAGAGGCTGCGAGCAGCTTCGCAACCCAGCGCTCAACCGCTGCGCCACTGGGGAGGCCCTCTCCCACTCTTCTTGATGGGATCTGTAAGCTTAAAGGCCATGGAGCCAGGCCATTTGATAATGACTTAGCCTTCTTCTGCAGTGGAATCAAATTTGCATGACTTTAAATAAGCCATTTTAGCTTAAATAAGCCCGAAACACTGCAGAGATGTCACACAGGAACAAAGTGGGCATCCAAAATAGAATACAATGTCTGCTAAATTAAAAACCTTATGTACCACAGGAATCCAACACAAAATTCTCTCTGGTCTGCAACTCTAATCTGGCAGTTTTGTTTGGGAGAATACACAAATCCAAACCAGTAGGATATTGTCTGCCTCAAAAAAAAAAAAGTATATATATGTAATAAAAAATATATATGTAATAAAAGAATCTATCACAAATGATCTCAGCCAGCCTTACATTGCATTATAGACAGGATCCACGACAGGGGCTTTGAATCTGAGCTTCTCAGGGTCCATAAACCACCTGAGTAACACAATTTCATAAACATATATATTTTTCTTTGGCTTTCTTCAAAGGCTCTAGTGCTCAGGGGTGACAGCTTTTGTTTCTGTGCTTTTGCTTTCACCAAATGTTTTCACATTTCTATTTTACATATTAAAACCCAAGTTTAAATGTTTTAACTCATTCTTCCCACAGCTCACAACACTTTGACCTCTATTTCCCCCTTTAAAATGGCTTTGGGGGGCCTCCCCACTGGCGCAGCAGTTGAGCGCTGGGTTGCAAAGCTGTCAGCAGCCTCTGCAGCACCGGTTCAATCCCCAGCTGCTCCCTGGCCACCGGAGGAGGGTCCCGCATGGCGCGCAGACCTCTCCTGCCACCCGCTGCTCCCCTCAGCAGTGTACTTCATCAGTCCACCTGTTCTGCTCCCCGCTCTGGCTCTGGTGAATTCTCTCACCCTCCTGCGCTTCTGACTATACCCAGTGCTTGTATAAATAAATAAATAAATAATCTAAAAAAATAAATAAATAAAATGGCTTTAGGGCCTCCCTAGTGGCGCAGGGGTTAAGTCTCACCACTATGATGCTATTGGCAACCACTGCAGCATGAGTTCGATCCCCAGCAAGGGAGCTGACCCACATGGTGCAGCAGACCTCTCCTGACTCGCCCGCTGCCCCACCTCAGCAGTGTATTTCAGTAGATTCGACTGTCCTACTCCCCACTCTGTCTCTGGTGAATCCTCTCACCCCCAACCTGGACCTCTGGCCCATACCCCAGTTCTTGTATGCATAAATAAATAAAATAAATCTTTAAAGAAAATAAAATGAGTTTAGAGAAAATAGGAGGCTACAATGGAAAAGTTTTCAACTCAAGTATATTCTGCAACTTGAGATAGACGATTGTATGGTTTTTTTTTTTTCCTTGCTCCCACAGAATTCATACAAGCCCAGAATCTTTTCTAGAGGGAATGGTGAGGGACAGAAATATCTGATTACAAACACAAGCAGGAAAGTCCTGTACCTGCCAACTTAGAATAATTAACCACCATCAGCGCCACACCCTGGTGCCCCACAGAGAGATACCTCCTCTGCTTTGCTCCTGGAGACCTGGGAAGAAGGGTCATCTTCACTCTCATCCGCAGTACTCTCCTGGGAATTCTGGGATATAATCTCTTCACCCTAAACATGGGTGGGCCGAGACAAATGGCAAGTTAAAATGACCACATTTGGGTTCCAAGAGGAGAAAGGCTTTGCTCACAGGCAATACAAAGGAGAAAGATAGTCTCGCCATTCAAACGCAGTCAGACATGGACACCAACCTGTGATCCAGCATCTAGACAGGTATGATCAGCAGTTTCTGAGATGACATGGCTCTGGTGCAACATGTACTTATATAAAAGGCCCACCTTCACATGCTGACATCAGACTAAGTTTTACAAGATCAGACTGTAGAAACTCTTCCAGGTAATGTTTAAAATACTCCTCTAGGGATCTCCCTGGTGGCACAGGGTTAAAGTCTCAGTGCTATCAAGCTGTCGCCAGCCACTGCAGCATGAGTTCAATCCCCAGCCAGAGAGCTACCCACATGGCGCAGCAGACCTTTCTGTCTCACTCGCTGTTCCCCTCAGCAGCATATTTCAGTGGATCCGTCTGTTCTGCTCCCCACTCTGGTGAATCCTCTCACCTCCCCGCCTGCATCTCTAGGCTACACTCCAATTCTTGTATGCATAAATTAAAAAAAAAAAAAAAAACCACTTAAAATAGTCCTCTATCTCTGAGGTCCTATTTCTATCAATGGTTCTGTGTCTTCACTGCCTGGGATGAGGAGTGCAGCCTGTGACGGGGGACGAGAGCAATGTAGCTTTTTTTTTAACCACCCCTCAATTTATGCTAATGTTAAGAGATGAGCAGCCACAGACTTAAACAAGCAGTTTTGCTGAGAGAGGGGAGAGCTTAGGTGACGACCCTCCCATACTCGCTAGTGCTCTCACCAAGAATGGGAGCAGCTCATGATCCCTGGTGGGGTCCCAGGCTTACCTGCAAGTCCCGGTTTTTGAGATTGCCCAGCCAGAAAGCCTCCCTGCAATTGTTGAGGACGAGCATGGCTTTCACTCTGCAAACTAACAGCTCCAGGGTCTTTTTGAGCAAAGGCACATGTCTGGTGAGTTTTGTGTCCTGGTGAATCTGATAGGAACAAATACAGTTAATTCACACTGATTTAATCACAGACTTACACTTTTCCTGTACAGAGATTTTTGAACTCCTGAGCCTGTTCAATGAGTCAGCGCATGAGCCCTACCAGCACTGGCTGAGGCATAGCCATTAAATGGGGTAGTTCGCAGAATACTCCAAAGGGAATAGGCAAAGTTCCTCTAGCAAGAGAGACTAGAAGTCATACCAACAAGATCTCTAGGATCTCTTTGAAAACTCTTATTAATTTTAATGAATTTATCTGTAATATTTTTTAACTTAACAGAGTATCCCTGTTTGGCTCAGAGTCCATAAAACCCCACAGTTCGGCACCTTCCACAGTTAGATCCAGGGACAAACTGCAACAGAAACTGGATCAGAGTCATTCAGTTTGCCAGTGACCGCAGAACTCTGCGGTTCTGTGTCCTTCAGCCTAGAAGTGACGATGGCCCATCAACTGCAGGCTGCAAGTGAAGAAGTCCTTTAATGCTGCAGGTGGTCAGGCGGGTGGGTGATGACAGCTCCTCCCCTTACCTTGGAATGCCCGCACAGGTGGTGGAGCAGCCTTGTGCTCAACTGGAAGGTTTCCAATAAGCTCAGAACATCTTCCTAAAATCAACCACATTTATAAATGCTCATTTCATCCTAGATGCAAAAGATCTTTGTAACCAAGGGTTCTAGGGAAGATGGGCCCGCAGGTACCAGCCATATATTGGTAATTCTCTTCATTTCATGCTCAATAGGAGGAGCCGCGCTGGCCAGCGGACTTCCCCTTCCGCAGGACCAAGTAAGAATTGCGAGACTTTTGCAAAGTTGACTTTGCTAAAGGTCAACTGTGTAAGAAACTATCATTTGTTTCTACCCTTATTTCCCTACTCTAGGCCTGGATCCCACTTGGCTAAAAGAAAACACTCAAGATTGTCCATTATAATGCCAAGGAGTTTATGACACCAATGAGTTTTTGGGTTTTTTTTTTTTTTAAGATTTTATTTCTTTTATACAAGAACTGGGGTACAGGCCAGATGTGAGGGTTAGACAATTCACAAGAGACAGAGCGGGGAAAAGAACAGGCAGACTGATTGAAATACACTGCAGTGTGCAAGACAGGAGAGATCTGCTGCACCATGTGGGTATCTCCCTGGCCGGCCGGGAATCAAACCGGCATTGTCAAGGCTGTGGACAGCTTTCACAGCACCTAGCTCAACCAGTGCACCACCGGGGAGGCCCAATGAGTTATTTTTTTTTAAGTGCTCTTGGAAGTAGGCCTAGACAAGCACAAAGGAATAAGCAAGTAACACACCAACACACGTTAGTGCTGATATTGCTGGGAGTGCAACAGCACCGTGGGCTCAAGCTACAAAGACACCTCCCTCAGGCCTGAAAGAGCGCAAGATGGGTTTGAACCAGGTAGGCCGAGTTCTGCTGACTGTGGAGTATTTGCGCATCTCTGGTGAGAAGTGCAGCGGCCCAGCACACAAGAACTAAGGCCCAGAGCCTGTGCCGGGGAACCACCTCCAAGCTCACCCTCCATCGCCACGGGTATAGCTGCAAGCAGCTGCACAGAGCATGCTTTGCTCTGTTCTGGGTTCTTACCCGGTGTTTTCTGAAACTGAAGTCCAGGAGCGGCATGCACTGCTTGAGGAATGCTTTCACGAAGAGATGCCCGTACTGGAGGAGAGAGGAGACACACAGGAGGACCCCAAGCCACCATTGCCACCCGGAAGGCCCCTCGCACAGGCCAGCACAGCACCACCCACTCAGGGGTTTCCTTATTTTTATGTAGGAAAAAACACATTGAAAGGGGCCCAAAAAGCTAATTTGGAGAATGGAATTTAATGCAAAGACAAAATAGATCTGGCAACTAAACCCCAGAATCAGGCAGATTTACCTTGTCAGACACAGCTAACAGCTATAAGAAAAAGGGCATAAAAGAAGGGAGCACAACCCCAGCTCTCCCTACAGCTTTCTCCCACGTGCAAAAATTTGGATAGAGCTGAAGTAGCACCTGAGCGACTGCCAAAATGACCAGTCACATCGGCCGCCACTGCCACGTCGCCCACACTGGCCCCAGGCTGGAGTGAGAAGCCCTGAGAGGACAAGGATGGAGCACCCCACACTGGAAGGACAGACACTCCAGAGGAGGGAAGAAGCATCCTCCCGAAACACGCCCAGCTCCTCATCCACTGGGGCAACCATCACACTAAGGACTACACTCAGTAAAGGAGTTCAAGAATGGTCAGGATTCAGCTCCACATGCATGAGGCCACCCAAGGACCTTAAAAGGGACTCACCCTTTCCTCCTCCCCCTGCTGCCTGGCAGGGAGCGGGAGGGGAGCAACTGACAGTCTTCAAGACAGCGCCCGGGTCCACTCCTCCTATTTCTAAGACTTGGACAGAAAGTTTCCAACACTGAAGACTGGCTTCTCCAGTCCTCCGACTACTGGAGGAAAGGTCTGTGTCTTCCCTAAACTAAACAGCGAATCTGGAGACTCTGCCTTGAGGGCAAGGCGTGAGCTCTTCACCTCAGCTGAGGCCTTCTCTAGAGACCCACGGCAACAACAAACACGAAAGAGGGCTCAGGAATCTCTCACCTTCAGACACACGTGCAGAACAGGCCGACTATCAAACACCTGCAGAGAGGAAAGAGAGGAGACCAAAGCTGAGGTGTGTCTGCTGAGCACCCAGCTTCCTTCCCACTGGGTAATTCTGGGGGTTACGGAGAATTCTAAAACGGAGAGGGCAAATGTTAAAAAAAAAAAAACACTGCAGAACACAGTCATCACCACAACTGAAGTTCAAGAAAACAGGGGAGGAAAGAATAAGAAATGGATCCCATTTTTGAGAAGGTGGCACTGTAGAGGGATAAAGTATCGATCTGAAGTCTTAAGAAAGAACGGGCAAAGAGGCAGGAAGGAGAAAGACAGTGGGAACCACCTAAAGAAAATCAGGAATGGTGTGCACAGAGCTGTCTGAGGGAGAAGGCGCTCAGGGCTGGAGGAGATGCTGGGGGATGTGCTCAGATCAGAGGCCCTGTGGCGAGGTGAGTCAGTGGGAGTGACGAGTGGAGGGCGCCACTAAGAACAGCATGTGCTGTGGCACGGATGGGAAGAAGGGCAGCCAGCAGGGAAGTGACATGGCCTAGAGAGAGAAGGGGTTGTCCAGGATGGAAGAGGGACAAAGGCAGAAGATGGGGGAAGAGAGAGAGGGACCCCAAAGAAGGGGGGGAGAGGATGCATCCACTTCAGAAGTCAGGACCCTTGTTGCTTTCTGCAGTTAGCTGGAAAGATGGGTCGGGAGTCTCTAGTCACCTTTATCAGGTTGATGAGGATGCTAAAGTCTCGAACGGCCATGTTCCAGTAGAGGAGCTTCTCTTCGTGAATCTGGGGACACGAGTGCACAGGCACTTCAGAACCAAAGCCAAATACTTCATTTACTGTACCTCCCCTCCCCGCCCAAATATGCACTTCCTGACTCCCTCAGTATTCAGACTTGAATCCACCTATCCACAGGGGTGCGGCAATCAGCGCACCCACAGGTGGCGCTGGAGTTGGCACATGTGTAACTTTAGGGCACCCCGCAGAGGTTTTCTTAAAAGATGACTGCTCTTTGGTCATTTCCAAGTAGGAAAAAGCGTCTGTGACATATCTCAGGTCACCAGCGTCCCCTAGCTGGCCCTGTTCAGGGGTCTTGGTCAGTTCGGTGAGCAGGCTGCTGAGGCCAGCACCACGGCCTCTCCAACAGCGATTCAGCTCACGCCAGCTCACGGGTGCACACTGCCTGCATGGGAGGCTGCAGCCACAGACATTTTGTCCAGAGCTACGGCCTATGGAGCAGTTCTAGCTTTCCCCAGGGACACTGGAGCCCAATTCCCACCTCCCACCAGAGGGAAAGGAAATTAAAATAGGAACTATTTGAAGAAAATCCTGGATTTTGGTAATTAGAGGAATAGCTTAGAAGACCCACCTCCTGCGGGTCTGCTGCTGTGCCAGCCTGCAGGTCTTTCACTGTCTTCTCCAGCTGAGCCATCATCACACGGAAGAAGATGACAAAGGTGTTCCTAGGAAGCAGGCATGCACACTGGTCAGAGATCTCCTGGGAGGAGGCCAAAGCCACGACCCTCCCCACCTTTCTGAAAGTACTCTCACTAGGATCCACAGTAGGAGCACCGGAGAGTACATAGGATTCAGAAATGAGTCCACGATGGCCTGTGGAGCAAGGGTGCTACTGGTGTGGCGGAGACAGTGTGGCGGAAAGGAAAGGGCAGGAAGCTATGGCGAGTAGACTGGAGTTCCAGCTCTTGGTTCCGCACGGTCCAGCCCAAGCCCTTGTTTTGCGCATTACGTCAGAGGAAGGATCGAGCGAGACTGAGAATACATTCTAAACTGTGCAGGCCACACAAGTAAGACAACCACTAATCTTACGAGACACAAAAACCCATTAAGTGAGCGCATGATTAACTACAAAATCAACCTTTTCTTTTAAAGGTGGCTAAAATCTCAGAAAAATAGCCTCAAGTTGAAAGGAAGAAGTGATCAGAAGTTTAATGACTGATATTCACTGTCTCTGAAGACTCTACTGACAATTCATTTCTCAATAAGATGTTTTCGCAAGAACCAGCTGAGTCCCTTGGAAAGAAAGCCTGCCCGTAACCAAACTGGAAAAGAAGGGAGACAGCCATTTGGAAACTATGATGGTCAGCGTGATTCCACCTAAGGAAAGAGCCAGAGGAGGGAAACCCCTTACCTGGTCAACGTAGGGAACGTGGAGGAAGCTGCATCTTTGGAAGAGTTGATCAGTTCTGGGACACCAACACCCGCAATCTCCTCTATGGCCTTCAGGACACTGTCCGTGTGCTCCAGGTAGATGCTGTGTTGGGAACCACAGGGATATCAACACCTGCCACAGAGTTCTATGGCAAGATTCCTTCCCTGAGTCACTACCAGATATTAAGTTTTAGCTAGCACACGCGCGCGCACACACACACACACACACTGCTAACATTTATTTTCACTAAAATAGCAAAGATCCCAGATACTTGTCAGGAGGTAAAGACAATGATGTCTCAGTTGGAAACAACAGCCGGACACCCTAGAATTGATGGGCGTGTGTAGTCTACGGCAAGCCATAGATAAGTATCTGGCTCATTGGCTAACAAGGCAGACTCTTCTCTTCCTCTAAGGCTGATTTAACGAGGAACTAGCTGACAGCATAAAAGAGTACTACAATCCATATAATCCAACTTCTGTTCATTCTGAACCTCTTCACCCCCAAGCAAAGTCACTTCCCAGTCTGATCAGAGGAGGGTGCCAAGAGCAGCGAAGACAGAGGCGTCTCTGGGGAAGAAGCCCAAGAGCCTCACCAGAGCAGAGATCTGAGCTGGTCACTGGGGGTGCCCCGGTTCTCCTTCTCCCCACTTGGCCACACCCGGCAGAGGAACTGTCGGGCCAAGGACGCTGTTGGAGAAACAAAACAACGACATCTTATGTGTGGAAAATTAATCTCACTCAGCTTTTCGGGCTTTTGGGGATGACTACTGATTATCAAAGGATTATTCTTTTAAAATTATAACAAAATCCCTGGTTTAACCAACAATTTGAAGGCAGCTGTCATGAGTTCCTGTTCCACTGGTCCTTCTACCAGAAATAAATCCATGTGTCTAAGACCCAACACCTTCCACCCTCTCAGCCTGCCCTGGAACACATACACACGAACATACACGACATATGCACAGAAAAGGAACGCTGCTGGACAGTGGGGAAACCGGTTTTGTTCCCCCCGGACAGGCCAATAAGCAGTGGCCACCTCTGTTGATTCAGACCAAACCCTCCCCTTTTAATCAACAGGAACAATAAAGGCTCGTTTTGCATTTTTGTCTTGCTTTCTGCTTGGGCTGCCAATTTGGATGTATGATCAGTGAATTGCACTCCAAGAGCTACAACAAAAGCTAGTCTCAGAAAAGATGAGGGAAAGGATCAGGCCTTTCTTTATACTCATTTCTGCTTTCTCCCTTTTCTCTCATTTTACTAACTTCCTGGTTTATGCCTTTTATCAAATGGCTCATCTAATTTAAAAAAAAAAAAAAAAAAAAAAGGAAGGGCATGAATAAACATAAGCCAAACGAATTATCTAGTCAACTGAACTAACCAAAATCAGACTGAGTAGCAGCAACAGAGATCAGTCATAGTTCTTTCTGGGAAAATGTCCTTCTTGGACATCCAGTTATATGGGAATTTACTTATAAAATGCAAAGGCCCTGGGAAAGCCCCAAGTTTATAAGCTTGAGTTTTTAATGATACTCATGAAGAAAAAAAATCAGAGGCTCTAGGCCAATCACCAATTTTCTCTTTGTTCTGAGCAGGAGATGTAGATTTCTCCAGAATGACCATCAGAAGTCTGATGAGATAGAGAGCACACTGGAAACTGGGGATACTGTGACAGAAATTCTGTAAGTAATGGAAGCTTTGGCTGTAAAGAGACAAAGAAATAAAAAGCAACACAAGTATTACAGAAATGTCCAAATCCATCAACTAAGTTCAGTTAAAGAGTTCAAAGTTCTCTGTGCGCCTCCTCCTTTCATTTTCCTTGTAAACAAACCTTTCATTAACTGCCAAAAAAAAAGTTTGACATCTTAATTTTCAGCACTTTAGTAGCAAAGCTCTTTCAGGCTCTTGGTAGAGAACTATGACTTTATATGGAGAAAGTCAGGGCAGAACGGAGCCCAGGGGCGAGAAGGCTGGCCTTGATGGCATCATGAATGCCAAGAAACCCAAATACTAGTCCAGGCCATGCTTTTCTGTGCAACCTTGGCAAATTATTTAACCTTTAAGACCTTAAGTAAGAGAATTATGCAGAGAATAATGTTTTAATTCTGAGTCCACAGAGACAACATGAAAGGAAAGTGTAATATAAGGCAGAGAAAGCAGGGCTTATAATAAATGTACAGATACAGCAGCCATAGTTTCACTATTAAAGTAATGGGGAATGGGGCTGGGGGAAGGGGGAGGGATGTAGAGGGGGTGTCACAATTTATTCAAAATTGTACTGAAGTAAAACTAGTCAACTCTTGACTGATGGGTGGGAAGAAAATCAAAACAATTTAATAGCACTATATTTAAAACGCAGTAAGGTCCTGCGCTCTAGACAGGGGTGCTAACCGCTGATTATGGACCCAAAGATGGCCCAGGCTCTCAGGGAGGTGGGAGAAAGACTAAGTTACTCTGACTGAAGCTGAGGCAGGAGACTGGGAGCCATGCCCCTTAGAGTGCCTTCATAGGTCCCTCCTCCACTGCAAGGCCTCAGCCAAGGCCCCTCTTCTTCCGGTTGGGAGGGGCAATCAGTGACCACCGCTAGATGCCATCAAGTGACCTAGCCCCAGCTGGAGACCAAGCAGGATCCTGGATAATCAAGAGTTGATTGGAGCTGATCAGAGCTTTCATTCACACCCGAAAAGGCCAACTTTTCAGGGTGGTGGGTGCACGATGATTTAGTATCAATGGTTTCTAATGCTTTAGGATTTTATCCAAATACATAGGCGAGAAAGCTCATATATCTGAGAAAAAGGAGCTGAAAACTATTCATTCCTCACAGCTACAGAGTGACACTCGAGTTGTTTCCATGAAACCTGGCTCCTCCCGCTCCCAGGACTATACTCTGGGATATGTGGTCTGACCCACCTGAGCAGTTCCTCCAAGGGCTGGTCAGGCTCTACCTGCTTCAGTCGATTAGTAAAGACCTCAAGGGCTGAGTAGAGCAAATTTTGATTTTCAGGTAGGAAAAATCCATTCCTAAGGGAAAGTCAAGGTAAGACAGCTTAGCAGCAGGCAGAGTACTTGCACAGCATTTGAGGGTCCCAGCCTTGAGTGTGTACAAACGAGAGAGGAGGACTCAGGTACTGGCAGAACTCAGGTGCAAGGGTGGTCACAGCTCCGAACATCTGACTAGAAGATGAAGCCCACCCGCAAGTGTCCTTGAGGACCTGACAGTCCCTGTAGGAATATTTTCAAGGGGAAAAGCCCTTCCTCAAGGTCCACATTTTAGAGTAAGTCTCAGTCTTACAAATAAACAAAAACAATAAAACAGGCAGGAACAATGCTGTTATACTGCTACATCAGTCTCATCCTTCCGGAAGAGGAGAGGTGCTCAACAAAGAACGATTCCTGCTTCCGCATCAGTAAATCCTGCCAACTCCAGCTTCAGTTACCCTTGTCCTTTCTCCTTCAGATTACCTTTCTTACTGTCCCTTCCTTTCTACCCAGGCCCTCACCCTCAGCCACAGTCTTATTATCTCATGAGCACATCGTGGTGACACTCGGCAACTGGACTCTGCATCCCTTTCCAGTCTGCCCTGCACACTGCTGCCGAAAGGATTTCCTAAACACTCATGTCACTGCATTATGGCTATGAGCATTCAGCCCCAAAACTGCTTCCCTGGACAACATTCAAATTCTTCTGACTAACCATTAAGACAGAGCACAATCTGCTCCCCTGGTCTACTCCCCCAGAAGAAGCGTTTCCTCCATCACCAGTGGAAGGCTTTCTCTCAACAAATGTACTCTGAAGGCCTATTATGAGCCAGGCAGTTTGGCTTTTTTGTGGTGTAACTGGCATATGATGAACTGCATGTATTTAAAATGTTGCATTGCATCAGTAAACTCATATAAATTCATAAAATCACTACAATGAATATATTTATTACCCCAAAAGTCTGTCTCCTGTATTCCTTTATAATTCCTCCATCCATCTTCCTCATTTCTACTTTTGTCCATGCTGTGCCTTCCATACCCTTCCTTAACTCCCTAAAGGCCAGGCACCCTTTCAAGAGCCTGATGAAGTTCCAATGCTGCCACAGGGACTTCCCTAAAAACCAGAGCCCATATTATATTAGTTCTTTATCACACAGCCTGCAATTTACAACTTGTTCACTACCAACTTTTAAAATAAGTCTCCCTGGTACTGTTAAAGAAAGCGTACTTAAAAAAAAAAAAGGCAAGCTTACTACACAGCAAGCTGGGTAAGAAACAAATGGCCAGATTTGGTACGAGTTAGTCAAATAGCAAGTCACCTAATCAGTCAGAGGGTTTAATAAAAACAGCCCCTGGTGGTGCAAGGGGTTAAGCACCACACTATGAAGCAATCCACAGCCTCTGCAGCATGAGTTCGATCCCCGACCGGCCAGGGAGCAACCCACATGGTATAGTAGACCTCTCCTGTCTCTCCTGCTGCTCCCCTGAGCAACGTACTTTGGTCAATCTGCCTGTTCTGTTCCCCGCTCTGTCTCTGGTGAATCCTATCACTCCCCGCATCTCTGGCCTGAACCCCAGCTCTTGTATGCATAAATAAATAAACCTTTTAAAAAAAACAGTATAAGACATGAGGGGACAAGATGAAACAAAAGAAGGCAGACCAAAAAACAAAAAAAAAAAAAAAAAAAAAAAACCACCTCCAGAAAGAATAAATCACATTTACATATGACTTTTTTTTTTTAAAGATTTATTTACGCATCCAAGAACTGGGTCAGAGGTGTGGGGGGAGGGGGCGGGGGGGGGAGAGGATTCACCAAAGACAGAGTGAAGAACAGAACAGGCAGATTGACTGAAATCCACTGCTGAGGGGAGCAGCAGGCAAGCCAGGAGAGGTCTGCTGCGCCATGTGGGTGCCTCCCTGGCCAGGGATCAAACTCATGCTGCAGTAGTCACAGATAGCTTCATATGTTGTGTCTTAACCCCTTGCACCACCAGGGAGGCCCTACATAAGACTCAGTGCCCTGGTGACATTCAAGTAAAAGAAGTACATACTTGTCCAGAACTCACCAAGCAAAAAGCCCATGAAAAATCTGTAGCAACCTCTGATAGCATGAAGACATCATGTGGTACTCCTCAACTTTCGTTTCTGGTCCATCTACTATCCCATGATTCTCGGCAGCTAAGCACTAAAAGGGAAAATGCCTTTAGGGCAGTTGACCCAACAGCTGCCCTCACACCCCTGCTAAGTTTTCTCCATCAAAAGTGAAGTCTTTCTTCATTTAGCTACATCTAAGTCTCTATCGTGGTAAGAGAGCGTCTCACCTGAAAATAGTTATGCATGTTCTCCAAGTGGTTACACATCGGGGTCAGCAGCTGTACAACACTATGAGCAATTTCTCGGGCAGATCTCTGATGGAGATGCGAGAACCCAACGTTGCGGCTTCCTTTACCCTATGAGAAATTCTGAGTTACTGAGGAAGAAACTGCTGGGTAACTGCTCTGAAATTAGGAGTTCATTGTGTAATTTAGTCAAACCTAGGTCACCAGTTAGGAGCAGATAGAAATTAGTTGCTTGCTAAGACTATATCCTGATGGAGTGACAAAAAATATTTTGATCCACCTTCTAAGAAACCAGACGACTGGCTTTGGAAGAGTATGAACAGTGTCTGAGCAGTTTAGACCCAAGATTTTTTTTTTTTTTTTAAAAGATTATTTATTTATTTATTTATACAAGCACTGGATACAGTCAGAAGTGCGGGAGGGTGAGAGGATTCACCAGAGCCACAGCGGGGAGCAGAACAGGCAGACAGACAAAGTACACTGCTGAGTGGAGCAGCGGGTGGCAGGAGAGGTCTGTGCACCATGTGGGACCCTCCTCCGGTGGCCGGGGAGCAGCCAGGGATTGAACTGGCGCTGCAGAGGCTGCAGGCAGCTTCACAACCCAGCGCTCAACCGCTGCGCCACCGGGGAGGCCCTAGAACCATGATTTTTAAGATAAAGCTCACACATAAAAAGAAATCAGTTAGGCTGGTAAGAGTCTAGAGCAAATAGAACAAAAAAGGTTCTACGAACTAGATATACTGTTTATAAGCTTAAACCTATGATTTTCACATTTTGCTGTTTGTATCATCAACCTGCTTTCGCAGTGGCTACATGCACTCACAGCTTACACACACAGTCAAGGCCTGGGCCTCCTTTAGTCAGTCAGCTACTGCAATGAGATGTGGCCACCCGGCTTAGGATGGGAGATTGTTAAGGGTGAAACCCAAGCAAAGAATAGAATTCGGGAACATTCAGGGCATTTAGAAACATATTTCCAATATTTGGTGGATCTGAAACTCTGCTTCAGAGTTCCTTTCAAAAGCCAGGTGAATAAGGCCTGACAACAGGGCCAGCATGAGTAACCCAACCACAGTATCAAAGAAACTGACAACCTACCCCTGCCAGACCCTGTTTCACTCCATCAAGACTAGGTCCCGTGCTTCTGCCCATACTAACCTTGAAGAAGGGGACTCTCTGGACAGCAGGAGGTGCCAGTACATTCTCCAGTTTCTGGGACAGATCTTCCAGCAAGAAAAGCAGCTCAGGGGGCTGAAGATGCACAACTTCAGCGGCCTGTCACAAGGAAGAAGGAAGGAGTAACTGCTAGGGTGTTCTAGTCAATTCTGTGAGGGCCACATTTCATGTGTGCTCTTCCCAATGGGCAAAGAACCTGACCTTAGCAAAGAATAAAACGGAAAATTGTCTCCCATCTGATTTGTTTCTTAAATATTTTATTTATTTATTTACTTGTATGTAGAAGAACTGGGGTGTAGGCCAGAGGTACAGGGTTGAGAGGATTCACCAGACAGAACAGGGAGCAGAACAGGTAGATCTACTGAAATACACTGCTGAGGGAAGCAGCCAGCAAGGCAGAAGAGGTCTGCTGCGCCATGTGGGTAGCTCCCTGGCCGGGGATCGAACTCAGGCCATCGTGGGGCCGCCATGAGGCCACTTCGATGGTAGCGCTGAGACTTAACCCCTAAGCCACCAGGGAGGCCCTCTCCCATCTGATTTAAATGGCTGTTGTGCTGTTAACAAATCAAAAAATCAAGCACCCCCAATGTAAAGGAAAATGTTAAATGATTAAAGTAGGCGTCCAGGGCAGTCGTTCCCACAGACGGACTTTTCCCTAGAAAATAAATGATGGGCGTCTTTCAGCTGATGACCTGCGCAAGTTTCCTAAATTCCTGGGAATGAGAAAGGACTAGTGTGTGGTAATTGTGCTTTCATCTGTTCATTAATCCTCTCATATTTTCTTTCTCCCAATGTTCTGCTCCTACTCACTCTGGGCAAGAAGACTATAAACATACTACGCTATCAGAAGCAGAAAGTGCCAAATACAGTCTCACTTTAAACTGTTCATTCAATATACATCTACGGAGAATCTCTTAAGTACAAGCTGATGTAGAAAGATCAGGGGAAAAATAAATACTGTCTTTACTTTGAAGATTACATTCTTGTAAAAATCTACAAAAATCCATGCTTTTTTCCCCTACTAATTTATTATTTCCTACTAACTTAATTTTTTCCAACTCTGGTTAAATTCTGTAGAAGTTACATTTTTTGGTGAAAATGTCATCTACTTCCAACTTCAGTATAAATCCCATTCCGTTCTCAGTTTTACTGATACTTAGGTAGGCCACTGATATAGCACAACAACTAGTTATGTCTACTGAGTAGATTATGGGCTATTTGAAGGCAAATATCATGCTGTATGTACTACTGAATGGCAAACAAAACAGGCCTTGATAAGTATCTGGTGGCTGATGAACAAATATGAAAAAGTGAAAGTAGCGCTGATCTCTATGAGCCAAAACAGTGCTGTTCTGCAAAAGTAAATAGCTTGCTGTGTGCACCAAAGGTAGGAATTATATCATTAGCATGACCGTAAGATCTACTGAACTATTAAATCAGATTTATACACATAAAAATGATAAAGATAATTATTCCTTATTACTTTCATATACAAAGGCTTTGGAAGCCCAAGTCCAATTTGTCTCAATGTCATAGGTTTATTTTTGAGTAAGAACAGACCTGAGGAATTTTCTGAAAGATCGAGTTCTGCGATGATCTCAGCTGTGTCACTTACCTCAGTGTGCATTTCGGTATTTAAGACAGACTTGGTCACAAGCCCACAATGTAGAATTGAGAAGACTTCGATGTCCAGCTCTCGGAAAAACACATGGTAATTCTGCAGTGACACTGCTGTCCTGTCCTCTTTCCCTTTGCAGTCCTGGGGAGAAAGCAGCAGCAACCAACCAAATAAACAAGGCTTCCACAGTAACCGAATATTCTAAGTGCTTTGTGAATCTGCATGCTGCCCTCACATGAGGGCCAAGCTAATCTCTTATCATTCCAAGTTTCAGTCAACATGCTGTCAAAGCGTGCACTAACTTAATAACTGTTTTTTAAAGATTTATTTTTATTTATTTATGTATAAAAGAACTGTGGTGTAGGCCAGAGGTGTGGGGGCGGGGGGTGAGAAGATTCACCAGAGACAAAGTGAGGAATAGAAGAGGCAGATCCACTGAAATACACTACTGAGGCGAGCAGCTGGCCAGGGCCATGTAGGTCAGCAGTGGCTGGCAATAGCGTGATAACACTGAGACTTTAACCCCTGCACCACCAGGGAGGCCCCTAACTTAATCTACCTATAATGATGATTTCAGAGTGCAATTATGCATTTATTTTAACGTAAAAGGTTGCAATTTCACCACATCACTCATTGCCGTTCACTGAAGTCCCTAAATATCCCTGAGACAGAGCAGCTAATTAATAAACCTACTCTGTGAGTGATAGTTAAAGGACAGGGGAACTAGTTGATTTAACGGAAACTGTATTAAGCATTTTATGTTATCTTGATATATCAAGAAGTCAATAATCTGGGACTGGAAGGGGAGAGAGGCTAAAAAAGGATATCTATCACTACGAACTAAGTCAGAACCTGATAATTGCTGTAAGAGAATCAAAGGTACTGCTTAGCTGCAAAAGGGGAGTAAAGGCAGGCCTCACGTCACTCCACTGCACTTTACTGTACTCTGCAGATACTGTTTGTTTTTTAAAACAAATCAAAGTTTGTGGCAACCCTGCACCTACCAATAGCTTTTCCAACAGCATGTGTTCATGTGGTGTCGTGTATAACATTTAATTAAGGTACGTGAATTTTTTCCAGATGTCGTCACTGCACACTTAATAGAGCACAGTAAAAGGTAACACGTGACTCCTATATGCGCTGGGAATCCAAACAAATCACATGACCTGCTATACTGAGGTGGTCTGGAACTGAACCTGCAACATCTCCAAGATATGCCTTTAGGTCACACATCAAGACCCCTGATTTGCTTTCTACCTAGAGTGGACCATTAGACAAAGCAAGGCACTGTGCTGTGTTACAGGACACTATGAGCTAAGGGGTCAGAAAGATCTGGCTTCAAATCCTTGTACCAGCATTATTGACTGTCTGACCTTGGGCAAATCACTTACCCTTGCTGGGTTTTAATTTCCTCAACTACTAAATGTGGGTTGTTAGGAGGGCTGGAGGAGGCATATATAACAAATACTAAGCAGTAGCTGAATTCAAGTAATCTCAAACACTCTAAACCTACTCTGTGAGTGATAGTTAAAGGACAGGGGAACTAGTTGATTTAACGGAAACTGTATTAAGCATTTTATGTTATCTTGATATATCAAGAAGTCAATAATCTGGGACTGGAAGGGGAGAGAGGCTAAAAAAGGATATCTATCACTACGAACTAAGTCAGAACCTGATAATTGCTGTAAGAGAATCAAAGGTACTGCTTAGCTGCAAAAGGGGAGTAAAACATTCCAAAAACAGTGTGGTAGCGATGAGAACTTGGCTTCGAACCCAACTGTGCCATGAGAGGGTCACTCCAGGGCTTAAGAGTTTGTTTGCCTTTCTTTTCCCTCGTGTTTCTCCGAAAATGCAAAAGTAATGCTGGTTCTCTGAGGCTGTCACTGGGCCGGCACCTGCTCAGTGGGGACAGGTCACTCCACTACCTTGGCCAGCTGGCTTCTGTCCGTCTGTGTGTGGTCACTTGGCAGACTATCTTCCTTCGAAAGTGTGTCAGAGGAGGATGCTTTGTTGCCATCTGCTTTTCGTTTTCTTCCTCCTTATGGTTGAAAGAGAGAAAAGTGACTCATATTTGCCAATTATCACTGCCTCTGAAAACTATGTAGAGGAGAAACAGGTAATTACATAACCTTAATTTTCATTTATAACCATGTCACAGAGTACCTCTCCAATTACTGGAGAGATTGCTGTTTCCTTGATGCACATGACTTCTTAGGTTAATTCAGTGTGAGCCATATGGAAACAGAAGAAGAAAAGAACATACTTACCTAATTTCCCCTGTATTCTGGGTTTAAGTGAAAAAGTACGGCAGGTACGAGGCATTACATCTGCAGTTTCCAAGTCAAAGTTTGCAAGAGGAGGAACATAGTCCGGGGTGACTGAAACAGAAGCAGGCGAAGCTTCATAGCAGACTACCAGAGTTGGCATGCAGTCACCCAATTGGCTAACAACCAGTTTCCACAAATAACAAGCATGGCAGAATGCAAGCATGTAAGACACAGTCAAGTGATCTGACATTAATTGCTTTGGCACAGCAAAAATGCCCAGAAATATGTTATCAATGTCATGTTAATTTACTATGATTAATTAACACAAACCATTTAAAATAATGGATATAAAATATCCAAGTAGATAGAAGCAAACTAAAACCAACTTACATTTAAAATCTAAAGATTGTGATGCTATTTGGTTCCATAGCAATTTGTTTTACACACAACTGTTTAGATGAGGACATGAGGGAGGCTCTGTGTATCCCCAGAGGATCAACTTGCACCTTAAAACCACGAGTTTAGCGCCTCCCTGGTGGTGCAAGGGGTTAAGATGCAACCTATGAAGCTATCTGCAGCCGCTACAGCATAAGTTCAATCCCCGGCCAGGGAGCTACCCACATGGCGCAGCAAACCTCTCCTGACTCACCCACTGCTCCCCTCAGCAGTGTTATTTCAGTCACTCTGCCTGTTCTATTTCCCACTCTGTCTCTGGTGAATTCTCTCACCCCCCCCCCCACCCCTTATCTGGCCTGCACCCCAGCTCTTGTATGCATAAGTAAATAAATCTTTAACAACAACAACAACAAAAAAACACAAATTTAGTTAATGATCAGAGGTATCAAGAGGCCTTTCACAGGTGTGTAACTACGTTCAGGAAAGTAAAGGGCACTGGAAGTTTAACCTCCGAAGAAGCAAAGTGACTTTACAACAGCCCAACCAGTGTTTGGCGTTTTTTATTTTTGTAAGCCGCGAGATCTCTTGGGAGGAAAACTGATGTACTAGTTTATTGAAAAAAATTGTGGAACATATATTTCTTTGTCTCAGATGAAGTACTAAGCCTGACAGAAACTAAATTCTCTACTTCGTCTCTGCTGTCCGAGCAGGCTACCACCACAGGGCACTTCACTTACCTGCCAAGTACCTCTCCAAGAGCCCCTGGAGCTCTACGATGTGCTTTAAGCGCGTGAGCACCTTCCCCTTCATCTCTGGTGACGTTTGCCGACAGAAGGCATTTACAACCTGCAAACGTGCAAGTTAACTCCCATACTTCTCGCTGTTCCCATTTCAACCTGTTTGTATTATTCAGCCAGAGCTAAAAGAGATCCACGAGTGACAGGATCTATGAATTTAGCCTGTAACAGAAAAGTGTTCCCAACCGGTGCTACAGAGAAAAGCCCCGAACAGATGACCGCTTGGTAACAAGAGAGCAGCGCAGCGGCGGCAGAACCCAGGCTTTCTGTTTTCAGCCTTTCTTATCTTTTATTTCTTCAAGTATAAAGTGGGAATGCAGTTATGTGAACTAAATAGTGCAAAATAAATGAGCCCACCATTTGGCACAATGTAAGGACTTGATGCACTTACATGACTTTGAACTCTGCATCTGAAATTCCGTATGTGTAAACTCAGGATAATACCTGTCCCGACTACATCAGAATCAAATTGTGAGATTAAGAGGAGATATTTCAAGGGAACAGACATTCTCAGAAATAAGATGCGTGAGAAAAATGAGAGGCAGATGTTAAGATGTTACCATCATATTCATTATTTCTTTTTATATGTTTCATTATTATTGCTACTTCACTAAGCATACAGATATTCTGAAGGAAGGGAAAAATTATCATTCACTTGATCTCAGTAAATGAGAACATTGAATGTATACCCATGTAAGGAGGAACAGTATTTTCACAGCAGAGAAGTTGAAATTAATCCTGGCAGAAGAGTGTAACAAGAAGGCTTGAAGATAGGAAAGCAAGGGCAACATCAAATGAGCTCTAAGTGTTTTGATTTGGCAATAAGAAGGTACATATAGGAGGGACAGGGTGGGACATATTAGCTAAAGCAGAGCACAGGGGTTAAGTGCTTGGGGGACACATTTTAGGGAGTCTCCTGGGGTCCAAGAACACAGTTACCTTTCCAGAGGAACTACAGACAAAATGTAGAATATTCAGTAACTTCACTTACCTCTCGGAACCAGTTGAGCGTAAGAAATATGAGTGAACACATGAACGAATGTTCTTTAACAGACATGGACTCCAGTTTCTGCCCCGGTTCCAAGTCAGTGAGGAATATAGGACAGTCTGAGAGAGAAGAAGCAGCATTTCTGACTCCTTTTTGTTCTTGTTTTGTTTTTTAAAGATTTATTTATACAAGCACTGGGTACAGTCAGAAGCGCAGGCGGGAAAGAGAACTCACCAGAGCCAGAGTGGAGAGCAGAACAGGCAGAGTGACAAAGTACACTGCTGAGGGGAGCAGCGGGTGGCAGGAGAGGTCTACGCGCCGTGTGGGACCCTCACCCAGCGGCCGGGGATTGAACCGGCACTGCAGAGGCTGCTGGCAGCCTCGCAACCCAGCGCTCAACCGCTGCGCCACCGGGGAGGCCCTCTAACTCCTTTTTGGCTCCAGTAGATAAAACCTGGATGCCACCCTTCAAGCTAGCAGTGCTTCCACTGACTCACCTTTAACTCATATTTGGCAGTTAAGCTTTGATTAATCTCAAAAATACATGCATATTATGCAGCAGTTAACAAATATAATTAAGGAGTCTTGCAACAATTACAGAAGCGAGGATCAAAAAGCAACACAGAACTATAAAAACTGATTTGTTAACACAACGGCAATTCGTATGTATTATTTTATCTTTGGAATTTTGTTATTAATGCTATACTCTCCTGTGAGGTTAGAAAATTCCTTTCCACCTACAACAAGCACTGCTCTGCTCCTTCCCAAACTTTACCAGAGAACAATGATAGGAAACAAAGGATCTAGTGGGCCTCCCCTGGTGGCACAGTGGTTGAGCGCTGGGCTGCGAAGCTGCCCGCAGCCTCTGCAGCGCCAGTTTGATCCCTGGCTGCCGGCGAGAGTCCCCCATGGCACGCAGACCTCTCCTGCCACGTCCACTGCTCCCCTCAGCAGTGTATTTCACCTGTTTGCCTGTTCTGTTCCTACTCTGGCTCTGGTGAATTCTCTCACCCTCCCGGGCTTCTGACTGTACCCAGTGTTTGTTTGTTTGTATGTATATATGTATGTATGTATGTATGTATGTATAAATAAATAAATAAATAAATAAAATCTAGTTACATCATCCCTTACCTAATAAACCATCGATCTCCTCCAAGTTCCCATCATGTTGTCTCTGCACGCACAGTCTCAGTAACCGGAAGTAGGGAGCCAGGCACAATGGAGACACCAACCTGGGAAGGAAAAGCTCATTTCCAGATTATATTTTACAGGCTCATTAGCACATGTTTATTGGGAATCCGATGTTATAATGAAGGAGTTTTCCTTCAAAATAAATATCTGCCCTTTACTAATGAACTCTGGAGGGAGGCAGAGCGTGAGGAGAGAGTACTGACTGACATGTTGGAAGCAGAGGTAAGATGGCAGGAAGGAGTAAAAAGAGAGAGGTAGATAAATACGTTCACCAGAGGGCAAAGAAATACAAAATACTCAGAATATCTGCTAGCTATCATGATACAATCCAAATCCAAACCATGGGGTCCCAGAGAAAATCAGGAAACTGCTCCATTCTCTCACTGTCCCCTCCAATCACCACCTGTCTTAGAAAGCACTCTTTTCACTCCAGCTCCCATACACTGCAAGAACCATACAGTTTCCTAGAAACATGCAACACCCAAGAGAAGTTTTAGAAAAGAGAACGTGTACTGACTTTTGGTCTGGTTCCCGTGAAGTTCCACCCTCCTCTTTCGCAAAGTCCTGAGCAAACAAGAGTGGCAGGAGGTTGATGGCAATTCCATCCTGACTGCCATACTCTTCTAGTCCGTAGAGGGCTTTCACCGGGAACGGATAGTCACTGTGGAGAGAACTCAGAGCTAAGAATTGTCCCAATTCAAAGGATGTAAGTCAGACCAGGAGGGAAGCCACTGGCACAAACCAGTCTCCCTGTTTTGAAGAAAAATAAGGGACAAGAAGAACATTTTGGGGAATCTTTTAGTGATTCTGGAACTGGGAGCCCTGGGTATTGGTGACAGGATGAAAGAAGTCATGGGAGTGGGCGAGACCTGGCAGACGTCAAGGGCATTCACATGGCTATACCAGCTACTGACAATTTCTTCACCAGTAGAATCAGGGGTAAGCAGTACATACCCTTCTGGAACAACACAGAGGTCCACCACAAAGGCATCTTGGAAATTATTAAAGATGGTTTGTCCAATCCATTCCTACAGGATATGAAAAACATTAAGGTTGTGTGGCCCAGAGTGTATCTGCTGCACAGCCCTAGCAAAACTACTGCCCCTCCTAACTCACATGGTGGTCTCCTCATTCCTAGCTGGTAGTATAATGCACACTGCATTACTCTGGACTGGAAAAGACATCATGTGTGAAAAGTGCTTAGCACAGAGTCTCACACGGAACAGGAGGTGGCAACCCACACATCTTCATCGCCCTTGTCAGTACTCTCTGAAGGATGCCCCAGAAAAGAGGTGTGGGACCAGGGGAGGCAGAACAGCCTACCCAGGTAGAACAACAGGGAGTTCATAGGATGATCTGTCTTTCACTGCGAATAGCAACACCTCTCTGCAGCGCTGATCTAAGAAGCGACACTCACCAGGGCTTTGGGAGCCAGCTTTCCTCCCTGGAGCAGGTTGGCAAACTCATCGTAATAAAGCGCAGAGGTCTCGGGAGACTGCTCACTGCAAGAGTGGACCAGCTGCAGCAGGGAGGTCACCTGGCGCAGCGAAGAAAAAGAATGGCTTGGCTATCAGGCTGAAAACGCCCCTAAACACCACTCACCAGTTTGGTGTTAAGCTTTTCCTTTTTCCAGTTTACTGGCAGCCTGTATACCTTTCACTTGAGGTCTTCCTGAGTCCCCTGACCAGTCTGTCTCTCCAATCTCTTTGGTTTTCCAATCCATTAGACATCTGCATGCTTGGACTATGCCACCTCTAGGCTGAGGAAGTCTTAAGAACTACCTCCGCATAAAAAATTAAATCAATATATCCTGATTCACATTTAAGGTCCTCTGTTTTCTATATCTGAAGTAACTTTATAGTCAACCCTCTAATTATACACTTGTCCCTGTGCACTAGTCTATCTGCTATTGTGTCGATGTAACCCACCTTCCTCACACCTGAGGAATTTCCAATTAGATAAAGAAATGCAATCCAAGCCAGCAGTTCTAAATGCTAGAGAGGGGTACAAATCACAAAAGTTATATGTTCAGAAAAACTATTTGGGAAAAAAGTGCTTTCTCTGATAAAAAAGACAGTAACTGGCAGCACTTCCACTGCCCACCTTCACTTTGGCAGGGCAGCAGCCTCCTGCCTGCCCGAGACCTCTCCCATTCCTGGGCTTCTCTTCACTGACCTCTCTCAGCGGAGGCAGCTCCCCTCAAGGCCACCCGCCTGCAACCATGCAGGCCCTCTTAGCAAACCTGTCCCTTTCGGAGCAGCTCTTCCTGCCCGCTTGTGTCTATGCAAGTGTCTTTTACTATCCTATCCTTTTTCTAATACACCTGCTCTTTAACTATCAAAAAAACAAACAAACAAACAAAAAAAACCAGTAACCAGAACCAAACCCCCAGTTACTCACAAATGTTTCCGACTACTTCACAGGAACTCACCTGTGTGCACTCCTCATTGCTCAGGTCTGCTCTCCCTGGGGTCAAACCGAAAAATCTACTTCTAAAAAAAGAAATTTCAGCTTCATTTTTATGATATTTTGTAACCATTTTTAGCAATAAGTTTCAGATGCTAACTTTCGTGGAATGAGGGGAGAGACAAAAGTGCACAAAGGTATCACACAAAATGTGAATTAGAGCAAAAGACAGCTATCTGAGATTCTATAGCTATTTTATAGATTCTATAGCTATCTGTCTCAGATTCTAATTTCCTATGAAAATTAGAAATAAGTGCACGCACTGAGCATCTTCCCAACCATTTCATGCTCCCAACTGCACTATTATCATCATTAGTCCACAAATGTGAGAGTAGACAGAAGAGTAAAGTAACTTGCCCAAGGTCACTGAGCTACTAAAGACGGGAGTCAGAGCTTGACCCCGGGGCAAGCCGTACGGCTCTGAGCATGAACCCTCAACCAGGGCACAATGTGGCCTCTGTGGATGACAGATGCTGATTCCAATGCATCTCCTCAGAGCTGAGCAATTCCCACAATCACTTCCCAGGAGCATGAACTGAATCCTGTTACTTTACAAGAGAGCTTATCAAGCCCCAAATATGATTATTTAGATGCCACAATTATAGCATCAAAATGCAAGAGGAAAAAAATCCACAAGGAAGATTTTATTTGCACCCAACATGATGTCTCAGACAGGACGAATACAGCAAAAGAGAAACCTTTGTTGCCTCGTGTCTTGGACAGGAGTAGATGTAGAAAGCTGCATCCCAGAAAGAGCAGGGTTTCCCTTCTATGGAAGCATTTTTAGAACTTTATCTCCTGGCAAATCCTAGTTTTAACTATCAGGCTAAAATGACATGATCATAAGTTTGTAAAACTGGTATATGTTACAGTCAAGTTTAGAAGGGAACGCTACAAAGGCGCAACACACATGTGCTCACTTCTCTAATGGCTTCAATACCTAGTATAATAATGATGTCATTACAATGGAACACTTTTAATTTACAAGGCAGCAACCTGACTGGCCACAGAAGTCATGATTGCCAGATGTACCTGTCGGCCGCCATGATGCCAGCCATGGCGAGAGCGCCAATGATCCCAATGAGCTTGTACTTGAACACGTTGCTAGTGAGCTGCTTTCGTATCACCAGGTGCATGTCATCCTGCAAGGAGACAAAGAATAAGGAAGATGAAGGTACTGGAATGGCACAGCAAAAGAGCCCATGATACTGGAGGCAAAAAACCTAGACTAGCAAGGGCTGTACGATTTACTGAGTGGTTCTAAGCAAGTATTCTCATTTCTCTGAGTCTCATTTTTCTCATCTTTAAGATGGGGGAGGTTCTGTAAGGATGAGAGATAAATAATGGAAGTTCCTTGAACAGGGCGGGGTGGATGGCAGATAGTCTTAAAGGGCAGTCATTGTTATTGTCAATGTCAATGGTTGCTCCATAAGGATATGTGAATTATCTTAATGTTATTTGCTACATAGCAAAAAACCAAAGAAATACAATAAAATATTTAGAAGTAATCTTAGCCAAAATGTAAAAGACTTCTATGTTAAAAAACATACAACATTGCTAAAGGACATTAAAGACCTAAATTAGTGGAAAGTTATCACATGCTCATGAATTGGAAGGCATAATATTGTTAAGATAATGACACTACTAAAAGTGATATTTGATGCAATCCTTAAAATCCTAAAGACATTTTTTGGGGGCCTCCCTGGTGGTGCAAGGGGTTAAGATGAAACCTATGAAGCTATCCGCAGCCACTGACTGCAGCATGAGTTCAATCCGCAGCCAGGGAGCAACCCACATGGCGCAGCAGACCTCTCCTGACTCACCCACTGCTCCCCTCAGCAGTATATTTCAGTCAATCTGCCTGTTCTGTTCCTCACTCTGTCTCTGGTGAATCCTCTCGCCCCCCGCATCTCTGACCTGTACCCCAGTTCTTGTATGCATAAATAATCTTAACAAAAAAAAAAAACCAACGCTCTTATAAAATCCTAGACATTTTTTTTTTTACAAAAATAGAAAAACCCATACTAAAATTCTTGTGGAATTTAAAGGCACCTTAAATAACCCAAACAATCTTGGAAAATAACATTTTGAGGGCTCACACTTTGCAATTTCAAAATTTCCATAAAATTATAGTAAGCAGAACAGAGTTTTAAAAGTATCAGTACACATGCATAAACCAAAGGCTACAACGGCCAAGTAAACCCTCATATAATAGTGAACTGATTTTTAAAAAGTATTTTTATTTATTTATGCATATAAGAGCTGGGACGAAGGCCAGAGGTGCAGGGGTTGAGAGGATTCACCAGAGACAGAGGTAAGCAGAACAGGTGGATCTACTTAAATACACTGCTGAGGGGAGCAGCGGATGAGACAGGAGAGGTCTGCTGCGCCATGTGGGTCAGCAACCTAGCCAGGGGTCATACTCTTGCTGCAATGGCTGGCGACAGCTTGATAGTGTAGATACTTAAACCCCGAGCCACCAGCGAGGCCCGGTGAACTGATTTTTGATAAAGGTACCAAGCAAGACAATTCAAAAGAAAAACAAGTGGATGAAATTTAAAAAATGAGGGTACATCTTTATCTTACACCATAAATATGTAAATTATTTTCAAGTGGATCAATGACCTGAATTTAAGAGCTACAACTATAAAATTCTTAGAAGAAAACAATGGGGGAAATATTCATGACCTTTGGAACTGGCAAGGGTTTTCTTTTTTTATACAAGAACCAGGGAACAGGCCACATGTGCGGGAGGATGAGAGGATTCACCAGACAGAGCAGAGAACAGAACAGGCAGACTGAAGAAATACACTGCTGAGGGGAGCAGCAGGCGCAACAGAAGAGGTCTGCTGCGCCATGTGGGACCCTTGCCAGCTGGCTGGGATCGAACCCATGCTGCAGAGGCTGCGGGCAGCTTCACAGCATGGCGTTCAACCTCCTACACCACCAGGGGAGGCCCGGCATGGTTTTTCTTAAGTACAAAACCAAAAGCACAGATAGTTAGACTGGACCTCATCAAAACTAAATACTTTTGTACATCAAAAGACACCATAGAGAGTCAAAAGACAACACACAGAATGGAAGAAAACATTTTCAAATCATAGCTCTGATATGGGAATAATATGTAAAATAGGACTCTTATGCATCAATAAAAGACAACACAATAAAAGTGAGCAATGGACTTAATAGACAATTTTTCCAAAGAAGGTATACAAATGACCAATCAACACATGAAAAAAGTTCAACATCATTAGTTATTAGGGAAACAAAAATCAAACACGCAATGAGCTACCACTACACACCCAGTTGGATGGTTACCCTTAAAAATGCAAAGCAAGTATGGAGTCTGAGTGCGGACAAACTGGAACCCTCATACAGTTTTGGTTGGAGTGTACAATGGTGTGGACACTAGGGTGGTTCCTTAAAAAGTTAAACAGAAGAATCACCATGTGACCCAGCAATTCTACTCCTAGGTATACACCCAAAAGAACTGAAAAAAGGGGACTCGAACAGATACAACTACACCAGTGATCACAGTATTAGTCACACCAGGACAGAAACAAACCCAGTGTACTCTAATAGGGGAGTGGATAAATGAAATGTGGGTATATACATACAACAGGATGTTACCCAGTCATAAAAGGAAAGGGTAAATATTCATTTAGATGAAGTATCTATATAAAACAGGCAAATTCAGACAGAGAGTAGATTAGAAGTTACCAGGAGCTGAGGAAAGGAAATACGGAGTTATTTCTTAATGGGTATGAAGTTTGTTGTTTGAAATGATGTGAATTTCTGAATATAGATGGTAGCCATGATTACAGTGCCGTGAAGGCACTTAATACCACTGAAATATACAATCAAAAAATGGTTAAAATAGGGACTTCCCAGTGGCTCTGCGGTTGAGTACTGGGTTGCGAAGCTGCCCGCAGACTCTGCAGCGCCAGTTCGATTCCCGGCCACCTGGCGAGGGTTCCACATGGTGCACAGACCTCTCCTGCCGCCCGCTGCTCCCCTCAGCAGTGTACTTCATCAGTCTGCCTGCTCTGATCCCTGCTCTGGCTCTGGTGAATTCTCTCGCCCTCCCACGCTTCTGACTGTACCCAGTGCTTGTATAAATAAATAAATCTTTTTTTTTTTAAAAAAGGAAAAAATGGTTAAAATAATTTAATTTGTTATATATATTTTACCACAATTCCAAAATAAAATAACAGTAGCTCCATATTTCTGATGTGAAGCAATATTGGAATTACACTGCTAAATAATAAAACACAATTCAGAACAAGAGAGGAAAGCACAGAATACAGGTAAATACAAATTTGTAAATGCTCACAACATCTAGAAAGCTATGAACTAGAACAGTAAAAGACACCTGGAGACGTGAGAGGGGAGCAAGCTTTTTTTTCACCGCCCTTCTACACCCCTGAGCACTGTATACATGTGCATAATAACTGATTTTTAAAAATTAATAAAGGGTGCTGCTTGCTCAGTCATAGTCCCATACAGATTATAGCCACAAGGTGGCACTAAAGTTATGATTTCCTCCTGAGTCCCATCTGCTTGGCCTGGTCAAAGAACAGTGTCTACAAACGACAGCAAACCCGGATGAGGCTCACATTAGATTCAGGTTTTCCTCAGGAAACAGGGAATTCTGTGTCCCCACAGCAAAAAGCACAGAACCTGAATGGTTTTTCTTAATTTTCATAGTTAACTTATTATGGACGCATTTCTTAACCCCCAACAGATTAAAAGTTCCTCAAGGACAGAAGGTCTGATATACTTTCCACCTCAGTGCCTGGCATACGTAGGCACTTAAATGTTTGTGGTAAGAAAATAATAAACCAATGCTGGGACTATGGCCACATGCTCTAGCTCTCCTACTACACAGGCTGAAAAGATTTTGTTCAGCAAATTCCAAGTAAAGAGATTTATTTTTTTTTTTTGATATTTATATATATATATATTTTTATTTATTTATTTTATTATTTTTATTTTTTTTTAAATATTAAATTTTATTTTTATATTCCCCCATACAATTGCAAACGCCCCATTCTGACCCCAATCCTTCCCCTCCCGCCCCCCACCCCCCAAAAAGTGTCTCTGGTTCATAGTTTTTTGTTGATTTTGATTTTCACTTTCTTATATTCATTTTCCTGGTCCCTTATTTAAGTTTTCTAGATTCCAAGTAGAGTAAAGTAAAGAGATTTAAAAGATTCTTTGTCAACTGCCTCTTACCTGGATGTGACTGTTGGCTTCATGCTGTTTGCTAAATGCCAGAGTACTGAGAATATAGAAGAGTTTTCGTATTTGCTTAGGAGTCATATTATCCAGATAATCTAATATACCCTGTGAGGAAAAAACCCCAACAATAAAGTCAGAAACAAGTATTTCCTTAAAATCAAAAAATTTAAATCCTTCGAAGAAGTCCTGGTGCTCACCATAAAAGCCAGGGCTCCTGAGGTGGGTGGTGAGTGTGCTTGTGGCTGCTGGGCCTGCCTGAGATGGAGGAGTGTGTGGGGGGCGGGGAGACAATGGGGGCTGTGGGAACATGCTCTGTCTGCTGGCCAGCAGAGGATATGGGCAGAAGCCAGGATTTTCCTGACTCAGTGAGAGGTACACAAATAGGTGCCAGCACATTCCCAACTGTGCCAGTGGGTTGTGATCCTGGGGGGTCTCCTCCCTCTCTGAGACTGAGGTGACATACAGTGTTCAACTTGGCATGGAGAGACTAAATCAACAGTCAGAATGTTTCACCAAAACTCAAGTTCTCTAAAGCTCTCTCAGAGCCCAAAGAACTGGTTCTCTGGACCCAAGCTGAGAGTTTCTGGCAGCTTCCTAAATCCACTTACTACCAGAGAGCACACACTGTCACCAGGAGAGAGAAGTGAGATTTGTCCACTTTGCTCTGAATCGGCAATCCTACATTTCAAACGTCTCATTCACACGTGCCATCGTACGCTATCTTCTATTTCTTCCCATTCTTTTCCTCCATTCTCCTTTTTCTCGGTGAAAACAATATTCTGCCGAAAAGTTCTCTTGGGCTGTCTTGTCACATCATGCCTTCTCAGCATATCTATCGTCCATGAATTACTCTTTCTGATGTGGAAGGCGTCACAGAGGAACAACTTACTTGTTTACCTCAGGCAAAGCCTCAGCTTTCTCATTTCTGATTTGGGTATAACACGGCCTTTACAGTTACCTTCCAAAGCCCAGACATGATTAGCTCAACCCCCTGTTAAAAACCTATAGTAGCTCCCCATTGTCTATGAAGCTGAAACACTCAGCATCATAGCTGTGACCCTTCATTATCTGGTCCTGTCCCCGATGCTCACCTCCCGCCACCCCTCACCATATACCCCTGGCAGCCCTGCCAGTGTATCTGTCATCCCTCAGACACACTGCGAAGTGCGTGCCACCTGCTTCTGTTCCAACTATCCTCTGCCTACAACATACTTCACTTACCTTCCTCTGGTGCAAGCATTCCCATCATTCAAGAATCACTCACGTTTCTACCTCTTTGACGACATCTCCAGCTTACCAAGCTAAATGAGTGATTCCTGCTCTGGGGTGTCTACAGCGCTTTATTTGTTTTAGAGTTTGCCATGGGGTATTTATAGTGACTTCCAAATGTGTCTTACTGTCTGCCACCAAAGGCAAGTACTGACTTTAGTATCCACAGCATCCAGAATAGAGTCCAGTGCATATTACATAGAAAGTATTTGTTGAATGAACTAGTCTATAGACAAAGGAGTTATTTTTTCTAGTATTTACTATCACCTCATCTCCTGTCCAGCCTCTCCCACTAATCCAGGCCCTCAATATGTAGAATACAAAAATAGTGGCCAACAAGTATCCACTGTCTCAGATACACAAAAGAAAAACTCCAATGTCTGCCAGTAGCGGGACTAGATACCTTCACAAAGACAGCGTTCAGCCTCATAGCAGGCAGGTCCAGGACCACCAAATCCAGCAGGACATCCAGGGCGGTGTCAGTCTCTGCTCCATTCCCGCTGCAGACGTGGGTCACCAGGGCACCAACCACTTCCTATGCAGAACAGAGTGAGGCAAAACTACGCTAGGGCCATCTACAGAAATTCACGCCTGAGGCTATACCAACCTCAATTTGGTCAAAATCACAACCACCCTGTCCCACTGTAATTCAGTTGTCATTAATGTTGAACTCAGCATATTTAGGGCTATGCCATCTAACCACATACCACAGTCTTGGCTAACTGTCTACTGCTTATCAACGAGCACTATGTGATTAGATGTAATCCTCCCTTGCCTCTGCGCTTCTACTCCATCCCAAGGCATGCGGCTCTCTCACCTGCAACAGCCATCTTGGGCCAGCTGAAGCTATGGCTCTGGCTCTGCTAAGAGATCTTTAAAATTTTGTCTTCACTTTTAAAGTTCCATTCAAATGTGCTTTAACATTGTTAATAATAGGTACAAGACACATAAAAAATCCAAAATAAGAAACTGTTGTTTACTTGCTCTCAATCACCTTCACAAATAGAGCTTTCCTGCTCCGATAAGTTATTACATTTTGGTCTGATGTTTCTGGGAACAGGGCCAGGTGTTCAAGGATTCCTCCTTTTTTTTTGTTTTTTTAAACCACACTTTTTTCTAGAGAAAAATTACAGAATCAGCTGCCAATTGAACATTTGCAGCTAAATTTTAAAAATGCCATTCCCAGAGTAGGAAGGTCACCTGATACCTTCAGCCCTCCAGTCTATTTAAAGTAGACTGGATCTGGGTTTTCACTTTAAGACTAAGCATATAATTAAGTTCTCCCAACTCCCAGTTTAGAGTTCTGTCTCTCAAATGCCTTCCAAATAACAAGAAATAAACATCAGATCACATGCAATCCATTTGGACTAATAATTCTTTCCTTTACCCTATCCTCTCCTTTCCAAAATAAGTATTTCAACATACCTGCTGGCAGTAAGTATCAAAAAACTTAAATGCATATTTGTACAGGAGACTGCCAAATGACATCAGGCCGTAGTCTAGTGAGTCCAACAAACTCTGAGCCAGAGACAGAATGGATGGACAAACATCCTTAAGAACCTCCAGGGGTGAAGAGGAGAGAGAAAAAAAATTAATTATTATAGCACATAGGAGTTGCTAGCCCTTTTGGGGATATAAGAGTTCTTTCTAACTCTGATTTGAACTGAAGGAACATTAATCTCAGATTGATGCAGAATAATCCTTCATCACTTTGACCTTTTTTTAAGATATATTTTTATTTATTTGTACATACAAGAACTGGGGTGTAGGCCAGAGGTGTGGGGGTAAGAGGATTCACCAGAGACAGAGTGGGGAGCAGAACAGGCAGATCGACTGAAATACACTGCTGAGGGGAGCAGCAGAAAGGAGAGGTCTGCTGTGCCATGTGGGTAGCTCCATGGCTGGGGATCAAAATCAGGCCACAGTGGCTGGCGATAGCTTGATAGCAGAGACTTTAAACCCATGCCACCAGAGAGGCCCCTCATTCTGAGTTTTCTTTCAGGATCAACATATGGCTAAAAATTGAGCTTTCAGCTCATAGACATAAAAACCACAAGCCTTCTAACACCATCTCTTTACTGAATCCAGATCTAATCGCACTTTCCTCACTTAATCACACTGCCTCCCTGGGAATAGATGAAGCCCTTCTACATTAGTTATGATATGAACTCCTCTGTAAGGTTCAATGTTGATGAATTTTTTTTAAAGACGATCAAAACCATGATCATGTCCTACCACTCAGGCAGTAAGTGGACATTAAAGGACACAGAGTATATGACCAGTTCGTAAATCCAAATTCTTAATGACGTAATTTTTAAAATCTTAAATGAAGCACTGAACTAAGTGCTTACTGAGAAAAAACGCAATAAAAAATTACATTGTTTTCCATACTCTGTGAAATTGTAACCCATGTCAGAAATAGCACTGAAAAGACTGAAATATAAAATCGTAAAAATATAAAATCTTAAGATCAACTCTACAGCCTCATTAGCTCTTAAGCCATGTCCCAAACCATTGATATGTCCAGGTTTCTAAGGTATACATTATTAACATTTACCTGGCAAAATACCACTTCCAGATAACAAAATTCTAAATCTAATGGCTGACATTTCAATAGAAATGATCACCTCAAGGTCACAATGTTGAGTGGCGAAATACTTACATTTCAACAAATATATAATCATGTCTCTAAGAAAATTCTTCTAAATGCCCAGGATATGTAAGAACTACTTAGAACAGAATATAGAGGCCAATTTTGTGAGACCAATGAACTGGACAATTGAGATACGAAAATTAAGATACGAAAGTCTCATCAGGCTTACACAATGGGTTAAAACTAAGATGAAATTTTATGAGACCTGTAAGACTACAATTTTAGCTTAAAAATCAAGTTATATAAGTATGTAATCAGAAGACCCAAATTTAGAAATTTTCTATAAAAACATTTGGGGGCTAAATCATGCAAGTTCAAATAAACCAATTTTATGATCTTTTTGTTAAAAAGATAAACACCAATCTCAAGTTGGTTTTATTAACATCATAGCTCAATCAAGGTAAATAATAATTCTACTATGTTAAGAAGTATTCGGGGCTATCTGTCAGCAAGGTGGTGTGGTCAAGGTTCCCACACTGGGAGGATCTTTTTACAACTTCCAGACTAATGGTGTCTGGCTCTCCTGACACTTACCATGTAATGAATACAAAATGTACCCTCTAGCAGCTGTTCGTCAAAGCAGCCTGATCGAATCTTACTTCTTAGCACCCTCTCAGTAAACTTCCTTGTCTGGGTGTTGGTGCTATAGATGATGAGAGTCATTGCCAGGTCAAAAGTCTATTATCGATAAATATACAAAAACAGGGAAACAGTTTAATAATTCAGTACATTTATAAAAATGAAACAACAGCTCCCAACTTTTTCTATTGAACACAGAATGGATAATACACATTTGCTTAACATTCTCTCAAGGGAGTAGCTTCATGTTCACAAAATCCAAACATATTTTTCAAAGAAATAAAACATCAATAATTAACCACTGTTACCTTTTTTTTTTTTTTTTTTTTTGTGGGACCCTCGCAGGTGGCCAGGAAATGAACTGGTGCTGCAGAGGCTGTGGGCAGCCTCACAGCCCAGTGCTCAACCACTGCACCACCAGGGGAGGCCCAACCACTGTTATCTTTTAAGAAAACTTTGGAATACAAATGAAAGCTATATTGTTCAATAAATGTAATGACAGATCAGAATCATGACATTTATTAAAGAAAAACTATTAAATCATTTGTGAACTTCAGTAAATATTTTCACTATTACTATAAAAATTACTTTGCAAAAACTTGGAGTGACTGTAAATGCCTGCCAATATGTGTACAAGGTTCAGTTATGAGTCACCGTCAGAGTATCACATAGCCATTAAATACAATGAGATAGTAATTCTTAACAAAGACATGACAATTCTGAAGTAAAAACAAAGCAACCTGCAGGACAATAATCACAAGATTTTACTTTTGTGAAAACACTACACAAGTGTGAATAAGTGTAAGAATAAGAGTGAGCAGGTCTAAACACACATACTCAGACATACATATGAATAGAAAACATGGAAGAATGATTATTCATCAAGAATGGGAGAATGAAGGAAAATTATTTTCCATTTTTAGATTCTTTGTGAGTTTTTTCCCTCTCCAATTAGCTTGTCTTACCAATGGTATAAAAAAAGATTGAAAAAATAAAGCAGGACAGAAGAAAAAACATCACCAAATTCCTTAGGACACCCCTTCACTGAAGGCCCCACTCATTTAAACACCAAAATTGAGAATCATAACAAAACACCACTATTAATAATGACAAAAAAGGGCCTCCCTGGTGGCGCAATGAGTTAAGTCTCAGCACTATGAAGCTACCACCAGCCACTGCGGTATGAGTTCAATCACTGGCCATGGAGCTACCCACATGGCCCTGCAGTCCTCTCCTGTCTTACCCACTGCTCCCCTCAGCAGTGTATTTCAGTAAATCCACCTGTTCTACTCCCCATTCTGTCTCTGGTGAATCCTCTCATCCCCTCCCCCACCTCTGGCCTGTACCCCAGTAATTGTATGCATAATTAAATCTTTAAAAAAATGTTTCCACAACTGGATACTTCGTGTGTGTGCACACGCATGTGTGTATGTATGTAGAAGAACTGGAGTATAGGCCAGAGGTGTGTTGGAGGGCGTGGGGGGCAGTGAGAGGATTCACCAGAGAGAGAGGGGAGCAGAACAGGCAGATCTTCTGAAATACAATGCTGAGGGGAGCAGTGGGGAGACAGGAGAGGTCTGCTGCGCCATGTGGGTCACCTCCCTGGCTAGGGATGGAACTCAGGCTACACAGGTGATAGTGTTGAAACTTAAACACTAGGCCACCAGGGAGACCAATATCTACTTTATAAAAAAAAAAACAAACTCACAAAACAGATTCCTACTAAAGAAAAATCCTTAAAGGGAACCAATCAGTATACAAGATATTCAATCACATGTATTTCTAGTATTAAGGAAATCACCCTGGGCCTTCCCTGGTTGAGCAACGGGTTGAGCACAGCGCTGTGAAGCTGTCCACAGCCTCTGCAACGTGGGTTCGATTCCTGGCCAGCCAGAGAATCCCACATGGCGGAGAGACCTCTCCTGTCTCGTCCACTGCTCCCCTCAGCAGTGCTTTCAGTCGTCTGCCTGTTCTGCTCCCCACTCTGTCTCTGGTGAATCCTCTCACCCTCCCGCGACTCGGGCCTGTACCCCACTCTTGTATAAATAAAATAAATCTTAAAAAAAAAAAAGAGAGAAGTGGCCCCGACAGCAGATAGCCTATTTGATTTACTCTGGTCAGGTAGACACTGGCAAAGGAAAGAACACCACAGCGCGCCATCATCTTAACAGTTCTGCCCGGGAGGAAAAGCAATCCGATGCGGGGAGTCCACGCAGGTTCCAGGCTCCTTCCCCTTGTGGAGGCCCAGCTCCTCTGACTGAGCAACTGACTGCGCTAGTCTGGAATGTTGGCATCTTCCTTATGGAAACATTAATCTTACTTCTCACTAGTCTGAGTGAGTAGGGCAAGTCACCCTCGCAGAGCATCTTCCCCAGGCAGCTAATGTTTATCAGACTAGCAAAGGGTGGAGCAGAAGGGATGACTGGAGGGAAGAAAGACAGGGGAAGGCCAACCAGTCAGCATCTCTAATGTTAGTGGGTGAACATACCTTGTGTTCAGAGTCAGGAGAAATGTTTTTAATTGCCTGGAAAAACAAGGGTCACAAAGTATTACAACATGTAGGGACAACACTTTCCTCCTATTCAGCACACCCGGGATGCTTATTTGAGAATCAAGCTATTCATCCTGGAACCCTCATCTAGGATTTCTACGGATTTCTACTTGATTGACCTTTAAGGCTCTTATTTCAGCTGCCTTCAGTAACACTCCCGTCAACAATGGCTACCCATTCCTTCCTTAGCATTCAAAGTTCCAAAGATCACTTACCTTAATCCAGGCTTCTGAAATGATTTTCTCGTATCTGACAGCTGACTTTATTACATCAAAGAGGAGAAAAATACAGTTCTCACCGCAGTTTTCTTCATTTCCTGAAGAACTGCAAGCAGGAGAGGGAAAGAGAAGGTCTTTCACTTACCTGAGAGAAACCAACAAGATCTGGGTTCCTGTTTACTTCCCATATGCCTTGAACAAGTAACAGCTTTGTGTAAAATGGCTAATAAACTTACACTGTAGTGTATCTGGACCAGTCAATACATACACATAGACATGAAAAACTTATATATGCCCAATGTTACTTCAATAAAAATAAAATTCAAAAAATCAAGTTTTTACAACAGCCCACCCCATGCCCATTAAAAAAAAAAAGGGCAAAGGAAAACCTGCACTGTATTATATGGCTATACAATTATGACCATTATTTATAGTTGTATTTAAATCTACTTCCTTGGCTTCAGGATAAATGTCAGAAAACTTTCCTTGTCTACGTGAGAAAAACATTGGTAACTGTCAAGCTTATACCTTGTTCTTCCTTTATTTTTCAGCTTGCTTTGGGGGGCATATAACCATGATGGCAGAATAAAATGCTGCAGATCCAGCCTTTCCCGAAGCTCAGCTATTACCTATGGGAAACATATGTTAGCTGTATATTCTGATCATTTATAGTAAATAGGTAGAGTCCATTCTTTTAACAGAAGTACTATAAATTTTTCTGTAAGGCTGAAGTGTTATTAAACATTAGACAAGGCATTTTAAGAGTAAAATTTGATAAAAATGCTAATACAGGTACAATATGTCATGCCCTTCGAAATTCCAGAATTTGAGATATTATACTGAAATAGTAAACAGCCTGTAGCAGCTTAAACAGAAATAAACTAACAGTCCCATTCACTCCCCTGAATTCTGTCTGGATTAATGAAGTATTATCAATTACTTTTGAGATAGAGAATAACAGTTAGAGCCCATTAAGTTAAATACTTTATCTTGATATCTCTTCACCTAGCTTAAGTCTTTTGATTGCTGAATTTCACAAGGGCACAGTTGCCCTCTGTACACTGTACACCTGGCATCCTATCAGTGTATTTTAGGAAGTAAGCGGGTACCTCAAGTGCATCCGCAGCTGTTATGGAATGAAGAATGAACTTGATTATCACAGGTAAATCATCCAATCGGACAGATGACAGCTTACCCATCACCAACTGGCGGATCTAAAAATAAAAAGCCCAAAAACCTAAGTAATTTCATGTTCTCTCTTCAACCTTCTATTTACATAAAATTAGAAAAAAATACTTCTCACTCAATTTTCTCACTTATAATTTAGGAAGAAAAAGATGTCCTTTTACTTTTTCCCAAATTGCCAGCCTTTTTGTTTTTTAAAACAAGCTTTTGGGCCTCCCCTGGTGGTGCAGTGGTTGAGCGCTGGGCTGCGAGGCTGCCCGCAGCCTCTGCAGCACCGGTTCGTTCCCCGGCCGCCGGCGAGGGTCCCACAAAAAAAAAAAAAAAAGCTTTCAATTGTTAACCCCGCAGCTTCATAAACAGATGACCAATGTGAAAATATCATGTATTTGGAATCTGAACTTTCCACTGGCGAGAGGAAGGCATATTTATTTGTTATTTCTATGGGGAACAGTTTATAAATACTCAGGCAATATAAAGAATTCTACTAAAATTTGTTGCCTAGAAACAGGCCAACAAATCAAGCAGAGTATGAAATATGACATGAAAATCAAAAGAAAAAAGAACAAGTGTCATTCAATATTGTTTCATAACAAAATTTTCATTACATACAACTGCACCAACACACCAAATGACCAACACTGGTTCTGGGAGGGGAAGCTGGCTGTTTCAGGAGAATAGAATCATTCCTACCTTCTTCAGGAGACTTGGGTCAAGCTGCAGACTGGAAAGCACGTCCAGGATAGGGACAGTGAGCAGAGTATTCTCCTTTAGAAGGTCACTGCAAATAAAGTTATGTGGCTTTTAACATGACTTGGGAAAATCACTCATTACAGTGGGCAAGTGAAGAGAAACTTAGTTCCCATTAAGTTTACTTATAGTATGTTTCATTGCAAACATACTATTATTTTGATTAAACAAATACACATTCAGGGCCTCCCTGGTGGCCCATGGTGCAGCAGACCTCTCCGGTCTCACCCGCTGCTCCCCTTACCAGTGTATTTCAGTCAATCTGCCTGTTCTGCCCCCCACTACGTCTCTAGTGACTCCTCTCACCCTCTCACAGCTCTGGCCTACACCCCAGTTTTTGTGTGCATAAATAAATAAAAAATAAATCTTAAGAATATGGGCCTCCCCTGGTGGCACAGCAGTTGAGCGCTGGGTTGCTAAGCTACCCGAAGCCTCTGCAGCGCCGGTTCTATCCCTGGCTGCCGGGCAAGGGTCCCACATGGCGCACAGACCTCTCCTGCCACCCACTGCTCCCCTCAGCAGTGTCCTTCGGTCCTTCTGCCTGTTCTGCTCCCCGCTCTGGCTCTGGTGAATTCTCTCACCTCCCGCGCTTCTGACTGTACCCAGTGCTTGTATAAATTAAATAAATAAATCTAAAAAAAAAAAAAAAAAAGAATAAAAAGATATTCATTATAAAAGTCAAATAGCAAACAGTATTAAGAAACCCTCCTTCGGGGCCTCCCTGGTGGCGGCGCAAGGGGTTAAGCACCACACTGTGAAGCAATCCACAGCATCTGCAACACGAGTTGGATGCCTGGCCAGCCAGGGAGAAACCCACATGGCAAGGTAGACCTCTCCTGTCTCACCAGCTACTCCCCTCAGCAGTGTATTTCGGTCAATCTACCTGTTCTGTTCCCCACTCTGTCTCTGGTGGATCCTCTCACCCCAGCATCTCTGGCCAGTGCCCAGCTCTTGTATGCATAAATAAATTCTTTTTTTTAAAAAAGAGGTTTTGATAACCAAAACCTTTAAAAAAAAAAAAAAAGAAGAAGAAGACACCCTCCCTCACCATCCCTGCTATACAAAGGTAACCATTTTTGAGTTTAGAACATATCCTTCCTGGAAAGAGAAAATTACAACCTCCAAAGTCACAATGAAATGTGCTATATATGACAGATGTGTGCGTAGGATGCCACAGAGCACAGCAATGGATTCCAAGGGAGGGCTAAGTAAAAGGACAAGTTAGAATTAAGCAGGGAGAGTAGGTGGGATAGTGCCCAAAGCACAGAGGCAAGAATTCACTGAACATTTCTGAAGGCAGCTTTGTAGACATCTATTAAAATGTACTACAGGCCTCCCTGGTGGCGCAAAGGGTTAAGACACAACCTATGATGTTTGCTGCAGCCACTGCAGCATTTGTTCAATCTCTGGCCATGGAGCTAACCCACATAGCATAGCAGACCTCTCCTGACTCAGCAGTATAATTCAGTCGCTCTCCCCGTTCTTTTCCCCACTCTGTCTCTGGTGAATCCTCTCACCCCCACAACTCTCGCCTGTATCCCAGTTCTTGTGTGTATCAATAAATAATTTTTTTAAAGATTTATTTATTTATACAAGCACTGGGGTACAGGCCAGAGGTGCAGGAGGGTGAGAGAATTCACCAAAGACAGAGCAGGGAGTAGAACAGGCAGAAAGACCAAAGTACACTGTCGAGAGAAGCAGCAGGTGAGACAAGAGTGGTCTGCCTCACCATGTGGGAATCTCCTTGGCCGGCCAGGAATCGAATCAGCGCTGCAGAGGCTGCGGACAGCTTCACAGCCCTGCGCTCAACCCACTGCGCCACCAGGGAGGCCCTCAATAAATAAATCTTAAAAAAAATCTTTATTAAAAAAATAAAATGCGGGCCTGCCCTGGTGGCGCAGGAGGTTGAGCGCAGTGCTGTGAAGCTGACCGAAGCCTCTGCGCTGGTTTGATCCCGGCCGGCTGGCGAGGGTCCCACATGTCGCAGCAGATCTCTCCTGTCTCGCCCTCTGCTCCCCTCAGCAGTGTATTTCATCAGTCTGCCTGTTGTGTTTCCTGCTGTCTCTGGTGAACCCTTCTCACCCTCCTGCGCATCTGGCCTGTATCCCGGTTCTTGTATAAATAAATAAATCTTTAAAAAAATAAAAAAATTAAAAAAAATAAAATGTACTGCAGACTGTCTTATGTTTTTAACTACTTCCAGGACAAGCAAATATTTGCACTAAAGTTATATTAGGGGTGGTTGTGCTCTCCCCTTCTTAATTACTACCCTATCTATCAATTACTATCTTTTACATAAATGACATTAGCATTAGAAATGAAAATTTGGGGACCCAAAGAATGTAGATATTTAACAAGCTCCACAAATGATTTGAATGTGCAGTCAGTACTGAGGGCCCCTTGACTAGAGGAAACAGCAATGAAGCAGAAATAAAAAGGTTATGTTTAAGTCTCCGCAACAGATTTATATGCCTAATCCTAAGCTAGACTCATCCGTCACAACAGGCACACAATCTAAAATAAAGAAAATGGGTCTATTCAAATCTATACTTGTTGTAAGGGGAAAAAAAGGAAACCCCTATTCATAAAAGGCAGGTATCATTCTCTTTTACAGAAAAAGGAACAGGTCACTACTACTCTATATTGCCATGACAGAGCTTCCAGAGTGGAGTCTTGCTTAATGTGGCAACAAGGTGCTCACCCACCTCAATTCTTGCCCGACATCAGCATGCTGGGAGTCCCCTAGGATCTCAGGCAGACTTGTGATCAAGTCATGCTGCAGGTCCACTGGAGCAATACTGATCAGCTGCATCATTTTAGCGCTAAGATCCTGAAGTAGAGGAGATAGTCAGAATCATAGAACACACTACCCCAAAACGAAAAAGACATCCTATTTGTGGAATGTACAACTGAGATCATTTTCTACACAATATGATAACTACACACTCAGAAGCAAATGACCCAAAAATTATCACACATGGGATGAATTATAGAAAACACTAGGTTGGGTGGTAAATTACCTAGCACATTTATTATATAATTATTTCATTCAATCACGACTCAATGATGTTTGTGTGATAATTCCCATTTTTAAAATGTGGTATGTGCTGGTCTAGGATACAGAACTGATAAGTAGCAGAATCAAAATTCCTATCCAGGCAGTGTCAGAAAAAGACACACTTTAAAACTAAACATTGAAAACTGACCATTGAGCTTCAGCTTTCAGAGGGGAAGAAGGGAGGGGAAAAGGACAAAAATAGGGGACTGAGGGGGTAGAACACAATGGACTATGGTGGACTGTGGATGCTTCGGTGGCGGGGCTACAGTGGGGAAGCCTACATTTTCAAAACACTAGCAAGGATGTAAAACAATGGTATATCAACAATGGCAAAAAAAGAAAAATTTTAATAGTAAAAAAAAAATCCTGCCCTGCTAAAAAGTCCAAAATTATTTTCTTCCAAAAAAATGTTTAGTCTTGGTTAGTATAACAAAAATTCAGAATGATTTTAAGAACTCATGGGGAAAAAAAAGATTTCTTTCCAGATTCAACTTACTTGACTGCAAAACTTACTGAAATTTCCATCAATACCTAGCAAAACAAAAACATCTGCAGTGAAGTAGGATGGTTTGTGATATCACTTCTGAGTAAAATGAAGCTTAGTAATCCCTATATACTGAAAAATGAGTAAATTTCTTTCCAAATATCTAGTCATCATAACTTCTTCTATTTTAAAAGAAATTTTAGAGTGAAATACACCATTCTCAAATTACGAAGGCTGAGAAGTAAAGAGAAATACCAAGATTTAACTCAAGTAGAATATAAAGAAAAAATGCAAATGAATGAACAAAACAAAAACAAACCATTAGACTTTTGAAAACACAATAGTGGGCAGAGGGAGTGGATCAGAGATGGTCGTAAATGGTAACCAGATCTTTGATGGAGGGCACAGATGGGACATACATTTGAGATGTTAAGCCATTTATACTCCTGAAACTGATTATTATAAAGTGATGTTTCCTCAGTTTAAAAAAATGTTGTGAGGGGGGCCTCCCTGGTGGCCTTGGGGTGAAGTCTAAGGACTATCACCACTGTGACCTGAGTTCGATCCCCAGCCAGGGAGCTAACCCACAAGGCGTGGCAGACCATTCCTGTCTAAAGTTCACCTGCTGTTCCCCTCAGCAGTGTATTTCAGTGGATTCATCTGTTCTGCTCCCCATTCTGTCTCTGGTGAATCCTCTCACTCCCCACCCCTCTCAATACCCCAGTTCTTCTATGACAAAAAAAAAAAAATTGGGGGCCTTCCTGGTGGTGTGGGGGTTAAAGACACAGTGCTATTAAGCTGTCAGCAGCCACTGCAACATGAGTTCAGTCCCTGGCCAGGAAGCTAAGCAACATGGCGAAGCAGACCTCTCCTGTCTCCCAGCTGCTCCCCTCAGCAGTGTATTTCAGTACTTCTGCCTGTTCTACTCCCTACTCTGTCTAGGTAAGTCCTCTCACTTCCCATACCTCTGGACTACACCCCAGCTCTTGTATGCATAAATAAATTAATCTTAAAAAAAAAAGAAAAACTTTAATTTTCTGTTTAGAAAGGAAAAGAACCCTGCAAATCCCAAAAGTTTGTGTTTAAAAAGAGTAAGTCCCAAAGCTACCTTGCCATCCATGACCCTGTCAAGCCACTTCAGCTGACTGATGATGAGCCGAGGCATGTTGATTCCATCAGTGTTCATGCTGAAATGTCAGGACAAGGAGACAGAAACTTAGCTTTATTATCTTATACAATACCACACATTCACCTGCACCAAACACTTCAGCTGATCAATGAACATCTACCCAACGCTATGTGCTGCAAACTGTGTTAGACACACAGGTGACGCAAAAAACGCTTGAGACTCTGCTTATGTGTTTAAAAAGGTGTCTGTTACTACTATGGGAAGAACAACGGGGGAAGGACAGGAGAGTATCACTCAGTAATGCAAACAATTTTTTTTAAATAAAGGTAATGAACTAATAAAAGGAATTATTCTAAAAAGGTACATCAGTGTGACAATTGCTCAAAGAAAAAGTACAGGTTGCTATGGAAACAAGTAAAATTAGAATGTGAAAATGCTAAAAACCATTTATGAAGAAATGTTGTCTCAGTTATTACAATTTGCCCCAAAATGACAATCTCTGCCCTACTCGCAATCTCTCACGTCTAAAGTTCTGAACAATCTCCAGTTTCATTCCTTGAGAGCATTCTTGGTCTCTGTCTACTATAGCCAAATAGAACTGTGGAAAAAAAAAAAAGACTTAGGGGCCTCCCTGGTGGCGCAGGCAGTTGAGCACAGTGCTATGAAGCTGTCCGCAGCCTCTGCAGTGCCAGTTCCATCCATGCCGGCCGTGGAGCAACCCACATAGCATGGCAGACCTCTCCTGTCTCATCTACTGCCCCTCTCAGCAGCGTATTTCAGTCTACCTGTTCTGTTCCCCGCTCTGTCTCTGGTGAATCCTCTCACTCTCCCACGGACTTGGCCTGTACCCCGTTTATTGCATAAAATAAATCTTAAAAAAGAAAAGACTTAGCCAGGTCATAAAGCATATGAGGTAAAATATAAAATTCACAACAATAATAATTACTACTATTATTACTTACAAGATACTGAAAAGGTACGTACTGAAAGGAAAAAATAAAAACAATGCACAGCCCTGTACCCAGAAACTCAATAACATGCACATGCCGCGATGTGTAGTTATCTTTTTTTTTTTTAAACAAAATACTGGCCTGAATTACAAATACTTATAGCCTTTTTTCCAATTAGTAAAAGACACTGTAATATCCTCTTTATCACTTTTCGCCATGTATATGTCAATACTGAATTTATGATAAAGGACTCACACCAAACAATGGAAAAAGGACAGATTCTTCAAGAAATGAAAACCTGGGAGGTCTCCTGCCCATCGTGGCTATGCAGATGGCTCTCTTTTTCTCTTTTTCCCAGTAAACCTGTTCTAAAATGTTAAAAAAAAAAAAAAAGAAAAGGGAGGGCCTCTGTGGTGGCCCCGGGGTTAAAGACAGCACTAACAAGCTATTACCAGTCAATGCAGCACGAGTTCAATCCCCGGCCAGGGAGCTGACCCACATGGTGCAGCAGACCCCTCCTGCCTCGCCCGCTGCTCCCCTCAGCAGCGTATTTCAGTCAGTCTGCCTGTTCTGCTCCCCACTCTGTCGCTGGTGAATCCTCTCTCCTCTGCACCTCTGGCCTACACTCCAACTCTTGCATGCATAAAAAAATATATCTTGGGCCTCCCCTGGTGCCGCAGGTGGTTGAGCGCCGCGCTGTGAAGCTGTTTACAGCCTCTGCAGCTCCGGTTGGATCTCGGCTGGCCAGTGATGGTCCACATGGCGCGCAGACCTCTCCTGCCTGGCCCGCTGCTCCTCTCAGCAGTGTATTTCGTCAGTCTGCCTGTTCTGTTTTCCGCTCTATCTCTGGTGAATCCTCTCACCCTCCCACACATCTGGCCTATACCCCGGTATTGTATAAATAAATAAATCTTTTTTTAAAAAAAAATCTTGGGGGAAAAAACAAGGAAAACTGGGCCGCCACATGTAAAAGAACGAAATTAGATCATTCTCTAACTTCATGCACAAAAATAAATTCAAAATGGATTAAAGACAAACACAAGACCTACAAAATAACATATACAGTGCAAAACCACTGGAGATACATTTCATGGCATCAGAGATAAATGTGTCTTTGGAGGGTCCATCTAATCGGCGGGTCAGTGGCAGCGGTTCCTATTCACACTGAATGTGGACTTCAGAAAGCAGGTCTTATACCCACACTTCTTCCAGGATCCACAATGAAGAACCACAGGCTTCTGAAGCAAGATATCCCCCGACACCTCACAGAAGCCCCAGATGCTCGTCCTCCAAAATTTGTAATTTCCACATCACAGAGAACTGTGTGGATGTACCTCATTTATTTAACCAACCCTCCACAGTTGAACATCTCAGCTGCTTACACTTTTATATTATTTTAAACAGCAGTTCACTGTTATTTTAATTCAGTTGTAACTTTAGGATAAATTAGTATATATGGTTGAATATTAAACATATATACAAAACCCAAGATTTTGATACACACAACCTACTACCCCTCAGAATGATCAAACTCATTTGTATGTTCATCAGTAATGCATGAACATGAACATGACTGTTTATTATACTCAAAAAGGGAGACCCTTTAAGAATGGGAAAAAATATAATGCTTTAAAAGTGTCTTTATTAATGAAACTGAGCATATGAAAAATGTTTGATAGGCTGCATGTTCATGACCTTTATCTACTTTCCTAGTAGGCAGCTCATTTTTTTGATATAATTTTTTAAGTAAATTAATTTTTTATGTAAATTAACACATACCTTACAAAATTTAAAAGGTAAAGAAGAGTATCCAGAGAATACCCGACTCCAGCCCCTTGGTTCCCTCCTTGGAGACAACCAGTATTATCAGCTTATTGCACATCCTTCTAGGAACATGCAGTCATAGTAATAAATGAAATCTGACTGAAAGACAGTCCAGTAAAATTTCAGCAGTCACTTAAGAATGTGGCATCATAATAAACATGGCTTTCAGAGAAATCAAGGATGTAATCTTATCAGAGAGAAACTTACACACGAGGGGGTACTTTGAGAATTCCAGGATAATGCCACTTACTTTTCAAAAAAGAATTCTGGCAACTTTTCAAATAAGGTTTTGATAATGACAGGCTAAAAAAAGAAGACACAGGGAGTTAGGAGATAGTCTCAAAATATACAACAGTTGTATGTAATTAGCCACAATTCTCTTCAATGAGAGCTCTTAGAGGGAAAAAAAATCAGCTATAACTGAAATCCTATTATAAGATTGTCAACATTAATGTTACCTATATTTTGAACATAAATTTTTGGAATACAAAGACTCATCAATAATCTGTCTTCTGAGAAACTGCAAAAAGGGGGCCTCCCTGGTGGCCTAGGAGTTAAGTCTCAGGGCTATCACCACTCTGGCCACAATTGATCTCTGGCTAAGGAGCTAAGCCACATGGCACCTCAGACCTCTCCTGGTTCCCTGCTGCTCCCCTCAGCAGTGTTTTTTTTTTTTTTTTTAAGATTTATTTCATTTATACAAGAGCTGGGGTACAGGCCAGAGGTGTGGGGGTGAGAGGACCCACTAGAGACAGAGTGAGGAACAGAACAGGCAGATGGACCCCTCAGCAGTGTATTTCAATAGATCTCCCTGCTCTCTCCCCTCTGTCTCTGGTGAATCCTCTCACCACCTGCACTTCTGGCCTACAACCCCAGTTCGTTTATGGGAAAAAAAAAAAAAGAAAAGGAGGAGATAAGAGCATGGAAAGATTATTAAAAGAGTCTGAGAGAGGGCCCTCCCTGGTGGCGCAAGGGTTAAGATGCAACCTATGAAGTTATCTGCAGCCACTGTAGCACGATTTCAATTCCAGCCAGCCAGGGAGCAACCCACATGGCACAGCAGACCTCTCCTGACTCACCCGCTGCTCCCCTCAGCAGTGTATTTCAGTGGATCTGCCTGTTCTGCTCCCCACTCTGTCTCTGGTGAATCCTCTCACCCCCACACATACACCTCTGGCCTGTACCCCAACTCTTATATGCATAATAAATCTTTTTTTTTTTTTATTTATACAATAGCTGGGGTATAGGCCAGAGGCACGGGAGGGTGAGAGGATTCACCAGAGACAGAGTGGGGACAGCACAGGCAGACTGACTGAAAGCACTGCTGAGGGGAGCAGCAGGCACAACAGGAGAGGTCTGCTGTACCATGTGGGAAACTCCCTGCCAGCCTGGATTTGAACCCGCGCTGCAGAGGCTGCGGCGAACAGCCTCACAGCACTGAGCTCAACCAGCTGCACCACTGGGGAGGCCCAATAAATAAATCATTAAAAAAAAAAAAAGAGAGAGCCTGAGAAAGAGGGGAGGGGAAAATGGAGAATGGAAAGGCAGGGACTTTACATTCTTACACACGTTTATAACTTGAGATGTTTAAAACATACCACTGTATTATCTATTTAAGAAATTTAAAGAGCGGGCCTCCCTGGTGGCGCAAGGAGCTAAGACGCAGTCTCTGCAGCTGTCCGCAGCCACTGCAGCACGAGTTTGATCCCTGGCCTGCCAGGGAGCAACCCACATAGTGCAGCAGACCTCTCCTGACTCGCCCGCTGCTCCCCTCAGCAGTGAATTTCTTCAGTCTGCCTGTTCTGTTCCCCACTCTGTCTCTGGTGAATCCTCTCACCCCCCACGCCTCTGGCCTGTACCCCAGCTCTTATATGCATAAATAATATTTAAAAAAAAAAAGAAAAGAAATTTAAAGAGAGAAAAGCAGAGGAAAAAAGGAGAAAACCAAGTAATTGAGCAAATAAAAACAAATAACTGGGAGATGACTGATGAGACTGAGGTGACTAATCAATTCAGCCCAAAGGCATGGTCGGTGCCTGCCCTGCAAACACAAACTCTCCCAATTAGCCCCACTTAAGCCTGTGGCACAGCCACTGTGGGCACACACCACAAATCACATCCAACAGTCAGAAAAAGTGGCAAAGTCTCACCTGCAATATGTCAATTCCCAGAAGCAACTTAATGAGGCTCTTAGAGTAAGATGTGCTCGTGCTGTAAAAAAGAGGTGTGTGATTTCTTTGTTTTAATGTTACTATTCTTTCTGATAAAACTGGTTAAATGTGTAATCTTTAAAAAGAAGCCATGCTGTTACATAAAATTGAACAAAAAAAAGATGGTTCTTCAGCAAGGAAGAATGGAAATTCCATCAACACAAGTGAGACAGTCTAGAAACACTCTGTTCTTAGCCTCAGAACCATAAACTCAGTAATTCAAAGGTTAGGTTAAAGCTCTGAGGGAAAGGGAGCTGTAAGACAAAAGCAAATTTAAAAAAAACTGCATTCTTCCACCTCTCCCTCAACCCAGTGAGTCTGACAGACTCCACGGTTCTCACGCTACCTGGCTTCCTCATCCTGCAGGCGTTCACAAGACAAAAGGCAGTTCCTGAAACAGTCTTGGTCCTCAATGTAAGACTCCAGGCCACTAACAAATTCTTCTATTATCTTAATGACATTAAAAAAAAATAAACAATAAAGACAGTGAGAGTAAGATTTTTAGTTTACCATCTGTAGTAGATTAGCTAAGAATCATTCTAGCTTATTCAACTCAATGCCACTGTATGTAAATTCCCCATCGCAGAGTACCGCTGGTACATGAAAACCGACCAGGAAGAAAATACATACTTTGGGATAAGAAGGATGTTTCCTCAGGTTCTGAAAAAGCTTCTTTTGGAAAATGACTTGATCCACAGCTATGAGGAACAAAGAACAGTTGGTCTCTAAAGTCTTTAACATCATCTAACACTGTCTCCATTCCCTACAGGCCTAAGCCTCCTAACTGATGAAACCAATAAAAGTATTTTCAACTTACAGGCCCAAATCTTGTAAGCTTTGCCATAGGATAGCTACTGAGTGTTCTACCAAAAAAAAAAAAAAAAAAAAAAAAGCCATAACCTTAGCAGGATAGATTAATCTATTCTCCAAAAGGAGGATTTTTCATGGCTGTATGGATTTGTACCTGAAATTATTCTTACCCAGATCTACTTACTCTTCTGGGTATTAATTTATTTTTTCACAAAAGAACATGAAATAATACTCGTTTGTATTCATATTTAAAAAGAATGGATTAGGGCCTCCCCGGTGGCGCAGCGGTTGAGCGCTGGGTTGCGAAGCTGCCCGCGGCCTCTGCGGCGCCGGTTCGATCCCCGGCTGCTTCCCAGCCACCAGAGGAGGGTCCCACATGGCGCACAGACCTCTCTGCCGCCCGCTGCTCCCCTCAGCAGTGTACTTTGGTCCTTCTGCCTGCTCTGCTCCCCGCTCTGGCTCTGGTGAATTCTCTCACCCTCCCGCGCTTCTGACTGTACCCAGTGCATGTATAAACAAAACAAACAAACAAACAAACAAAGAAAAACATGCCTCTATTAAAAAAATAAATAAATAAATAAAAAGAATGGATTAGAAGTGGGCCCCCCTGGTGGTGCAAGAGGTTAAGATGCAACTTATGAGGCTATCCGCAGCCGCATAAGTTCAATCCCCAGCCAGGGAGCAACCCACATGGTGCAGCAGACCTCTCCTGACTCGCCCGCTGCTCCCCTCAGCAGTGGGTTTCAGTCAGTCTGCCTGTTCTGTTCCCCACTCTGTCTCTGGTGAATCCTCTCACGCCCCACACCTCTGGCCTGTACCCCAGCTCTTGTATGCATAAATAAATCTTAAAAAAAAAAATGGATTAAAAGTACTTTAGTTAACATGCATCAATCAGGACCAAAAACTAACAATATTCTCTGAAAAGCAATTTCAATTTCACCCTTGTCTCAGGATAGCTAGTCCTCTCATTTCTAATTTTTACTGACTCTCTATTTAGAAAATACCTAACAGTCCTGAGTCATTTCACTATACCCCCGAGAAAAGACTTAGGTTGAAATACTACCCAGCTGATTTTGACTCTCTCCTGTTTTAAGAGTAACTCCTGATGTCTTAAGAAGCTTTACAAAGACACTGTCATTTTCTTCAACTTCATTATTAGCAAGAGGTTTCTTTGTCCTTTGTTTTCTGGCTTCTGAAAACACAAAATTTTTAACAGTGTGACCATTAGTAAAGCAAAGATTAAAATGCAAATCTTCAAGTAATACCTCTAAGAGGAAAGTTCCTGAAGAATTATACTAGAATTAATGGTGTAGTAGAATATTATCTAACAATGGTCAGCAACAGTGGCTTATAAGCAAATCTATTAATGAACAGAATTGCTTCTATTTATTGAATTTTCATTTGAGAAATTAAAAATGTACCATTTCCAACAAGAATAACCATGGAAATGCTTTCCACCCAAATTCTAAAGCAATCAGCATCTCTCAATTGTTTTCTGCTGACCATTGCACTGCAATCACTGGGTAACTTAGGAAATGCATATTCTTAGGTTGCATCCTAGACCTACTGAACCAGAATCTTGAGGATGGAACCCGGGAGTCTGAATTTTTAACATGCTCTCCAGTTAATAATTCTGATGAACACGGAAGTCTGAGAACAACTGATCTGGAGGTAGAAGTAGACAGAATGGGGATGGTTCTCCTGCATCATACCTTTGAGTGTAAGACCCACATTGGTTTCCTCCCAAGACATTCAACCCATGAGAAGCAATAAAACTACAAACAAAAGAACAGGTACTTAAAGCTAAGGCTATATACTATTCTCACTTCATGGAACAACTTCAGTTTTCCCTTTCCCCAAGTCTTCCATTTCTCCTGTGGAAGCCTTAAACAAAATGAAACAAAACCACCGTTTTCCTTAAAGAAGTTTAAGGCACAACTGGGATGAACAATTCAGTTTGCTTCTTACTCACCAAGAATCCTTGCAATAAAATTAACTCAGAAGTCTCTTCCCTTCTGTATTTCCAAAGTACACCATTCACTTCTGGTGACTTCTTAAGTTATTCCTCTTCAGTTTCAAAATCTACCTATTTCTCTATATTCTACAATCCCTTTAGTAATAGAATATTAAAGTTTGGAATTTCATTTTCTAAATTAAGCTTATTCCTAACATAGTTTTGGCCTGGAAATTTTAATCACTCTGAAAGTTGTTCAAGTAGAGTCAACAAGCACTTCCATCTGTATCAGTGGTATCTAACCAAGAGTCAGACCCAAATTATAGAATCCAATAAGAAATGAGACTCCAATTTACAAGTTAGAAATGTCCTAATAGAGCAAATGAGTGCAACGATTGCATTCTAATATCATTCTGCTGTATCTTTGCCTCTGGTATGCTTGCTCTGAATGCCTTTCCTTTATACATCACTATCATAGGATTTATCTATACTAGAATTTCTTTTAATGGAGGAAAGTGAATCATATGCTGTTTTAAAGTGTAAGGACTAGATCATATTTTTGTGTCCCAGCACTTAGATAACGTAGATAAGGTCTATAATAGTAATTCCTCTTCAGATGTGGAGATGGTTTCAGAAACTGTGGGCATGCCCAAAATTATACAGGGGACTTAGAGGCAGAAACTCAATCTCAAATCTCCTGATACTAGATTCTGCAAATGATGACACCCAGCATGTGAAAGGAGGAACTTTTGATGACTTAAAGCATTCACACATTTGCTACAGGAAACAAAGCAACAAATGACTAGACACTCACTGGAAGCATCTTCTCTCAGGCTCCCTGTGTCCTCAGATTTTGATAGCTGCTTTTTGGACATCATTTTGACCAGTCTTCTGCAATTAAATCACTTTCTAAAGCAAAATTGGAGAAATTTAGTTACTCTCTATAGACCACATAAATTCTGAGAAGGTAAATCTATTAAGTCTATTAAGTCTAAGGTAAATCTATTAAGGTAAATCTATTAAGTCAAAGGAAACTACTCCATCCAGAACCAAAGAGGTTCCAGTCTTTACATTGATGCTATCCAAATGCAGGTTTTGAGAAATGTCAACACCTGTATCTGGCCAATACAGGCAAATCTGAGAGATACACAGGTTTATTTTCACGCCACTGCAATAAAGCAAACATCCCAATAAAGCCAGTCACATTTTTTTTTTTTGTTTCCCAGTACCTGTAAAAGTTGCTTACATGGCCTCCCTGGTGGCGCAAGGGGTTAAGTCTCAGTGCTGCTAAGTTAAGGCAGCCACTGCAGCTCAGAGTTTGATCCCTGGCCGGTATGCTAACTGGCAATATTTATGTATGCATAAATAAATAAATCTTTTTTAAAAAGCTGCTTGCACTACATATACTGTCATCTATTAAGTGTGCAACAGCACATGTCTAAAAAACAATGCATAGACCTTAACTAAAGACAATCAAGACAAGGAGATAAGCTGTTGGAAAAATGGCACCCATAGGCTTGGTGACACAGGGTTGCCACAAACATTCCGCTTGTGAAAAACCGCATCACCCACAAAGCACCAGAAACCAGGGTATGCCAGTATTCCATTTGATGAGGGCACACACAGGCCCCTTGTAAAATCCGCACAACCAGGCTCCAGGGAACAGGAGATTAGCTAGACCAGAGAGAAGCTGACAACAGTAAAGAATTCCAGCAGACCTGCCCCTGGCAGTAAATGACTCCAGCAGACCCCCTCCACAGGCAAGGCCCCTGCCCCTTGCCTGCATGCACCAAAAAATTCAAGCAGTGGCCTTGTTATAGGGCAACCCCGATATAAAATAAAACGGGGTGCCTGGCTGTGGGTCCTCACCCGTGCGCTTAAAAGGGACTTATGAATACTCCACTGCAGGCGCACACAAAAGGTTCATAAAAGGTTTATTGACAAGGGAAAAGGAAATAAGGAAAATGTACAACTCAGGGAGAAAATAGGGAAATAAATTCTTTAATGCGTCCTACCCGATCCGCCGAGCTGGCGGGGAGCCAAAATGGGGGAACCCCCCCAAAGCCCACGTGTCTGGCTTTATACCAACCTGGCTGCTTAACCCCACCCTCAGGTCCCAGCCACCTTCCCTTTGGTGGTGATGGGATTTGGAGTGGGGGTGGAGTCCACAAAGCCTGTATGGAAATAGCTTTAGAACATCCTTTTCCCCCTAACAACCTGACCTGCTCTCCCCATTTCAGGGCTTGACTCTCGGCCTGCAGGGAGTCGTCCCTCACAGAATTTCAATAAAGCCCACTTCTGGTCTGATAATCTTGGCCTCCTTTCTTTTCTAACACCCCTCCTTTCAAGGTTTGTTTACCCAGCTGCCTCTTACTGAAGTTCTCTACCTGATATTCAAGATCCTTCATCATCTAGCCCCATTCTACCTCTTTTTTTAAAAAAGATTGATCTTTATTTCTGCATACAAGAACTAGGGTATAGGGCCTCCCCTGTGGCGCAGCGGTTGAGCACTGGGCTGCCAAGCTGCCCACAGCCTCTGCAGCGCCAGTTCGATCTCCGGCCACAGGCAAGGGTCCCCACATGGTGCACAGACCTCTCCTACCCCACCTGCTACTCCCCTCAGCAGTGTACTTCGTCAGTCTGCCTGTTCTGCTCCCCGCTCTGGCTCTGGTGAATTCTCTCACCCTCCCGCGCTTCTGACTGTACCCAGTGCTTGTATAAATAAATAAATCTTTAAAAAAAGAAAAAAGAACTAGGGTATAGGCCAGAGGTGGGGGGAGGGGTGGGGGGGTGGTGATGATTCACCAGAGACAGAGTGAGGAGAACAGGCAGTCTACTGAAATACACTGCTGAGGGGAGCAGCGGGTGAAACAGGATCCAGGCAGGTGATAACTTGATAGTGCCGAGGCTTTAACTCCTGCGCCACTAGGGAGGTCACCATTCTCTCTTTTTTAACTCAATGATTCAATCCTATATAATGGGGACTGTGCTAGTGCTGGGGTTATAAATGTGAACAACACAGGCATGATCCTTGCCTCAGGCAGTTTATGTAATTCTTTACAGGTGTATAAAGGAAAACACAGGGTGCAATGAAGGCTTAGAAAGAAATTTAGTGTAAATGGGAATGGGGGTGATAAAGAAAATCAGGGACAATTTTTCAGGGATAGGCTCCTGAGAAAGTGGTTTTTAAGCTGGGGCCTGAGGGTTGAAACAGGAGTCGGCAGAAGAGGTAAGGGAAGAGTAGTCCAGGCCAACGCTGAAACAGGAAGCCACTTGCAGAATTAGTAATGAGACCGCAGAGGCAGGTGAAAGCCTCACCACAGGTGCCTTCTATTGTTTTGTAAACCAGAACATTCCTGGTCTCCCAGCCTTTGCTTAAGGTTTTCTTTTCACCCAAGATTATCTCCTCTGCCTAGAAACTCCTGGACATCCTTAAGTACTGGGCCCAGTGTTATCTTCCTTGAAAAATGCTCCTCCAGGGCCTCCCCTATGGCGCAGGGGGTTGAGGGGGGTTGAGGGTTGAGAGCAGCATGCTGAGCGGGTCCCCCGCTGGCTGTGGAGATACTCACTGAAAGCTCTATGCAGGGGCCAGGAATAAGAAAAGCCCACATAGAAAAAGACAAGATGGCCCTGACACCAGGACCACTGATACCATCAAACCCATACTGAAGCCATAAACAGGAGAAAAACAACTTGGCTCCATGAAAAACAACCGCCTAAACCTGTTCCCCCCCCAACCCAGTTTTCCTACCTAACCTCTCCTCACCCTATAAAAGGGGCATCTCTCCCTACAACAGGCCCGGCTTCAAGGACCCCCACCTTGGATCCGTGAGGCCCACCTGGGCCACAGTAAATTTTCCCTTCCTTTGAGAAATTTAGCCTGGCTCTCCTTTTCTTTACCACGCCAAACCTTTCACCCACATGGCGCAGCAGACCTCTCCTGTCTCACCCGCTGCTCCCCTCAGCAGTGGATTTTAGTCTGCCTGTTCTGCTCCCTGCTCTGTCTCTGGTTAAGCCTCTCACCCTCCTGCGCATTTGGCCTGTACCTCAGTTCTTGAATGCATGAATAAATTAATCTTTAAAAAAAAAAAATGCTCCTCCAGTCCCTAAGGGAGTTTGCGACTCTGGCTTCCCCCTCCTAGCCCAGCAGCTCTTAGACTAGACTATGCAGTTCCGTGACAGCAGGAACCCAGACTCATTTATCTCGGTATCCCTATGCCCTCCACCGTACCTGGGCACATCGGGAAAGAAATCTGAGACTATTCACTACAAGAGAATAGGTGGCAGGCAGGTAACCACTATTTAAATAACTATATTAAGTGCTTCGTCCATAATTTATTCCCCACAAAGAGCCCTGAGGTGGGTACCAGTATTATTCTCTAATTCTGGGGCAGAGCTGGGATGCTAACTCGGGCGTCCGGCGCCTGCATCTCTTGGACTCTCACCTAGACCTACTCTTGATTATTATAATGGTTTCCCCAACAGCTACGCAGGACTTTGCACCGGGTCCCGTGCTCAGCTTCTTCTGCACCCGCTGCCTCGTGGCTTAAGAGAAAAAGGCAAAAGTGACAATGGCCAGCACGTCTACCCATCTCCATGGGCCACCCGGCGGGGACAGAGAAACCCGCGGCCTCGTTTAAGACTCAGAACCACGAGGCGTCATTCTGCAGAGGGAGAGACCCAGGCCGCGCCGCTAGCAGGCAAGCCGCAACTCTGGGGGGCTGGCTGGGCCCTCCGGACCCGGCCGCCGGGGCGGTTCGGGGGTAAAGCCCAAACAAACTGGGCTCTCCGCAGCGCTCGAGGAGGTACCTGAGGGAATTACCCCACGAAAGGACGGAAGACGAGGCTTGGGGCGCCGAGGCGAAGGCCGGGTGCGGGGGACCCTCGGGAGCAGGCGGCGGGGCCGCGGAGCCTCTGGGGGGGACTCGACTACCCCACACAGCCGGGAAGCCCCGCCCCTCGCGTTTGGCTTTCCCGCCCGGCGCGACGCTTACTGACGCTACCGGCGCGCCCTCCGTGACGTCAAGCGTCCGCGCCGGAAGTGGACGGCCTGCGGCCGGGCTGGGAGCCGTGTGCCGGAGCCCGAGGAGCAGGAGGGGCTCGGGCCAGCCAGGCTGAGGGGCGCCAGAAGGCCCGGAAGCGAACTCGAGGCCGAGCCCCCGCACCCCGGGGGACAGAAACCCCACTACACCCGGCCGGGAGCCGGCGCTGTGTGACGATGGCGGGGCCCGAGCTGCTGCTCGACTCCAACATCCGCCTCTGGGTGGTCCTGCCCATCGTTATCATCACCTTCTTCGTGGGCATGATCCGCCACTACGTGTCCATCCTGCTGCAGAGCGACAAGAAGCTCACCCAGGAACAAGTCTCCGACAGGTCAGCGCCACCCCCCCTCCGGCAGCCCCACTCCATGACCTTGGGCAAGAAGGTGCCGGACTTACATGTCAGTTTGCGTGGGTTCGAGTCGTGCCCACGGTAGCTGGGTGACCTTGGCCGAATTATGGGATGTTTCTGTTTCGCCAACTGTAAAATGAGGTTGGTGACAGGATTTCTTCCCAGAGCAGGCGTCAGGATTACATTTTAGATAATGTCTGCAAAGGTTTTAGGACGGGGTGGGGGGAAGCGGGGGATCTCCCTGGTGCCGCAAGGGGTTACCTCTCAGCACTGTAAAGCTGTCGGCAGCCTTTGGAGTTCGATCCCCAGCCAGGGAGCTGACTCACTTGGCGCAGCACACCTCTCCTGTCTCGCCTGCTGCTCCCCACTCTGTCTCTGGTGAATCCTCTCACCCTCCTCTGGCCTACACCCCAACTCTTATATGCATAAAGTTAAAAAAATAAATCTAACTATTTAAAAAAAAAAAAAGCTTTAGGACAGGATTTGGGGCTATCCAGTGCTCCAAATAGTGTTGCAGTTATTAGTCTAGTCACCACCCCTCTGTGGATTTATGTAGCTATGAACTATCCTGTCCTACCTGTTTCTTGGGGAGAGTTCCAAGCACTTTGCATTGTTGGCTTTTAGTCTTTGTAACATCCGATCAAATAGGTGTAATTATACTCACCTCATTCAGCACCTGTTTTATGCCGGATGCTATGCTAAGGACTTCTATCCATTAACTTATTTGAATTTCAGTGTAACTCTGAAGTAGATGCTCTTGTCTCATAAAAACTGAAACTTAAAGAGGCTCCATGGTTCCACATCGTGTCATTCAGGACTTAAGCCAAGACTTCTAGCTCCACTATACCACAGCAGTCACTCAATTATTTTTCGGGAGCATCAGTTTCAGAACTAATTTCCTGAGGATAATATTTAAAAGTCAGGTTACTGCAAAAAGAAGGCTACAGCAAGAGGCAGGAAGAGCTCAGACATTGAGCACTGATTGATTGCTGCCAATCAGTTGTTCTCATTTCATCCACACATTTATACTGAAATAGATCATCCTAAACCCATTTTTACACTTGAAGAAAAGGAAGCCCAGAGAAGTTAAGTAGCCTTTCCAACACAACCAATATAGTAAAATGCTGTGCCAATAATTGAGCCTAGACCATGTTTCTCTTGTGTTAGGACTGCAGGCATATCGGGTGTACTGGCCATATGCTTAGTTGGTTCAGGGGCTATGCAGAGTATCCCGTGTCTTAAACACATAGAAATGTATGTGGTTGCATACAGCTGGGAATCTGGTACTTGCTAAGGCTGTCCGGCCATAAAATGTTACCACTTACAGAGACACCTTCAAGTGTAGAACTTCCTAATAGATGAATTTTAACTTAAGAGTCTGACTCTGAGGCCTCTCTGGTAGCGCACGGGTTAAGTCTCAGCACTATCAAGGTATTGCCACAGACACTGTGACATGAGTTTGATCCCCTGCCACATAACTGACCTACATGGCACAGCAGACCTCTCCTGTCATGCCCGCTGCTCAGCAGTGTATTTCAGTAGATCCACCTGTTCTATTTCCCACTCTGTCTCTGGTGAATCCTCTCACCCCCTGTACCTCTGGCTTACACCCAAGTTCTTGTATGCATAAATAAATAAAAATAAATCTTTAAAAAAAAAAAAGAGTCTGACTCTGAAGTTAAATTCTCTCAACCACGATTCCTGCTATTATAGATTCTTTGCCACAGTTTTCTGCCCTGGCTCATTGTGATTTTCAAAGCAATAGTTCTGAATATCAGGTCCAAAGTTCCTTTTTCTAACCCAAAATGAAATTCATAATGGATGTAGTTACATTCAAGAATGTTTTAAAGGAAGATTTATTGCAACAATCAGGAAAAATAAAAGGAAAATACATTTACATTTCATAAATGCTTTGTACAGCTGTCCTAGAAAGTATAAAGCAGAAGTCAGGACAATGCACCTGGCTATAAGATCACCATAATTGGTGGGCCTCCCCTTGGCGCAGCGGTTGAGTGCTGGGTTGCGAGGCTGCCCGCAGCCTCTGCAGCACCAGTTTGATACCCGGCCACCAGAGAGGGTCCCACCAAAAAAAAAAAAAAAAAAGATCACCATAATCGGGATAGGTTCAATCTGTGTGAACTACTTAGATATTACAGAGGGCAATGTTGTCTTGGATGTGATTTTCCTAAATGGTGAACTGCTCTTGATAAAGTTCAAAACAAAGTGCAGTTTTCTCTATACAGTAGACTCCCCCCACCACTTTACAATAATAATCTGTTCCACAGATGCAGTTATATAATGAAAAAATTATAATGTGAACCCAACAATACATGGATATTTCATTATTTGTTCTAAGACAATTTTCAGCACATAGCTAAGCTTACATAATACTGTGATTTATATAATAGAACAACAGAAATATTAAGAATTTCATTTTTATTGATATTAAAAAATGAAATTAGAACTGTGTAAATTAACTTAAATTAGAAAAGGTTATATTACAATTACTTAGAGTTTGCTAATGTGGTTGGTGGAAAAACCAAACTGTCATACCAATCACTAACTTACACTACCAACCTGCTTTTTTATCTTTTCTCATTTCAGATTTAATTGAAATTTTCTTTGTAATACACTCTTTGGGATCCATGGCTACAATTTAGCACAGTATTTTTAGGCAATTCAACAACCACTTGTGGTAAAGGATACATACAGTCAGAAACAAACATTTCAATACTGAAAAAAAAGTGGATCCATGCAACAAAAGATCCTTAAACTGACAATAGGCTGTGATTGACTCACATACTAACAGTTATTCAGATGCCCCACCCACATCATTTGTTGGCAGCAATCATAATGTAAATATTAAACCATAAAGTGATTTATATTTTAATAGTACGGACTCATCGTAAAGTGATTTGACTGTATAGTCGGCCAGTTATAAAGTGGGAGTTGACTGTATTTACTTAGTGGTTGTGTACCTGTAAATGTAGTGCATATAGACATCATTCCCTCCCCCCCAAAAAAAATGGAAGTAGGTTTGATGGCAGACAACTAATAACAATTCCATGAGATATTCATAAGTAGTGTGAGACATGAACAGTTCTGTTTATTACACAACTGCCCCGGCATTGAGGGACACTTAACATCCCTTGTTAACCCTGACAGTTGACACTGATTCTCACTTTTTTACCCCACCCCATCCTTGGACAACCCCAAAAGTTCCACAGATGTCCCTAAGGCCCGCTAGAGGGCAGTGCCACATGGAGAACCACCAGGTCATCATTTGAATGTGGGTAGAATGCTGAGCAGCTGGTTCTGAACTGGCCTAAGTCCAAGGCAAAAGATGTTTTTTAGTTGTAAAACCTTCCTCTGAATGTGGTGTAAGTTTCTATTAACCTGGGTGGTAGTGAGACATTATGTAAATTATTAAACTTTTACTACCTCAAAATTTAGTAAGTATTTTTAAAATGTATACAAAAATGAAAAATACATTAATATACACATATTTGTGGGTAGAATGTATGTAAAAGATGTTCCTAAGTTTGAAGATTGAAGGGGTAAAAAGGCAAACAAACTATATAGGACTCTAGTTTGAGAAATACTTTAGAAATCAAAGTTTTACTTGAAGAAAATTTTTTTAATTGCAGATTACCACTGCAAAAGAGAAGCTTTAAATTTATATATAGTACAAGGTTGGTTGGTTTGTTTTGTTTAAGCTATTAGTGGAAATGAAAATGCAAAATTAAAAACTGGGAGAATTTGCAAACCCCAGTACATGTATGGTTCTCAGCGTAATAAGCCCCATGTTCAGAATACACAGGGTAATGTTAAGCTTGTCGTCATTCAGGAGGCTAAGCTGCCTCGAGGTCACCCTTCTCAGCACCAGTTCTGCAGAAGTGCTCAGCGGTGTAAATACAGACCTACCTGAATTTCTGTTCATCACAGTGTATGTAGAAGTCTTGACTTATCCACAGTGAACAAGTTTTTACTGCTGACCTTGCATGTTTCCTGCCCTGTGCTGTGTACTACCAGGCACAAAATAAGCAAAGTCAGGATCCTATTCTCAGTCAGTTTCAGTCCAAGAGATAAATGCAAAAGAAAAACCATTAATCTAGTGCTTAGGATTTGCCAAGTACAGCGGTAACCGCTTAGAATGAAGCAGTATATGAATATCCGTTAAAATCATGGGGCCTCCCTGGTGGCACAAGGATTTAAGAAGCAACCTATGAAGCTATCCGCAGCCACTGCAGTACGAGTTCAGTCCCCGGCCAAGGAGCAACCCACATGCGCAGCGGACCTCTCCTGTCTTGCCCGCTGCTCCCCTCAGCAGTGTATTTCAGTCAGTCTGTCTGTTCTGTCCCCAACTCTGTCTCTGGTGAATCCCTTCACACACACACACACACACACACCCCTCTGGCCTGTACCCCATTTCTTGTATGCATAAATAAATAAATCTTAAATAAATAAAATCATTTAGTACATCCCTTTTGCCCTTTTTTAAAAAGTGTAGTAAAAAATATACCATCTTAACTATTGTAACGTGTACGGTTTAATGGCATTACCTATATTCCTATTGTACAACTGTCTACTTCCAGAATATTTTCATCATCCCAAACAGAAACTAACCCATTAAGTATAACCCCTTCTCCCCACCTTGAGGCAAGCACCGTTCCTTATGTTTCTATATGAGTTAGGCTTGTTTTTCAGAGTGCACATTTACATATAATTAGTGTTTATCTTTCTCTGACTCCTAATTTCACTCAGTATAATGTCCTCTACACTCGTCCATGTTACTGCAGCGGCAGGATTTCATTTGTTCCCGTGGCGAATAACACCCCATTGTACGCGTCCACATCTTTGTCACCCATTCACCCACTGGCATCGCACTTGGGCTGCTTCCCTGTCCTGGCTGCTGAGCATAATGCTGCAGTGAGCATGGGGATTCCAAAAGTGGGGTTGCTGGGTCATATGCTAGTTCCCTTGTTAACTGTTGGAGGAGCCTCCACATCATTTTCCGTAACAACTACATCTATTCATATTCCTAGTGTCAGAGGTCTCCTTTCCTCCCCACCTTGACTCTTTTTTAAGATTTATTTTTATTTATATAAAAACTGGGGTGTAGGCCAGAGGTGCAGGGGGTGAGAGGATTCACCAGAGACAGAGTGGGGAGCAGAATAGGTGGATCTACTGACATACACTGCTGAGGGGAGCAGCAGGGAGACAGGAGAGGTCTGCTGCGCCATGTGAGTCAGCTCCCTGGCCAGGAATCGAACTTGTGCTGCAGTGGCTGGTGACAGCTTGGTAGTGCTGAGACTTTAACACCCTGTGCCACCAGGGAGGCCCTCCGCTCCACCACTCTTAAAATAAAGATTACAATACAGTGGGACTCTTAAAAAGGGAAGGAAATATTACGAGCTACAACATCAGCGAACCTTAAGGACATTGTGCTAGGTGAAGTAAAGCGGACACAAAAGACAAATTAACTAAGATTCCATCTTTGTGAGCCAAATTCATAGAAACCAGAAGTAGACTGCTGCTTAGCAAGGGCTGTGAGCAGGGGAAAAGAGGAGGTGTTGTTCAGTGGGTAGAGTTTCAGACTTGTAAGCTTAAAAAGTTGCTCTGTTTCACAGCAATGGGAATGCATTTGCCACTGCTGAGCTGCGCTTAGATATGGTAAAGATGGAACTTTTTTTACCACAATTAAAAAAATACAGTGGGGGGGTCTCCCTGGTGGCGCAGCAGCTGAGCTGCCAGCAGCTTCTGCAGCACCGGTTAGATCCTCGGCTGCTCCCCGGCCACGGGGCGAGAGTCCCACATGGCGCGACAGACCTCTCCTGCCGCCCGCTGCTCCCCTCAGCAATGTACCTCGGTCCTTCTGCCTGCTCTGCTCCCTGCTCTGGCTCTGGTGAATTCTCTCACCTTCCCGCGCTTCTGACTGTACCCAGTGCTTGCATAAATAAATAAATACATCTTAAAAAAAAAAATACAGTGGGACTTGCATAGCCTGGTGTAGTCTGGCTCTTGCCCATCTTCCAAGACTCACTTTCCCCAAGTTTCCCGTAGTTCCTTTTCTTCCCGCTTATGGGTTTTTCTCGTTCTGAGAGACCTGTACTCAGTCCTGCCACAGGACTTTTGCCTGTACTCTTCTCTCCAGCACTTGGCCAAGGTAGTCTCTACTCTCGCTTAAGATGGATGCCAACTTACTCACACATCCTCAGCAAGCTTTGCGAGACCTTGGCTTCCCAGGCTGTCAGGCCCCCGGCGTACGCTCCCATTTATACCATCCGGCTGAATTTCACGTGTAGTCCTGTGGTTCTTATGTCTCGCTTCCCCACTGGACTTGAACCTTCGAGATATTTGCTTTCTAATCGCTGTTCTTATCACCTAACATAACACATGGCACTCACGAGCACAAGAAATATTTGTTTGCTAAGAATCAGTCTGTTAATTGTACAGAATATGAATGAAGGTGAAGGAAATTCAAATCCTTTGCCTAGCATAGCTCACAAATGGCTGAGTCAGGATTTAAAACTATCTCTCTGATACCAGAGCTTAAATTTTTACCCGCTGTTCTATACTCAGGGCTGCTGAAACTGTTGGTGATGAAGGACAGATTTTTTGTTTGTATTTTCTACACTATCTCAGGCTCACACTTTGATCCCATATTTGGATGCTGTGACAGTGTCACCATAAAAGCCTCTGAACCCCTATTCTCAGTGTCTCAGGCCTTGGAGTGGCTTTAGATTCGCTCCCAGGAAGCAACGCACTGTCTGTTATCTCTGTGCGCCCCTGTGTGGAGCAATCAATTGTACAGTTAACACAGTCACGGTCAAGAGGAGGAAGACCCGAGAGAATTCCACTGGGACATTGGGCAGAGTTTCATGGAGAGAGTAAGGCTTGAAGAAAGTGTTGATCCGGGTAGGGTACGAGTGTATTCCCAGCCTCTGTAGAAACTGAAATCTGCATGTAGTTCAGGCACTGCAGGTGCTTTGTATTAAAGAGTAGCGAGTGAGAACAGCAAGCAGTTTGTGTTAATTTCTGTCAAGGATTTCTATTAATTCCCGGAGGGCTTTTTTTTCCTCATTAAAACGCTTTTGAAAACCTAAACTAAATCTGTACTTTCATCTCTGCTCTATTTGGTATCTGTGTCTCGGTATCACCCACTTGTATTGCACTCTGTGATCAGTCAGGTTCAAATGTCACCAATACTGTCATGTGGTAGCTCAGTAAATGTTTATTGACAGCTCGCCAGCAGCCTGGATCCTCGGTGAAACTTCTCTTTGCTGCCAGATAACAACCGTCTCAAGCCCTGGAGCCATTCTTTGTGGGTTTGAAAAGTTCCTTTCATCCTCACCTCCCTCCACTTGCCCCCACCTCTCTTCAAATTTTTACCCTTTTCACTCAGAAGGTTCCTGCTTGGCTCATTATAAAGTAACAAAAAGCAATGTCTGAAAAGTGCCATCCTGAGAAATCTTTGTTCAGAAACACAGTCACTTTTGAAAGATGGCTTTTTTGAGAACCCAGTTGCTAGGTTAAATACGTTATTTGGTCTTAAGGGTGTTTGTATTTTGAGATGTTTCCCGCAGGACTGTCGCCAAAGAGGCCCTCTCTTTTGTTTAAATAGGCCTTCTACTTTATCCTCTCATTTTCTTCTAGTGTTTCGCTTTTTAAAAATCTCATTGTCTTGGTTGTATTTTTCAGTCAAGTCCTCATTCGAAGCAGAGTCCTCAGGGAAAATGGAAAATACATTCCCAAACAGGTACTCATTTATCTTTTATTAAAAGCTCCATGATTCGCTGTTGAGGGCAGTAGATATCTGAATGTTTTATAAGGGGACCCTTTGGGGAGAGCTGAAGGCTGGCAAGTCTGGGATGAGGCTGTAGCCAGCGGTGCCTGCTGTCATTGTGACCTCACCCTCCTTAGGAAATTGTTTTTAAATGTGACTCAGCTAAAGTGTCAGGTTGACTGCCAAGTAGGTTGCCAGCTCTGAGTGTAACAGCATATTCAAGGGCCTTCTGACTAAACCTTGGGGGGAAGTTTGACAGTTTGCTATGTCACCCTTTTGAAACTTAAAGGGCTCTTTTTTTCTACTAGTCCTTCTTGACACGAAAATATTACTTCAACAACCCAGAGGATGGATTTTTCAAAAAAACGAAAAGGAAGGTAGTGCCTCCTTCTCCTATGACTGGTATGTTTATTCCCTTCCCGTCTTTAAGGAAGATTTTTAACTTGAGGTACTGTTTGGAGGGGTGGGGGGTGTTTTGTTTTAAATGTTAAGTTGTCGAATGTAGTATCCTAAGGAAGCACAGAGATCATCGAGTACAGGGCTCTGTGGAAGGAGGTAGAGTTCTCTTTTTCAAGTGAATCTGGGAAACTCAGCATTGAAAGTAGGTTAAAAAAAAAAAAAAAAGCAAAACAAAAGCCGTGGGCTGAGAGGGCAGGAAAGCCGGAGCCACCGGCCCTCGTCTCGGCTGTGCCATCCCTCAGGACAGAGGGCCCCGTGGGGCACCTAGAAGAAGTGCCTGCCCCTGCTCCCAGCTCCCAGCTGGCCATTGCTTCTTCCTGAATGAGGAGGAGCTTGCACTGTTCCCCACACCAGCCATCCACTTGTCAGACAGGACTGCAGGGCCCCCTACGACTTGTTGCTTTACAGATTTATTCCAGTGATCCCAGGATGCGACAAATACAGCATTTTTGACCAGATGCAAAAGAATGTTTTATTCTGTGTTGACTGACCCTCATTTGAGCACCTATTTCTTTAGGAGCAACAACCAGAATTTCAATCCAGACAGGAGGTACTAGCATTTAGTTTAGTAATCCTTTTAAAAAAAACTTACGGGCCTCCCCAATGGTGCAGCGGTTGAGCGCTGGGTTGCGAAGCTGCCCGCAGCCTCTGCAGTGCCGGTTCGATCCCCAGCTGCTCCCCGGCCACTGGAGGAGGGTCCCTCAGGGCGCGCAGACCTCTCCTGCCGCCCGCTGCTCCCCTCAGCAGTGTACTTCGGTCCTTCTGCCTGCTCTGCTCCCCGCTCTGGCTCTGGTGAGTTCTCTCACCCTCCCGCGCGTCTGACTGTACCCAGTGCTTGTATAAATAAATAAAAATAAATCTTTAAAATATATATATATATATAAGAAGCCATTTAAAAAAAACAAACAAACAAATTTACAAGAACCAAAAGACCAATAAATAGATGAAGAGATATTTGACCTCACTAAAATCTGTGGAGCAAATTAAAATAATTTGCCCATTAAATAAATAGCAAAAAAATAAATAAATAAATAGATAGATAGATAGATAGATAGATAGATAGATAGATAGATAGATACTTAAATTGGCAAAGATTGAAAAACTGGACCAAAACTGCTGCTGTGAAGATCATGGGAATTAGACCCTTTCACGGTCATTGAAGGACAGTGTGACTTGGCAGCATTGTTTATTAGAGGAAAAAAACTGGAAATAATGTATTGATTCCCCCCAAAGTGATAGGCGTGCCACACAGCGGACTCCTGTGCAGACACTAAAATGGAGAATGACACCACTTGGAGATACTGTTCATAATATAGTAATTTTTTAAAAATTTAAGCAGCGTCGGGGGGAGGGGAAGCCTCCCTGGTGGCACAAGAGGTTAAGTCTCGGCACTACAAAGCTATCTGCAGCACAAGTTGGATCCCTGGCCAGGGCGCTGAACCACATGGCGCAGCAGACCTCTCCTGTCTCCCCAACTGCTCCCCTCAGCAGTGTATATCAGTAGATCTGCCTGTTCTGTTCCCTACTCTGTCTCTGGTGGATCCTCTCACACCCACGCACCTCTGGCCTGTATCCCAGTTCTTGTATGCATAAATAAATCTATTTTTTTTTAAAGATTTATTTATTTTTATAAAAGAGCTGGTATATAGGCCAGAGGCGTGGGAGGGTGAGAGGCTTCACCAGCGACAGAGTGGGGAACAGAACAGGCAGATGGACCGAAATACACTGCTGAGGGGAGTAGTGGGCGAGACAGGAGAGGTCTGCTGTACCATGTGGGAATCTCCCTGGCCGGCCGGGAATTGAACCTGCACTGCAGAGGCTGCGGACAGCCCACAGCGCTGCACTCAACCCACTGGTCCACCGGGAAGGCCCAAAATAAGTCTTTTTTAAAAAAAAAAAAAATTAAGCAGTGCAGTAAGTGTAATTTCCCTTTATCAGATGTGTTATGAAACTGTGTGGTGCATGTGCGTTATAGACAGAGGAGAAGCTGTGCAGCACACTGCTGCCAGTGTTCACAGAGTAGGCCCAGGAACTGTCTGTATCCTGTGTTTCTATATCATTTGAATTTTTTACAGTAAACTTATATTACTTTAATTATCAAATAAATTTAGAATGTTAGAAAGTCAGGAGGAAGTCCTGGCCTACAGCGGGGTGACGTCGGGCCGCTTGTGCTTTTGCCTCAGATCCCACGATGCTGACAGACATGATGAAAGGCAACGTGACCAATGTCCTCCCGATGATCCTGATTGGCGGGTGGATCAACATGACGTTTTCGGGCTTTGTCACAAGTAAGTCACCGCCCCAGAAGACAAGGTGTTCGCCTCATCCGTGTTCCTCTCCCACGTCCCTGGCCTGAGGAAGCCACGTGCTGTTGAGCCGCCGATGCCGCAGGGCCCTGTGTCCTCGGGTGGAAACCGACAACATCCTTGCAGCAAAACTGTCAATGTTGTGTGGTTTATGGCCCTTTCCCCAGACTGACTCTGAGTTCGTGATGTGGGTGCTTTTTTCCCCAGTCAGGACTCGAACAACTGACTTGCTGGTTTGATTCCAGAACTAATTTGGTGTTCGTTTGAGTAGATGGGTGGAGCCTGTGCTATTTCGACTTCACTTTGTCTATTAATCAGTTGTTTTGAGTTTATTCAAGCCACTGGGGTTTCTTAGCCGTGCGGTTCTGTGTGTGTACATTCCACTCGGGTTTAAGGGGTTCGTGCGGGTTCCTGTCAGCTTTTCTGTCACGGCGCAGTTCAAGCCCCTGCTTCGTGAGCAGTAAGGAGGCTGGCGCTCAGCCATGGCATGGTGACATTTGCCTGTTATTTCTTCAGAAATTGACACAGATTTCCTCTTGGAGATCATTTCCAAACTCTGTGCAGTTCAGAGCTCCCAGCGCCTCAGGCGCCGAGCACAAGCAGTCGCACGGAGTGTGCTGGGGTGACGGACGAGTGACAGGAGCTTTTTTTGTCTTCCTGCAGCCAAGGTCCCATTTCCCCTGACCCTCCGCTTCAAGCCCATGCTGCAGCAAGGAATCGAACTGCTCACATTAGATGCATCCTGGTAAGAACTTGCTTTTAATAAATAAAAGCACAAACCAATACTAAAACCCGTGTCTCTTAAGGAAGATTTGCAATTTCCATGCCTCACTGGACTAGGATTCTAGAGTTTTTTCCCCATCAGAATGCCACTCAGCGTGCCGTGGGTGGAGACGGCACAGCTTATGTGGGTCCCACAGAAAGAGAGGATGCGTCATCCTCTTCTCTGAGTTTTGGGACTGAGAGCACAAGGCAGATGTGTCCACTCCCTGAAGGTTAACAGATGAAGCCCAGATCTCAGGCCAGGCAGACTTTTAACAATATCCTGGAGTTTAAGGGAGTGGGTGTTTGTTATTTTTTCCACAATAGGTGCTGCTAATAACATTAACTCTGCATTGGCGCCAGTCACTGTGCTAGGTATTTTCCGCATATTTTATTTTATCCTCATTCCAACCAGTGAAGTGAGTGGAGGGATTGAGATTGGACTACAGAGTCGGCCACACCCAGCACTCGTGTCTTCTGTGTCACTGTTTATTCTAACAGTAATAAAACCTCAAATCCGAAAAGCCCTTAGAACACTGCTGTAGCATCTGGAACCCTGTAGTGCTACTTCCTCTCCAGATGGTTCTGTCTGTGGCTTCCCAGAGACTGGCATAACAGGTAGCGAGGCAAGAGCGGCCTGGGCAATCTTGACTCACCTCCCAGTACCTCTGGCTGCAGGGAGGGCAGGCCAGGCCCTGCGCAGGGAAAGTCTTGGTTTGCACAACTCCATAGAGAGGAAGTCTGTGCTTAATAGGAGTGGCTTGACCTTGGCCTTCCAGGACCACTGGGCGAAACAAAAGCTTCTTGGGCTGCAGAAAAGTTTGTTCTGCTCTTGTCAACATCCAGGCAGGTACATGACTGACCCGCGTGCTGGAAAAGGGAAAGCTGGAACCTGGATATACAGTTGGCTTTCTGTTGGCTGCAGATCAGCGACATTCCCTGAGCAGTGAGCGTTTACTTCCCTGCGGCCTGTGCAGTAGCCAGAGGAGACTCCTGCTGTTGAGGGCCACAGGGATTGGAAGGAAGTGCAGATTCTTCCCCTCCGTGTGCCGTTTATCATGCTTCTCTTAGCTTTTATTACATGCGTGTGTATTTAATGGAGGCACGTGGGACCTAAGCTAAGGGAAGCGTCATGGAGAAGTTCAGGACTTGGAGTGGCCTTCCCGGCAGCTGCAGTCTCAGCACTGTGATGTTTCCTAAAAGTCGCTCTAGCCCTTTTTAGAACGGACCCTGCCATCACTTGTGCCTTCCATGAGGGGATGGGGTCTGGTCAGGAGCCTCTTTCTGTTTTTATTAAGTATTCCTGTATTGTTTGCATTTATTATAGATAACAGGTATGTGTTGTCGTAATTAAAAATAATAAATGGTTTCAAGAGACATGGTGTAGAAAGGAACATAAACAAACCTCACAGTCCCTGATGGGTGAAGCACCCAGCTGTGAGCTCAGTCCTTGCTCCTAAAGGCGGAAGAGTCGCCCGCAGGGGGCTGTGACTGCCTGCACGACCTGCTTTCTGCTGCGGATCTGCCTGCATGAGTGGAACCCACCCAGCTGATGTCTCTCTGTATGCTGAACAACCTTGGGGTGGAAACTAAACTCCGTGAGTTTCTGAGGTAACGGCCTACATTGTTTCCCATTTACTTTGCAGGGTGAGTTCCGCATCCTGGTACTTCCTCAACGTCTTTGGGCTTCGGAGCATTTACTCCCTGATTCTGGGTCAGGATAATGGTAAGAGGCCCAGCAGGTCCCATAAGCAAACACTTTGATCGAAGTATCTCCCTTGCCAGCACCAGAAAAAGCAAATATGTCGTGCAGTTTTTAGGACTATCCTGTGCTTCATTCCTTAAATTCGTTGCTAAGTTTCTCAAAGATATTCTCAGAGTCTTCAGAATTTCAGTGTCGGAGTGAAGGTGGAATCCTCCCTGGCAGTCGTGGGACAGTGTTTAGTTCCCCAAGTTAGATGCCCTCGTTGAGGGGTCTGGCGCCAGCAGCCTGAGCCTGGAAGGAGGCCCAGGTCAGTGGACGACTTCACTGACGAGGGCTCCTGCCAGTCCTGGTCCTGGCTCTCCTTCCTAATGCCTGGGGCTTTGGTCTAGTCACTGAACTATCCCCATGTGCTGTTCGCTTGTCTGTAAAACAGGAACCTTCCTGGCTAACCTGTGGGGTGGTGGCTAGGGTGGGTGAGGCCGAGTGTGTAAAGTCCGCCAGTGACACACCTGGAAGAAAAGTGACTAGTGGTAATTACCTTTAATTTGAAGTGAAGGTTAGTGCTTCCTCTAGTTACCTTCTCCTGCTGCCATTGTGTCCCCTTTTCAGGAGAGGTAATAGCTGGTGCCTGGTGAATCTATGGTATGGTTGTTAACCTCCGCCCGAGCATCTCCAGGTGTTGTAAGAGGAGGGTGCCGGGTGCTCTCTGAGCACTGTTCTCACCCTTGTGTCTTCTGCTGCAGCCGCTGACCAGTCACGAATGATGCAGGAGCAGATGACAGGCGCCGCCATGGCCATGCCCGCGGACACCAACAAGGCCTTCAAGGTACACACTCCTCCCACCTTCAGTTACCTGAGTCTTTACAACTGGGCTCCCGGAAGGGAATGGAGTACGTTAGTTTATGCGTCTCTTGTTCCTAAGACAGAATCGTCTGTTACGTAAATTCAAGATTCTGAGGAATACACACACACACACACACACACACACACACACACGACTATTAGAGCTAACAAACTAGGTTTTAGGCTACAAGTCCAATATACAAAGATCAACTGTACATTGATAATAAAGTGTGAAATGATATTAAAAAATAATTCCATTTACAGTAGTAGCAAAAAGAATACTTAGAAATAAATTCAACAAGAAACGAAGACATGTTGAACATTACAGAACATTGCTGAGAGAAATTAAAGAAGCCCTACCCCTGTGGGAAGACCTCCATGTTCATGTCCAGAGGATTGGGGATTGTCGAGATGGCCATGTCCTCCAAATTAATCCTCCAGCGTGACCCCCACCGACAGTCCACCTAGCTGATCTTTTGCAGAAGTTAACAAGCTGATCTCGAAGTCCATCCAGAAATGCAGGCAATGCAGAGCAGCCCAAAAACTGCTGAATGTGAACTAAGTGGGAGGCTCACACTCTGATTGGAAAAACTACTTCGGGGCTGCAGTGATAAGGCCGTGTGGGCCCAGTGATTGGCGCGGTGGAGTAGAACTGGGAGCTCAGAAGTAAATTCCTGCTTCTAAGATCAAGTGACTTTTGACAAGATCATTCAAGGCGGGAAAGAGGCTTCCTGCTCACTCAGTTCAGAGTTTGCTGTTCCGGGGAATGAAGGATTTTAGAAATATTTTATAGTAGCAATGGCCACACAGTGTGGTGAGTGTTACCAGTGCCGCTGGGCCGTAGACTTAGAATGATTAAAAGTGGAAAGTTTTATGTATTTTTGCCACAATAGAAAAAAGCCTCTTTATAAATAATATTTTTAAATGGACCAAAGCCCTGAATATGAGCTAAAAGTATAAAATTCTTAGAAAAATACGTGGATGTACATATGAGCTTGCATTGGGCAATGTCTTCTTTTTTTTTTTTTTTTTTAAAGATTTACTTATTTATGCACACAAGAACTGGGGTACAGGCCAGCGGTGCGGGGGGTGAGAGGATTCACCAGAGCCAGAGCAGGGAACAGAACAGGTGGCTTGACTGAAACACACTGTTGAGGGGAGCAGCAGGCAAGACAGGAACGGTCTGCTGCACCATGTGGGTTGCTCCCCAGCAGGCTGTGGATCGAACTCGTGCTGTAGAGGCTGCGGACAGCTTCATAGTGCTATGCTTAACCCCTTGCGCCACCAGGGAGGCCCCAGGCAATGTCTTCTTAAATATGACAGTGACAGTACAGTTACCGAAAGGACAGATAGATGGGACTTTGTCAAGATGAAGACTTTCGTGCTTCAGAGGACACTGTCAGGAAAGTGAAGAAAATCCACAAAATGGGAGAAAATGTTTGCAAAGGGCCTGATACTCAGAACAAGAACTCTAAGAATTCAACAAGAACTAGAGAACCCTGTGAAAAATAAGCAAAGATTTTGAATAAACGTGTTTCTAGAGGAAGTAAATAAATCCCCAAGAAGGTCATGACAAGATGCTCAGCATCAGAGGCCACCAGGGAAATGCGAGTGGAAGCCGCATCCCCGTGGTTGTGTGATTCAGCCACGCTGGGAATGGTGTGGCCACTTTGGAAACAATTTTGGCCATTCCTCAAAAAGTTAAACATAATTACCGTATTACCCAGCAACTTCACCTTGAGGTAAATACTGAAGAATTGAAAATGTATTTCCACACACAAGCATCTATAAGAATGTTTGGCGCGCTATTCCTAGTAGTCTAAAAAGCAAAACAACCCACAGGCCCATCATCTGATGAGCATAAACAAAAGGGAATATTTGAGAATGTATTTCATGGAACATTACTGAGCCATAAAATCCTGAACCATGCTACAGCTCCAACAGGGAGAAAGCATTAAAACGTGGTGAGAAACCAGCCAAGGCCATACCTTATATCCAGAATGGTTGAATCCAAAGACAAAGCAGTAGTGGCTTCCCAGGCTTGGGAAAAGGGGGTGACACATCACACCCCTGGTGTGTCTTCAATTTGATACAGTTTCTTTTTGCAGTAAGGAAAGTGTTCTGGATTAGAAGGTGGTGATCGCTGCACAACTTTGTGAAAAAAACCACTAAATTGTAGGGCCTCCCTGGTGGCACAGCAGGTTGAGCACAGCACTGTGAAGCTGTCCGCAGCCTCTGCAGCGCAAGTTCGATTCCTGGCCGGCCAGGGAGGTACTCACATGGCGTGGCAGACCTCTCCTGTCTCGCCTGCTGCTCCCCTCAGCAGTGTATTTCAGTTCGTCTGCCTGTTCTGCCCCCACTCTGTCTCTGGTGAATCCTCTCACCCTCCTGCACCTCTGGCCTGTACCCCAGCTCTTGTATAAATAAATAAATCTTTTAAAAAAAAAAAAAACTCTAAATTGTGCACATTGAAAGGGTGAACTCTGTGGCATGTGAATTATTTAAAAAAGAACCCAGATCCATCAACCGATAAGTAGTTAGAGTGAGGTACATAATGAATATGTAGTACATGTTAAATTTCAAAACATTTTTAAAAACCCATTAATTAAAGGCAGAAGTTGTCAGCATTACCAGACTACCTGAGAAATGGGAATGGTGCAGCTACTTCGGAAACAGTTTTGGCCATTCCTCAAAAAGTTAAACATAATTACCGTATTACCCAGCAACTTCACCTTGAGGTAAATACTGAAGAATTGAAAATGTATTTCCACACACAAGCATCTAGGAGAATGTTGGGCGCACTATTCCTAGTAGTCTAAAAAGAAGAACAACCCACAGGCCCATCATCTGATGAGCATAAACAAAAGGGACCTCAGTGACCTCCAACAAATTATGTGATCTTTCTCAGCCTTCGTCTCCTTATCTGTAAATTGGGGGTGGAGCTGAATGGGGAGACAGTGGCACCGGCCTGCTGGGTGGAGGGACCTCACATACGCGCAGCGCCTCCCCAGTGCCTGGCCGGGGGCAGGCCAGTAACAGCCTGCTCTCCCTGCCCACCCTTCTCTTCCTTGCAGACAGAGTGGGAAGCTTTGGAGCTGACCGACCACCAGTGGGCACTGGATGATGTGGAAGAAGAGCTCATGGCAAAAGACCTCCACTTTGAGGGCATGTTCAAGAAGGAATTACAGACGTCTATTTTTTGAAGCGCCAGCGGGGATGAGCTGTGTCGGGAGCTCAGAGCAGCACTTGTAACTTGCGTGTGAGCCAGAGCCTCTGGGAATAAAAAGGAAGGTGTGAGAGCCAGGGGCCTGGGCGAGGATGCATCTGTCTGAGCCAGGTTCACCTTTCTTTGAGACTGGAGAAAATCTGAGGCATATATAGGGCGACTTAGAGGAAACAGCTATTTTTTACATTTTAAATTTTCCTTCGGTGACTCCAGTAATGAAAGTCAGAGAAAGGGGGAGACTCGAACTAGTGACTATAAAACTTAGCGACAGTGCAGCCTGCGGACAAGCGTTGTCAGTTACACCACTTCCCACGTGCAGTGAGCCTGACTTCTAATCACAGCAAATTCCTATTTTCCTGGGATCCAGACATCCCGCAATTTACCTTTAATTTTTGTGACATTTTTATAACTTTCTTTACACAAAAACACATTTTCACTACTGAAAATTTCAGAGCTATGGGTGAGGGGAGTGAAGCGTTTTGTGTGCTTTCTGAGCCTACAGAAGGACGTGTCAAAACCTTGCTCAGATAAACTTCAGAGTGAATACCCAGGGCCTGGACAAACTCTGCAAACCTTCTAGATCTCTTCCTACTGTCCAGTGGAAATCAGTGACCCTAAGACACTGCCAGATTCTCAAGTGCCTTTGGGATCATCAAAGACAGGTTCAACAATGCGCGGTCTCGATCTGGGGTCAGAATAGATCAGATGCAGTGAGGCATCAGTGGTGCTGCACCATACATGGTGGCCAGCTGAACAAAGACCTCGTTTCCCAGTTACTCTGGATAGAGGGGCGCTTACACATCTCTGAGAAGGCAGGGAGGGCAACTACTGGCAGATGCGTAGGCACGGGCTGCCCGGGAATCATTCTGTCTGGCTGTCCCCGGGAAGTGGCAGGGTGCCGTTTCTGTACCAAGGGGCGAGTATAATTTGCATGTTGAACACTGTAATCAAGAACAAATGACTCTTGACTCTATAAATTAAACCATCCTGTTTTCTCTTCTTGGCCTGTAAAAATGTTGCCTCTGGGTCACTAACCACTTTCTGCCCCAGTGCTGAGTGTCTGGTGACCAGTGCTAGAGACTCCAACATGAAAAAACGATCCTGAGGGATGGCCAGGAACGCACCAGAGGCACAAAAGGAAATTGGGGGTTTTTGCTTTTCTTAGGATCACAGAACCTCTGTGAGAATCTGCTAGAAGCTCTCACCCTGCTCTCCACAGGAAAGCACATGGGCACAGACAGATTTTCCGGGTGACATGGGGGATTGGTAAACCCTCCAGAGCCTTGTCACATTGAAAGGGTGACCCCTTCTGGAAAACAGCCTGGCATTTCCTCAAAAAGCTAAATATAAGCCTTCCATATGATCTGGCAGTTCCACTGCTAGGTAGGCAGATACCCAAGAAAAATTAGAACACATGACCACACAGAAACTTGTACACCCATGCACACAGCAGCATTATTCACAATAACCACAAAGTGGCACGACCCAGTGTCCCATCAGCAGATGAGTGGGCGACCAGGTGGCACACCCACACCATGGAATGTTACTCAGCGGCAGAAAATGGTGACGGGACTGACAGGTCCTGTAAAACAGCAACCCTGACGCGTTACACTTGATGAGAGAAGCCAGTCACTGAACACACACACAATCCTCTTGTTTATGAAATGTCCAAAATCAGCCAAATTCAGAGAGACAAGAGGCAAGTCAGTGGTGGTCAGGGCCGGCTGGAGCAGAGTGGGGGGTGACTGCTGATCTCAATGGGAACAAGATCTTTCCAGGCGGTGAAAATGTTGCGGCAGCTCCCCTGGGCCTCCACTAAGCCTCTCCTTTTAAAATGTAAAAAAACAAAAAATAAAGTTCTCAAACTGAATGTGGAACAGTTGCACCACAACTGAATAGCACACCTGCAATAACAGTCTTAGGTGCGTGCATTTAATCTTGTAAGCTGTCAGGGGAGAAAGATCCTAAGCCCTTGGCAGCTGAGACCCGCAGGATCATGGGGAGGAGGCTCTTGTAGGCACACAGGCTGCAGGTGGGGGCATGAGGGGGCACATGCGACTGCTACTGGGTGCAGAGGGGTCTCGCGACAGCCAGCATGTCCCTGAGCCTCCCAAGTGCCTTCATCCCGGCCCTGTCACACTTCCTCCCAACCCTGCTCTGGCCCCAGTTCCCTTCCCTTCCCCTGCTCGGCCCTGCCTCACTGGAGACGCCTGGGAAGATGAGCAGGGCTCAGAAACCTCCACCCTCCAGAGCCTCCAGAGCCAAAAAATATTTCTACAGTCAGCTCACAAAACGCACAGCCAGCCCTGTGAAACCTTCTCCTTTCTCCCTTTTCTTTGCAAATCTCTCTCAGTTTTTGATTATGGAAAATGTCAAACATACACAAGAGGGGAGAATACAGCACCGCACCATCCCCCGCCTCAGGAAACACCAACTTCCTGCCATTCTCCTTCCACGAATCTCCAAACCCACTTTTTCCCCTGGAATATTTTAAAGTAAATCCCAGAAACTATCCTTTCACACAAATCTTGCAGTAAGTATCTCTAGCACATGGGAATTTCTTAAAACCACATACCATCATCACCATCATCGCACCTAATTATCCTCCATCCCCAGTTGTCTTAAATGTCTTCTCTGGTGGTTTCCTCAAAGGCCACCTGCATGGCCTCTGACTACGGTCTTAGGTCTGTTGTAACATGGCTTCCTCCCCCTTGCGAGCCATTTACTGACAAAACCATGTGTTCTATGGCCTTCTGAGTGTTCTGTGTTCTTGATAGCACGCTTACCTGGCTGAGTGGGCTGAGTCTTCAGGTTGTTTCTCCTGCAAGGAAAGATAAAGGGGACTGTGTGAATGATGGGTGGAGAGAAACTAAGCAAATAAACAAAAAAAAAAGCAATATTCACCCCAGGAAAAACAATGTCTAGGAAAGGAGTTATAATCATACTCCTTGAGATGGTTTGAATAACTGTTTCGCGGTTCTAGCATAGTGAATGCCAAACAGTGACAAGCTGAAGCAGTACAGGACAACAGCAATGGAAGAGTTTCGTATTCCTCAGTCGCTGTCAGCACATGAAAATTTAAAACAAGAAGAAAACAACATTAACAGGGTACGTCTGATGTTTAGAAAATAGGTATAGGTGGGCCTCCCCTGGTGGCGCTGGCGGTAGAGCACCACCCTGTGAAACTGTCTGCAGCCTCTGCAGCGCCAGTTCAATCCCAGCCAGCTGGCGAGGGTCCCACATGGCACAGCAGACCTGTCCTGTCTCGCCCGCTGCTCCCCTTGGCAGTGTATTTCGTCAGTCTGCCTGTTCTGTTCCCCACTCTGTCTCTAGTGAATCCTCTCACCCTCCCGTGCATCTGGCCTGTACCCCGGTTCTTGTATAAATAAATAAATAAATCTTGAAAAAAGAAAAAAGAAACTCATTAAAGAAAATAGGTGTAGGTCCTCCCGGGTGGCACAAGGGGTTAAGACGCAACCTATGAAGCTATCTGTAGCCTCTGCAGCACAAGTTCTATCCCCAGCCAGGGAGCTACCCACATGGCGCAGCAGACCTCTCCTGTCACGCCCACTGCTCCCCTCAGCAGTGTATTCCAGTCAGTCTGCCTGTTCTGCTCCCGCTCTGTCTCTGGTGAATCCTTTCACCCCAGCACCTCTGGCTTGTCCCCCAGTTCTTGTATGCATAAATAAATAAATCTTTAACAAAAAAAAGAAAGAAAATAGGTGTAAATGCTGGAAAAGATAATCAGAACACCCAGAGAGAGTTGGATGGAAATGGAAGTGAGAACATACAAGGAGGGAAATGGTTTTTTTAAATGTGTACCAAACGATCAGACTTATTCACAAAAAAAATCTTAAAGAAACAGGTTCATCTAGCTAGTATCATGAAATGAGTTAAGACTCCAGGAACCGGGCCTCCCCTGGTGGCGCAGCGGTTGAGCGCTGGGCTGCGAAGCTGCCCGCAGCCTCTGCAGCACTGGTTTGATCCCCGGCCACCGGCGAGGGTCCCACATGGCGCGCAGACCTCTCCTGCCGCCCGCTGCTCCCCTCAGCAGTGTACTTCGTCAGTCTGCCTGTTCTATTCCCCGCTCTGTCTCTGGTGAATTCTCTCACCCTCCCCGGCTTCTGATTGTACCCAGTGCTTGTATAAATAAATAAATCTTAAAAAAAAAAAAAAAAAAAAAGACTCCAGGAACCTGCGACTTAATGGGGCCGGGGTGAGAGGCCAAGCTGCACCCAGAGTCCAGGCCAGCAGGCACCGCACAGAGAAGGCCGACCAGGCTGTACCATCTCCCACCTCTTTGGCCTTTTCTTTGTCCATGTCTGCCAGAGCCACCAAGTGCAAAAATGCCAGCCAAGTGCTGGGCGTTGCCTAAACAGGGCGTCATGACTGCCAACCACATCACCTTTGCCGTTTCCCTGTCTCCCTCGGCAGCTTCCAAGGCACTTCCAGGTGGGAGCTCCCAGCCCCTCCCAGCCCCTCCCAGCCTGTCATCTAGTAAGGCACTGACTGTAAAGTCAGACTTGTGTGGGGGCCTGTGATTTGCTGTGTGATCTTGAGCAAGTTACTTAACCTCTCTGAGCTTCAGTTTGTCAGCTGTACGATGGAGAGCATAGTAATGGGGTTGCTGCCAGAACTTGAAAAAACAAAGCACGTCAGTTGTATAGCAAAGCTCCTGACAGACTTAGTATGTAAGAAGCAGCCACTGACCAACCCCTATAAAGTTGAAATTTTATCCCATGCATCTCTGCCATCCCAGAGTCTTCAGGATGATGCTGGGGGCTCCTTTTGGAGCCAGGATACCCCCACACACACTTGTACCTGTCCCCCTCCACTTAGAGTCACCTCCACCCTCAGTCAGTCTCCTCTTTCCACAGGATCTGCTTTCATCTTGGCCTCTGGCCAAAGGGATCATAATCTCTCTTCCTTTGTCTGGAATCTCAGAACCCCAACCCATGTGCAGTTTGGAAACAAGAGGATTGGGACACCTGGCTCCAAAGGGGCAGCCTGGGAGCAGCTGGATAATTCTGCAGGGACTGGGGGGTGGGAACTGTCAAGTCAATGAGACTTTGCAGGGACACAAATGGGGACTCTTGGCCACTTGTCCTTGGGGAAAAGAGAGGAAGGGAACCAGGCCAGCTCTGAGCCTGCTGAGAATCGCAACACCTCCAGAGGAGGTTCACCAGAGTTCCCAGGAGGCAATGAGAGGACAGGTCTGGAGGCTTCAGCTTCTGTAGTGTGCCCCTGGAACTGCCCTCGACCAAGACTGCCCATGGGTGGGTGGGGACAGGAAGAGAAATGATCTTGGACAATGCCCCCCAAAAGCAAATTATCTATTACATATAGATCCAGATAACTTCCCACAAGATTAGAACTGGCTAGATCAAACAGGATTAAAAAAACAACAAAAAACTATAGACCCTTACACGAGGGCCAGAAGCCAACAGCACAAAAAGAGAGGGGGAAGACCCAGTGGATCAATACTGGGCAACAAAGTAATGTGGTTCCAGAAACAATTCATTGTGAGGCCATGTTAATGGAGGAGTAGAATCCAGGAAAAGGGAGGTGAAAGTTCGGCTTTATTCCTAACTGTTCAGTTCCAAGGGGCATTCTGCAAGGGAGACCGTGTTGACTTGGTAACACACAGCAGATGTGTCACAATCTGTCACTCAAGGAAAGGCTGAAAGAACTGAGTGTTTGACCTGAAGGGAGAAGATTCTAGAGAAACGAGAGATTTTTTACAGTTCTGTAGGGGTGCCCACAAAGGAAACAGTATAGCTGGTTAAATGGTGGGATGAAACCGGAAAAACCTAAAACCTCCCCCAAAGTCAGAAAAGCTTGGATGCAGGCACCGCCACTTACCAGCTGCTAGGCGCTGAATGCTGTTCACACTCAACATGTCAGACACAAGTGATGGCCAAGTTCTGCTTTCCTTGAGAACCCTGGGAGGGAGGTTTCTGTTCAAGTCTAGGAAAAATTTTCTTTCTTTTTAAAATAATTTTTACCTTTCCTATCTCTGATCACAAAATAAACATGCAATGGTATAGAATACTGGTCAACAGAAGAGCGAAGTCAAACAAAAATCATATCAACCACTACTTACCTCCTGATTTTTAGTGACAGGAGAGATAGGAAGATAGCTAGGTAGACAGATATTTACAAAAATGGGACCATACAAGAAATTGAGAGAACAGAGCATCTGCATGGAAAGATGTACACATCAGTGTATAAGAATGCTTATCGCAGTATTGTTTCTAGAAGGGAAAAAAAAAGGCTATAAAAACCCAGACCCATCAGTAGGGGAATATTTCTAAAGTTAAGTAAATGACAGTGCACAAAGCACTGGGCAGCTCGTTTAAAGAAAAGGGTGGAGGCCTCCCGGGTGGCGCAGGGGTTAAGTCTCAGCACTATGAAGCTATCCCCAGCCCCAGCCGGGGAGCTGACCCAGATGGCACCAGCCGACCTCTGCTGTCTCCCGCTGCTCCCCTCAGCAGTGTATTTTTTTTTTTTTAAAGATTTATTTTGTTTTATTTATTTATTTATTTATTTATTTATGCAAGCACTGGGTACAGTCAGAAGCGCGGGAGCGTGAGAGAATTCACCAGAGCCAGAGCGGGGAGCAGAGCAGGCAGAAGGACCGAAGTACACTGCTGAGGGGAGCAGCGGGCGGCAGGAGAGGTTCAGCAGTGTATTTTGATCGGTCTGCCTGTTCTGTTCCCCACTCTGTCTCTGGTGAATCCTCTCACCCCCCACACCCCTGGCCTGTACCCCAGTTCTTGTATGCATAAATAAATTTTAAAAATGCTTCCTACACATTGCTTAAGGCAACACAAAGTGGCAGATCAGCATGCACTGTATGAGCCCAAAAAGAAATGAAGGCACATATTTACTTGTATACGCAAAGGAGGGAGCGTGATATTGACAGTGGGCACATCTAGGGGGCAGAGTTGGAGAGGCCACGGGTAAGACAGTGTGTTCTTTGAACATTTCTGTTACTTGAATTGGGACAAATAGCATCTATGAGCTTTAGCATTCAAAAGACTGAAACTTTAGTAAACAACCATCTACCCTGGGAGTTTCTCCAGTCACTAGGAACTCTACAGCATTTTTAAGGACCACCTCTATTCTTTGTGCGAATTTCTCTTAATGTATTCAACCTAACAGTGGACACTGAGGATGTCACGAGTGTCCAAGGTGGGACCGTGACATTTTGGCAGTGTCTCTGCAGACCCAGCCATCTAAGCATGCCCTGGAGGGAGTGACGGACAGACAGGCAGTGCCAGCGCTGGGAGGCGTCTGCAGAACAGTCCCTGCTGGCAAGAGGGTAGAAACCACCCTATGCCCAACCTCAGGACCTGGGTAAATAAGAATCACAAGCTGACCACATGCCGCCATTCTCAACAGTGCAAGCCAGAAACGAGACGGGTCTGTCGCTTTGCACATGGAAGAAGTGGAGGCTGACATATCTGGCAAAGTGAACGGGCCAGGCGAGTCAGGAACAATGTGCACAGCATGATCTCATTTCTATTTAAAATGTGTGACTGTGCATCAGAGCAGATCTTAAGGATAGACGTCAAACTGTAGGTAGGAGTGACCTATAGGGAGGCAGGGGGAGGGACGGATGGAGGAATCCCTAAAAGGAAGTAGGTGTAGAGGTATCAGGGAGTGAGCTCCCCGTCTCACACGGTGTGCAAACAGAATGCCCCCCTATTCCGGGCTGCTGCGGCGGGGGCTCCACCCCGCTCGGGGGTCACCCCGGCCCGCCCCTCCCGGGCCCGAGGACCTCTGAGGCGGGAGGTCGGGACCGGGCCCTGGGGAAAGGGTTAAGCGGCGCCGGGCGCTGCTGTGGGCGGGCTCGGCGATCGGCAGCGCCGGGCTCGGTTGGCCGAGCCTGAGCATCTCGGAGGATGCGGCGCGGCAGCGGCTGCAGGACGCGCGCAAGGTGAACGCGGGGCTGCGGCGCGTGCCCAGGTGAGGAGCAGGCCCGAGGGGCGACGGCGGGCCGGGCCGGGCGGGGCGCGTGGCCCGCAGCCCCCAGCCCGGGCGCGCGCGGCGGGGCCTGCACCGGCGCCCACCCCGCCGGGCCGCTGCGGGAAGGCGCGGAGCCAGGGAGAGCTGGAGGGAGCGAGGTAACCCGAGAGGGACCCGCTCTGGAGGCTGCCCTGCCCCCAGGCCGCCGCTCCCGAGCTCCTGCGGCAGGCGGCTGTCTCCCCCACACCCCAATAACAACCTCCGGCATCGGGAACCCGGGGCTGGGCAGCTCCCTCCTGGCCCGCAGATGCCCGCAGATGCCCGCAGCTCGTGGCCGGGGGTGGCGAGCAGATGGCAGGCTTGTCATCCCGGGCCCCACTCAGCCGCCTCCTCTGCAAAGCTGTGTGGACCCCTCAGCAAGATGGGCTGCTCTGGGTTTCTTAACCCTCGTGCGGCCATTGCCTGCTGTGTGACCTTGGGCCAGTTGCTCAGCCTCTCTGAACCCAGGTTTCCTGGCCGCGAGATGAGCGCACCCGCACCTGCTTGTCCTGGGAGGGCTGGATGGGATCGGCGCATGCAGCTAAGCTTAGCACAGGAGCCTGCCTGCCTGGGTCAGAGCTGAGCACAGGAGCACCCTGGAATCACAGTACCTGCTGGGCCTCCAGTCCCCCTCCCCAGCCCATCCCCACGGCCAGCTCTGGATCTCAGACCTTTCTTTGCACCCCAGCACCTCGCCTGGGCCAGGAGCACAGCCGGGGTCTCCCTGAGTAACAGACAGGAACAAACAAGGCTTCCAGGCAGAGTCTAAACCCAGCCTTGGCCCATGGGCTTAAAGAGCCCCCTGAAATTGTCCGCAACCTCCGGCGGGCAGGAGCATTCCCGGGGAGAGCGCCGGAGCTTTCACCGGGGGTTAGCCGCTGAGGAGCTCTGGGAAACGAGCAGGACCCCTGCCCTGAAACCCAGCCTCGGCTGCCGGCTGCCCGCAGCCCCTGTCCAGTCTCCCTTCCTGCCTCCCTGGCTCAGCTCGGGACCCTCAAGAACAGGGACTTTCAGGGACTGTCCCCCTAGGGCCACTGTCCCCCTAGGGCTGGAGATATAAGGGACGCAGAGGCCCGGAGGAGCCCCAGGCCCCTGGGGGAGAGGACTGCTCCGTGTGACAGGGTGACCGCCGGGGGCAGGGGCGGAGACTTCCTGGAGGAGGAAGGTCTAAGCTGAAACCTTCACATCGTCCCTGGATCCCCACACTGGCCTCTCGTCCTTGGCCCCCGGGGACCTCGCCCCACCCTCCTGACCCCGGCTCCCTCTGCCGCTTGGTCGTCATCTGTGTGGCTCCGGCCACGCTGGCCGCCTTATTTCGCGAACACACCGAGCCCCTTCCTGCTTCGGGGCCTTCGCCCTTTCTCTTCTCAAATGTTCTCCACCGCGAGGGCTCCTGGCACCCCTGTGTAAAGTGGCCCCCGTCCCTCTGTCTCATACCCCTGTTTTACTTTGTCCAGAGCTCAGCTTCTTGAAAAGTCTCCACTGCCCGCCTCTTCCCTAGAAGGTCGGCTCCGCGAGGGACGCAGTCTCGCCAGGCTCGCTCACTGCCCGTCCCCGGGGCCGCGCTTAGCATGTGCTCACGTCCTGTGTTGGACTCACTAGGGGCTGGTGGGAAAGACAGACTCCGGACTCCGGGGACGCCCCCCGGGCGCGAGTGCCCATGAAGCTGCTGCTCTGAGCTGGCCTAGAATGCGTTTCCTGTAAGTTCCCCGGGGCCCACCGAGGTAGGCGCGGTGTCCCCACCTCGGCGCCGGGATAACCGGGATAACCGCGGGGCGGCGTTCGTTAGCCAGGCTGGCCCAGGAAGGGGCGCCTGGGATGCAAGCACTAGCCGCTCCCCAAGGACAGCCGCGTGCTCCCCTCCCCCTCCCCTCTCTGATATTTGATCTGTGCCTTCAGGAACGGGATTTCAGCCAGTCACGAGAAGGGGGAGGGCAGTCCAGGCTGAGGGGGCTGCCGGAGCAGAAATAGGGGGCATCGGACAGCCCAGGGCTGAAGGATAGGGGAGCAGCCAGGTAGGGCCTTGGGAGACCAGGGAAGGAGCTTAGTCTCCCCAGGTCGATGGGGAGCCACCCACGGTTTCTGGTTTCGCAGCAGGGCGAGCAGCATGACTGGAGCGGTTTCCAGAGGTCACTCTGGGGAGTGAGGAGATGGAAGGCATGGGAGTGTGGAGAAGCTGCTGCCTTGGATCCTTCTCTTTCTCTCCCACCAGCCCCCCTGGGGCAGCACAGGCGCCCCCAACCCTCACATGTCATCTCCCCTCTTTTGTAGACTCATCTAGTGAGGAGTGAAAGTTGAGGGCTCCGGGCCCGGGCTTCAGAGAGGACCATGGCCCCCTGCCCACGGGCACACACGTGTGGCCTCCTGCTGCTGCTGCTGCCATCACTGGGGGCCGGCCCTGCCCTGGCCCGGCTCCCCAGGCGCCTTGAGGACTCGGAACCACACCTGATCCCAGGAGCCCACCCCCAAAGTGCTCCTGGCACTGAGGCCCAAGCCTTGGACTTCCTCTGGGAGAAGCCCAGAGATGGGAGCCCCTGGCACTCAGATGGCCCCCAGGTCTCTGCTGAAGGGGTGCCTGAGAGGCCCGCAGATGCTCCCCTGGGCCCAGCCCTGCATGGACCTAAAGCTGCGCATGGGGCTCAGAGAGAAGGACTCCCAGGGACCGATGACCTCCAGATGGCCCGAGGGCCGAGTTCTCAGGGCTGGACAGGACCTCCTGATTCACAGGAGCCTTTGGAACAGGAAGCACCAGCCCCTCACCCAGTGGGGGCCCCCCACCTCACTTTCATTCCAACTCCCCAACTCCAGCTCCAGGGGGCCACGGTTCCTCCCTCCCCACAGGGGTCCGCAGGCCAAGCGGGCCAGCAGCCACCTACAGAGGAGGAGCCACTGGCTGAGGCTGAGGCTGGGGTCCTGGAGACATCGCTCTTAGGCCGCCAGGGCCCAACCCACACTGGTGTGCCACCCCCAGGCGCTTCCCGGAGGCCTGAGCCGGACGCTGGGGGTGTCGGCGAGGAGTTCTTCCAGGAGGCCGCCCAAGGTCCGGTCTTCACCTGGCAGGACCCGGCAGCCCCTGGTGTTCGCGCGGTACCCCCGGTTGAGGCGGAGTCCTCTCAGGCGCCTGAGGCCCAGCCAGACCCGACAGTGACCAGAAGCCTTCCCCCCGCTGACGAGCTGCCAGCAGAGTCTCCCGAGAAGGCTGGAGCTGGGGAGACCCGGGAAGACGGTTTTCCACGCCCCTCGCCCACGCAGGTTGACCTCCCTGAGGTCAAGGGCTCGCCGGGACCCCAGGCGACAGGTCCCCCCGCCTCAGAGACTCCTGACGGGCAGCCTCAGCCTGGTAGGTGTCACGGGGAGATGCCGCGCAGGCTGGCAGGGCCGCGTTCCCGGGCGGCCAGATGCCCCAGTTTCCGTGTGACCTCTGCTCCCTCTGGGTCCCATTTTCCTCATTCTCACAAATGAGGGTGATTGTGCCCCCCCCCCCCGGGATTAGACTTTGGAGACAGCTGGAGGGTCAGGCAAGGCAGTGACAACTTTTGTCATTTCAGAGATAGCGGCAATAAATGGAGCAGACCCCGTGTCCCCCCAGCGGGTGAGAGGGGCAGTGGAGAACCCAGGTACCCCCAAGTCCCTCATCCCTGACCTGTTGGACTTTCGCCCAGCGACAAACCGAACAGAGAGCCCTGTGGGGGCCCTGCAGCCAGGTGAGGGCCATGGCGGGGGTTTGGGGAGACGGGATATTGTAACAACCGCGTGAGACGCCTATGGGGAGAGTGGAGACACCCCCCCCCAACAATTGACCAGGACCGCCTTTAAACAAAATAGGCTGATAAGTAAATACTCACCAGTGCGTAACGTGGGTGTATTAGGGCAGCGATGGCCCAGCTTGCACCATCACTAGAGGGGCTTTTCAGAAGCTCCAGTGCCAGGCCCCACCCCCAAGAAATCCTGCTTCACTTGGTCTCCAGGTGACTCAAATAGGCAGCCCGGCTTGGAATTGCTGATGTTTCCTTAATCAGAGAGAGAGCGCACATCATTTAGCACTTACTCGATGAACTTTTCATCCTCACAAGCCAAGGAGGTACCTGCTGCCACCACCCTCACTTGACAGATGTGCCCGGAAGACTTGAATAACTTGCCCCCCAAGTCAGAGCACAGAGGCAAATCAAAAGCGCTTTCCCAAGGGATGTTCTAACACTGTTATTATTGCAGATGAAGCTGAGGAGTGGCCTGGTCGCCCCCAAAGCCATCCCCCAGCACCTCCAGTCCAGGCCCCCTCAACGTCCCGCCGGGGCCTCATTCGGGTCACCACGCAGCGCGCCCTGGGCCAGCCGCCCCCTCCGGAGCCCTCAGCCAGCTCCATGGTTTCAGTGGCAGCCTCCAGCCCCCCAGCCAACGCCACGGCGCCGCCCCTGCGCTGGGGCCCCCTGCGGAGGGTGCTGAGCTTTTCCTGGGAGCTGCACGTCTACGGGGTGGGGGTGCTCTTCCTGCTGCCCGCCTTGCTGGCCCTGGCCACCCTGGCTGCCGCCCCACGGGCCCCCGGCTGGTCCTGGCGGCCGCGCTGCTGGTCCTCCTGGCGTCCGTGCTGCGTTCGGCCTACATGCTCGCCGACCCCTACGGCTCGCAGGCGAGGCTGGGCCTCCGCGCCGGCCTGGTGCTCTACAACCTGCCCTTCCCCCTGCTGCTCACCGCGCTGGGCGCCCTGACCCTGCTTGGCCTGGGCGCGGGGCTGCCCCCGCCACTGCAGAACCCGCTCCTGCTGGGGGTGCTGGCGTCGGCGCACGGCGCGGGGCTGCTGGCCACTGACCTGCTGTCCCGGAGGCCTGCGCTCAATCTCCTGGCCCAGGGCGTGTCCTGCGCCTGGGGCGCGGCCGTGGCTCTGGGCACGCTCTGCCTGTGCCGGCGCCGCCTGCTGGACGGGCCGCGGGGCTGGGGGGCCAGCCCGGGCCCGAGGCTGCTGGCCGTGGCCGGCGCGCTGGGGCTGCTGGCCAGCGGCCTGCAGCTGGCCGCCGCGCTCTGGCTGTACCCGGGCCCGGGCCGCGTGGGCCGCTTCTCGTGGGCCTGGTGGGGCGTGCACTTCTGGCTGCGCCTGCTGGAGCTCACCTGGGCGCTGGCCCTGGCGCTGGCCGGCGTGGCCGCCGCGAGGCCCCGGCCGCCCACGGAGCACGCCTGCTGGGCTAAGCTGCTGCGCCTGGCGTGCCCCGCGCCCGCGGGCAAGAGCGAGGTGCCGGAGCGCCCCAACAACTGCTTCGCGGGGCCGAGCGGCGGCATGGGCGCGGGCAGCCTGGACATCAGCAAGAGCCTCATCCGCAACCCCGCGGAGGGGGCGCCGCCGGCCGCGCCGGCCGGGCGCCTGGGGCTCGGCGGCGTCGCTGGGGCGCGGCCCGGGGCCGTCGCGCGGCAGCGAGGGGCCGGCGCCGGGCGAGAGCGAGCTGGACCTGCGGCCGCCGTCGCCCATCAACCTGAGCCGCAGCATCGACGCCGCGCTCTTCCGCGAGCACCTGGTGCGCGACAGCGTGTTCCGGCGCTGCGGCCTGGCCTCCTCGCCGCCGGGGGCGCGCTGCGGCCGCGGCGGGGCAGCCACCCCGACGCCGAGCTGGACGGCGCGGGCCCCGCGCGGCTCCGCGGGCGCTGCCGGTCGCTGAGCGACGTGCGCGGGCGCGGGCCGGTGCCGCCGCGCCCGGAGGAGCCCCGCGCGGCGGCCTCGGGCAGCTCCCTGGACAGCTTCTCGCGGGGCTCCCTCAAGATCAGCTGGAACCCCTGGCGCCACGGGCTGTCGTCGGGGGACAGCCTGCCCCTGGACGAGCCGCCCAGCACCGTGCAGCTCCTGCCCGCGCCCGCCGCGCCCCGGCCCGCCGCGCCCCCGCGCGAAGGCGTCCAGCCGCCCGGCCGGCCCGGGGACTCGCGCAGCGCCTCCAGCGACACCATCGAGCTCTGAGGGCGCGGCCGCGGGACTCGAGCCCTTGCAAAACTGTTTCTCCCGGGCCCCGCCCGGCTGCCGCGCGAGCCCCCCGCCCTTTGTTTTTTTAAATATCTCTATTTTTTCCAGCGGGTATTTTGCACAGAGGCCGTGACTTCGTGGAATACAGGGTGGGCACGCACGGACTGGGTACGGGGAAGGGGGCTCGGGTGGCCCAGACCCCCTCATCCCTTCCAGGCTGCCCCGTGTGGAGAGATGAGGCTCCCTTGTCCAGACTGTCCTCTTTGTGCCAAAGAAATAAACCCTTCGGACACGACGTGCCTGCCTCCGCCACCCCAGGGCGCTGCCAGGACGGACGCGCAGCCCCAGCAGCCAGCTGCAAGTCGGCGCCTGCGGGGGGAGGGGAGGGCTGCCAGCCACAGCCGCTTCCCAAGGAAGTGCTGGGGCGTTTTACTCCACACCTGCCGCTCCAGCTCTCACGCCTGTCACCTCACTCTCCCGTTGCACCTGAGAGGAAAAGCGTTCTGCCCGGTTTTTTAGAAAAGTGAAATTTCCCCCAGGGTCCTTTGGCAAAACGATAGCTGGAACAGAACCCACGGAGTTCTGCACAGCTCCTCCATCCCCCTCTAGCACCTCAGAGCCACACATCCCGTGTCCTTCGTCCACTTCTCCACAGGACAGCTCTCCATCCCCCAGGTTTTTTAAAAGAGTCCCAGAGGTGGAAATGTTTCCCAGTAGCTTAGGTGGGCGCAGGGGCCAGGTAGTTAACACTGACGCAGCTCCACTTTACAAGACCTTTATTTCCTGAGATGAATAAATAAGTTAGTGGCTGAGGGGCACGGGGTGAGCACAGCACGGGAGCTGGCGGCATGCAGCTGGCAGAGGGGGCTGTGATGGACCCACCCCTGCAGGGACCCCCCCTCGTCCTGGGCAGGGGTCAAAGCATCCATCGCGAGGAGACCTATCTTTTGGAAAATTCACACACTGACACCTGCCCAGTCCCCTCAGGCCAAGATCTCATGGCATCCACCTTTAAAAAGGCTTCTTTTTCACCAGAGGGGCCTCACCTCACCTGCCCAGGTCTGGGTGCCTGGTCTGCTCCCTAAAGTGGGTAGAGGGTGCTTACCCCTCTCGAAAACAAAGCCAGCTGCCCCGTGTGTCCAGGCAGGAGCGAGGCCTGACTCGTGGGCAGCCGCGGCAGGAGAGGCTGCGGGCACGGCGGGGATTATCTGCCCTTGATGAAGCCCTCCAGCACACGGTCACTGCGCTCGGACAACCAGTAGCCCGTCATGGCCGCCACAGCCCCAATGAAGATGGCGGTGAAGACCAAGTCGCCCTTGGCGGCCAGCGTGGCCAGGGCACAGATGACGACGCCGAAGAACATCTGCTGCAGCACCACCAGCTCGTCCTCCGTCATCTCCGAGAAGAAGCCCGCCGGCTCTGAGGGCGCGAGGGGCTCGGTCACTCGCTCACTCCGCCCGCGCCCATGGGCGTGCAGGGCTCCCCAGGCCACCCATGCCTGGCCAGCACGCTGGCCACACCCTCATTCACTGGGAGGGCCGCAGTCACCCCTCCTCACCAAATGGGAAACAGAGGCGCATACAGGGAAGGGGATTTGCTCAGCACCCCACGGTGGGCGAGTCAGGGCAGGCACATATCACATGTCCCAGCCCGGCTCAGAGCCAGGTGCCCAGATTCGACTCCTGGCTCTGCACTCGCTGCCACGTGGCGCTGGGCAAGCAGCTTCTCTCTGCATCTGGGCAATCGTGACATAGTAGTGTGCGAACACGCAGGGCATCTGATTGTCTTAAGGGTGAAATAATGTGCAACATGATCAGGGCTGTGTGTGACCCGGTGAGGGCTGTGGGAAAAGTGACTGTCCCCGTCGTTATGGGCTCAGGGGGCCAGGATGGGGACTGGTGCCACCAGACAGGAGGGCACACGGACTTGGTGAGACAGCCTATTTGATGCCAAGTCCAGGTTCTTTGTCCAGGGAGAGCGAGACCACCAAGGGCTAGCCTGGAGAGCAGATGCAGGGTTCAGGTCTCACATGGACTCCTGGGGGTTGGATGTGGGGGAGGGCCGAGGGAGGGCCAACAGCTGCCTGGAGAAGGGGCTCCCCTCCCCAGTTCTGGGGGCCAGGTGGGGCTCACCTGGGATCTGCTCCTTGACGCAGATGCCCTCAATCTGCTTGTAGCCCTCGGCACAGACGCAGCGGTAACTGCCCTCCGTGTTCTCGCACTGCTCGTTGTCCCCAGGACACACCTCTGTGGCACATTCATCCACATCTGGAGGGGGAGCAAGGCAGGGTCACAGATGCCAGGGCCGGTGCAGCACCCGTGACCCTCTCGCTCACATGCTGACAGCCCCCCATCCTTGCCCAGGTGCCCTGCCACCTTCCCTTCCCCTTCCACCTGCCCTGACCTGTGCCAGCCCCTCCCAGTTCTGGAGGTGCCCATGCCTCAGCAGCCAGGGACTCACCGAGACACTTGGAGCCCACCTGCTGGTAGCCGGGGCTGCACCTCTTACAGCGGCCCGGGCCAGCCCCCATGCAGCCCAGGCAGGCCTTGGCACAGTCTGGAAAGGGAGGGAGAGAAGGGTGAGTGCTGGCTTGGGCCAGGACAGCTGTGCTCCAGAAGGGGGAGGGAGGAGGTTCTGGCGCCTGAGAGGGGCAGTCTTGGGGGGACAGGCATGGAACCTCCTCCTACCCTCCCACCCAGCCCTGCCCAGGAGTGGACACGCACCACGGCACTCATACGCGCCCTCCGTGTTCACACAGAACTGGTCGGCTCCACATTCGGCTCTCTCAGTGCCACACTCGTCGATGTCTGCGGAGACCAATAGGGTGGGAACTTCAACCCCAAGTTCACTAGCAGAGTCGCTGAAGCGTGGGGGTGATGGACTGGCCTGGGCGCCAGCAGTGTGGCCCAGACTGCAGGCCGCCCACCGGCACCGAGGCAGAGGTGCGGCAGCCCTCAGCCGCCCGCCCCGCCCCTCAGCGGGCCCCGGGTGGCGTCCTGGCCGGCAGGGTGTGAGCAGGAGTGGCGTGCTCCGCTGTGAGCTGCACCTTAAGACAACTTGAACTGGGAGACCTGCGTGCACTTCCTCCGTTTCTCACTTCCTTAGCACTGGGTATGAGCAGAAGGCGTCGGTGCCCCAGCCTCAACCACGAGGACAAACCAAGGGGGGGACTGCACGGTCAGCCCCGGGACTCCGTGATCTTGAATGCCAGGGGCAGGACTTCCTTGCCAGCCTGGTCTGCTTGCTTCCAGGCTGATCTGAGGTAAAAATACGCCTCTCTATTCTTGCAGCCACGGCCGTCGAGGAATCTTTTTGTAACGTCATCTAGAGAAGTGGCAGGGCAGGGACCAAACCAAGTTTCAAACCCAGGTTTCCTGACCCCAAGTTCAGTGTCCTCATTCTCCTGGCCAAAGCTTCCTCGACTGTCAAGACTTCGCCTAAGTGATACCGCCTCCAAGAAGCCTTTCCTGATTGCTCACCAGCTCTGAGCCGGACCAGGCACCTCACTGTACATAGACCAGTCTGTACCGCAAGCGCCCGGTTCCTTCTCCACCTTCGCCGCCAGCTGGAGTCGCCAAGAAGACGGAGACTGACGTTCTCACCGAGGAGATGCGTGCTGAGGGGATGCGGAAGCCAGCCCGGACCCCTTGCCCGCCCCCCAGGCCCAGGGCAGGGCCCCACTCACCCACACACTTGAGGTGATGCAGCGCCCAGCCCTTCTTGCACTGTAAACAGTTGGACTCCTCGGGTCCCGAGCAGCGGGCGCAGGGACCAAAGCAGGCTGGCAGAAGGCGGGAAGCATGAGGATGGGCAGGCAGGCACCCCGCCTGGCCCTGCCCCACGCCGCACCTTCCGGCTACCTACCCGAACATACCAGATGGCTGGCGTTGCGCTCTGCCTCGAAGTAGCCGAGGCCGCACTGGCCACAGGCCTCACCCCCGTAGCCGGCTTGGCAGTCACAGCGCCCACTGCCCCCTCGAGTCCCTTCCCCTTCACACCGCCCGTAGCCACCACAAGGCTTCTCTGCGCCCCCTGGGCAGGCTGTGGGCAGACACCAAACCAGGGAGGGAGAGAGAAACAGTCTTGGATACGCAGAGTATTTTCCCCAGGTCACTGGCCATTTTAGGGGAGGAAACTTTAATTTCACGGCAACGCAAATATTTTGTCATAAAATTATATTTATTTAACCGAGACCCTATTCTGCAACATTTAGACTGTGCAACGATTAGATTAACTACCGATCTTTTCTAAAGGCTGAAGGAACCATTTTTGTTGCTGACTCTATGTGCAGCATCCAGAGAGATTTTTCTAAAAGGGGCTGAAGTTCAGCTGCTGCTGGAAAGGGGGCAACCACGGGGGTTTTGGAGCAGCACCAGCCCCTCCATAGGGAGGTGGCTTAACAGCGGGGGACACAGCCAGCACTGTGGGCTGGAAGTTACTGAGCAGGGCCAGGACAGGACCCCCAGCCTCAGCTGCGCCCCCACCCCCAAGGAGGAACTTGAAACACTCACGTAAACAGGAGGGCCCAAAGGTGCCCGAGGGGCAGCAGAGCTTCAGGGAATCTGAGCAGAGCCACTGGAAGAGGTCCGGGGCTTCCTGCTGCCTGCGGGGGGGCAGGAGATCTGAGACCCCATCAGAGGTGCGGCCTTCTGCCCCTATAACCACAGAACCACCCGTCCTGGGCCAAAGACCCACGGAATCACCTGACCTTTCCCCATGGGGCAGAGGAGGCAACTAGAGTTGGGGTGAGAGCTCGGGTCCCTACCAGGCCGGAGCAGCTCTGGGTTGTGAAGCCTTAGTTCTAGCGCCAAAGCCCCAGCAGGTCCCTGCCCGGGAAGGCCCACACCACTCACTTGTGAAACCACCAGCTCTCCAGCAGCTCCTCACTCAGCTCCAGCAGGCGGTGGCACTCGAAGTCCGACTTGCTGCACACGCTCTCCAGCACCTCCACCAGGCGCGTCTCACTGACCCATCAGAGGGGTGGCAGGAATGTGACCCACTCTGCCCCCACCCTCCCAGAGGCCTCCTCGCCCACCCTCCTTGTGCAACGGCCATATGAAAGGAAGTGGACTGGTCTGGGGGCTGGACGGACGATGGTCTGAGTCTAGCTGTGTGGTCTAGGGCAAGCGACTGAACCGATCTTGAGTGTCTGCTCTCACCTGTGAAAGGGGCAATACCTCCCCTGCAGGCATGCCGTAAGCTACCTCAGCGCCTCCACTGCACAGGGGATCTAATACCCTCACTGGTTAGATATGATTAAAAACATGGCAAGAAGGGCCTCCCTCATAGCACAAGGGGTTAAGTCTCAGCACTAACAAGCTATCCGCAGCCTCTGCAACACAAATTTGATCCCTGGCCAGGAAGCTGCCCACATGGCGCAGCAGACCTCTCCTGTCTCACCCGCTGTCTCCCCTCAGCAGTGTATTTCAGTCAGTCCACCTGTTCTGTTCCCCACTCTGTCTCTGGTGAATCCTCTCACCTCCCCCCACCTCTGGCCTGTACCCCAGTTCTAGTATGCACAAATAAATCTTTAAAAAAAATAAATTTTAAAAAAATATGACAAGTGTTGAAGAGGTGGAAAAACTGGAACTCCCCACCCGCCCCCGCAGCATGCGCACACACCGCTGGTAGGAACGTAAAATGCAGCAGCCACTGTGGAAAAGTTTGGCAGTTCCTCAAAAATGTAGACATAGAATCACCACACTAGCAGTAATTCCACATCTAGGTGTATGCCCAAGAGCAGAAAACAGGCATTCAAACCAAACCTTGTACACAAAAGCTCATGGGAACACTATTCACGGCTGTCAAAAGGTGGAAGCCACCCCAGTGCCTATCAGCCGGGGAATGTGCAGACAAACCTCCTGTGCAAGGAATACTACTCCGCCTTAAAAAGGAACAAACTACCAACACAGGCGACAGCGTGGACGCGCCCTGAAAACCTAGGCAAAGTGACAAGAGCCAGACACGACAGGCCACGAACTACACGATTCTAGGGAATCAGCAAATCCACAGAAAGCAGCCTTGGCTGTCAGGGGAGGCGAAGGAGGGGGGCTGACTGCCTAATGGGCGTGGCCTTTCCTTTTGGGGTGATGACAAATGTCCCGGAACTAGATGGCAGGAGTAGCAGCTGTGAGTTCCCCACTGTGAGTGAACTAAGTGTCCCGAGTGGGGAATCTGGTGTTACATGTATTCTGCCACCACAATAAAAGTTAAAGTATAAAATCGCCGTGGCTATTATTCTCCTGCGTTTAGAGTCTGGCACAGTGCCTGGCTATAAGGGGAGGTGATTCCAAACAAAACCATCATCATCAAGCTGGAAGTGCCCCTAGGGTTTACCTGGCCAGTGCCCTCATTCCCCAATGAGGAAACCGAGGCCCACTGAGGGAGAGGAAGATGGCCCACACCACATAATAACAAGACCCTTCGTTGCTAAGGGGCATCACAGTTTAATCCTTGCTGAATGGGTGCAGAGCAGGTATTAATATCCCCATTTTATTTTTTTTTAATTTTTAAAAAGGTTTATTTATTTATACATACAAGAGCTAGGGTACAGGCCAGAGATGCGGGGGGTGAGAGGATTCACCAGAATGGGGAGCAGAACAGGCAGACTGACTGAAATACATTGCTGAGGGGAGCAGCAGGTGAGTCAGGAGAGGTCTGCTGCGCCATGTGGGTAGCTCCCTGGCTGGTCGGGGATCAAACTCATGCTGCAGAGGCTGTAGACTGCTTCATAGTATGATGCTTAACCCCTTGTGCCACCAGGGAGGCTCCAATATCCCCATTTTAACAGAGTGGAAACTGAGGTTCAGAGAGGTTATGTGGCCTTCCCGAGGGCACACAGGGGCAGGACCCGCAACCAGCGCTGTCCGCCTCCAAGTCTTTGTTAATTGCTTCTCCCTGACTTGACTTTGACAAGCTAGAGGACCTAGGGCTCAGGCCCATCCTCTCTCCAACCTCTCCCTCTAATCACGCCTCTTCCAAAACGAATGCAGATACAAGCCCACCTGCGGGCGACTCCCAAATTCATGTCACCTTTTCCTACAGCTCAGGTCCCTGACCTAGTAAGCATCTGATACTCTATTTTCTCTCCCTTGGCCCATGTGGATCCACCAAGTGCTACTGGTCTGCCTGCTAGCGAGACTGTGCAAGACTTCACTTGACCTTGCCCCCCAGGTGCCTCACTAGCCCAGGCTGTCTTCTTGCACAGTCTCCATACTGGCCTCCCACCTGTTCCCCCTGCTTCCTCCCTCCTGGCCACCTAGGGTCTGCTGACTAGCTAGTAGTGTGAGCGATCTCTGAAAGGTAAGATAAGACCATATCACTTCTCTGCTCAAAACCCGCCCAGTGTCTTCCCACCACTCAGAAGGAAACCCAAACTCCTGCCTGTGACCTTCAGAGCCTGGTCCTCTTCCCTTCACCTCCTACCACTCTCCTGTTCATGGCCCTCTCCCCACTTCTCCATCACACGGAGCTCGGCCTCCTCTTTGCCCAAATTCCTTTCCCAAAGGCCACAGGGCTTGCTTCACTTCAGATCTCTGTTCCAACGTTACACTTTGAACACCACACTCCCATTATTACTGCTCTTGACTCGACATCAGCTGGATGCGTATGTGATCCCCAAGAGTTTCCAGGCCCCTGCCCTACAGCAGAGGTTGGGAGCTGCGGTAGGCACACTGCCCCAAGCCCTTACCTGTCTTTGTATTTGGACAACTTCTCTTCCTCCCAGGCGGTATTTCCACCGCCAAAGTTGTCGCGGATCGTTCTCTCCAGGCCCTGGAGGTGGAAACGAGTGTAACTGCTAAGGTTTCTGGCACATTCCAGCGCTTCAGTATTTCATCGACCGGCAGACAGACGCACACAGCCAGCCGGCCCGGTGCCTCACAATCAATCAGTAGACTTTCACCCCGGGGCGCCCCGCTCGCCACGGCCGGGAGAGTCTTGGGGGGCCCTGTCATGGGCCTGCCGGAGCACCCACCTTGTTGAAGCTGTCCACCAGTCCGCGGCATGTGTGACACGGGTGGGGCTCGGCCGGGGGAGCAGAGTGGGGCAGCGGCGAGGGCTGGAGCCACACGGGGCCTGGGAGACTGAGGAAGAGGCTCAGGCCGCAGAGCAGGGCCAGAGGCAGGCCCCCGGGAGGCCGCAGGGCCATTTTCCCAGGCTGGCAACCTGTGCGCGGGGGGAGGGGAAGGCTCGCTGCGGGAGCCGGCGAGGAAGAAGTGGGTCGGCCCTGGGGGCGGGCGCCCGGACCCAGGTTATTCTAAGCAGCAGCGGCGCGGCCGGGGCGGGCCCGGGCGGGGGCCGTGGGAACGGAGCCTTCTCCGCAGTGCCGGGGCGGGCGGCCGTCCTCGCGCCGGGCGCTGGCGAGGGGCGGGGGCAGCCCGCTGCTTCAGGGTCTGGCGCGGGCGAGCCGGGCCTGGCCGGGCCGGGTCGGCACCACCCAGGACCAGCGGGCCGGGCCCGGGGGCGGGAGGCCGGGAGGCCGGATGGGCGGGCGGGGGCAGGAGTCCGGAGCCCGCCGGCGGGGCGGAGCCCGGGTCCGGACGTGGAGGGCGGGGTCGGGGCCGGGTCTGGGCCCCCGACGCGGGGCAGGGCCTGGAGTGGCGGGGCGCGGGAGGAAGGGACGACCCACCGGCCCGGCGCCCGGCTCAGGCTCCGCGACGCCGCCGCTGGCGTCAGACGTGCCCCGGCGGCGCCGCAGCCCGGGGGGCGGGGCCGGGCCGCAGCCAATGGCGGCGGGCCGTGTGCCTTGACGTCACCCCGCGCCGGCCAACCGGAGGCGGCGCCGGGCTGCACCTGTCGGGGTCAAAGGGCCCGGCGCGGACACACGTGCGGGAGGCGGGGTGGGAAACAGCGTCTGCTTTATTCACGCCCGGGGGCCGCCGCGCCCCCCGCCCCGGCGCCGCCCGCCCCGGCGCCCCCAGGCAGCCGTCCAGCGCGGGCTGCAGCGCCCGGGCCACGCGCTCCGCCCGCGCCCGCAGCCGCCCGGGCCCGGGGGCGCCGCGCCCCAGCAGGGCGCCCAGGAAGGCGGGCAGCTGCGCGGGCAGGACGAAGAGCGGCGCGGCGCGGAAGGGCGCGGGCACGGCGGCCGCGGGCAGCAGGCGGTCGAAGCAGGCGCCCACGTAGCGCCCGGGCGCGCGGCCGCGCAGCAGGTCGGGCAGCACCCCGCCCAGCGAGGCGGCGAAGGCGTCGTGCGGGCCGCGCGCCCCGGGCGCCGGCGCCCCGTCGGCAGCCACTCGCGGCACAGCGCCGCGGCCGCGGGCGAGAAGAGCAGCACCACCACGCCGCCCTCCTGCAGGGTCCGGCGCCGCTGCGCGTGCGCCCAGGCCACGGCCCCAGCGCGCTCAGCTCCCGGCGGCTCCACAGGTCCACGGCCACGCGCAGCGGCAGCCGGCTCAGCGCCGACGCCAGGGCGCCCACCAGGCGCTGGAAGCCCGCGTCGTCGGCCGCGTGCAGCAGCAGGACCGCGCGGCCCCTGGCGGCCGCTGCCGGAGAGAACACAGGGGAGGGCGAGACGTGAGAGGCCCGAGGCCCGGCCCCCGGGCGCCCCGCCGCCCGGCGCGCACTCACCCCCCGCGCCGGCGTCCGCCTGCAGGAGCCTCAGCCACCCTGTTGGGCGAGAGGGGCGGGGGGGGGGGGGCGGGGGGCGGGGCGGGTGAGCCTGGCCGCTGCCCCCCCCCACCGCGGGGCCGACTCCCGGGGTCACCCCCGTCCCGCCCCGGGGAGTGCGGCCGCAGTCGCTCACCTTTCACGCGGCCCTTTTTGAGGAGGAAGAGAAGGAAAAGCACCGCGGCAAGGAGTAGGCAGGCCAGCCACACCAGGGCCCAGCGCCGGTGCACATCTGGAAGGCCCAGGAGAAGATGGGCGGGTCAGGGGCCTCACCAAGGAGGAGAAACCCAGGCCCCCAGAAACAAGCGATGTGCCGAAATCCAGAGCAGCCTCAGACAGGGTGTGAACACGGGCCCATCTGCTTGGGTGACCGGGATGCCTGACTTCAACGTCCGCCTCAGTTTTCCACTCTGTGAACTTAGGGTAATCATAGCGCCCACTCCCGGCTGTGGGGAGGACGAAATCTGAGTGCAGGGAAAGCATTTAACACAAGGCCGGGCCAGTGAGTGGTCCAGGGACGGCCGGTACTGTACCCCGAGCTAGGGCTGGGGCCCTTGACCTCCCTCTCCAGGACACTGCAACAGCTTCATAATTGGTACCCCCCGACCAATCCACTCACCAGCTGGCAGCCCCAAAGATCTTTTAGAAATAGAAATTGGATGACAGTCACCCCAATACCTTCCATGACCCCCAGTGGATGCCTGAAGCCACAGAGAGGACTGACCCCTGTACACTTTCCTACACACACCTGTGGTGAGTATGAGGCACGGAAAGGGGTTAACGGCAATAATAAAATAGAACAGTGAGAACGATACACAGCGATAAAAGTTATGTGAATGTGGTCTCGCTCTCAAAATACTGTACGTGACAGTCTCGGACTGTGGTTGAATGCAGGTAACTAGAATCGCAGAAGGTGAAACCACTGATTAGGGAGGCCCATCATTGTAGTCCTTTGGGAAGCTCCTGCTGTCTGACTGCCTTGGAGTCCTTCCAACAAGCACCCACAGTCTCCACAAAAATGCACCTCTACCCCGCCCACCTAGCTTGGCCTTCAGAGTGAAGCTCAGGCCTTGAACTCCTCCCCTCGCCTAGGTCAGATCCCTGTTCTGTCAACAGCTTTGCTAGTTTACATTACAGCGAGTGCCTCAAGAGCCCTCACTAAATGTGAGTGGTTGTTTAGCAAATGCCTTTCTAAACTGTGGCTGTGATGCAGGCAGGAGTTGTATCTTTTTGGTGAAGTGGGGACCCCCTGCAAACTCATCACAGCTTCTGAATGAATGAAAGGATGATCCTCTGATCTGACTCATCTGAGCCAGAGAGAGCCAAGGCCCTGGCCTGTTCTGCCCCGAGACTGATCGGGATACCAGCTCCTGGTACGGCAAGGAAGGACAGCTGGAATACTTACACTTGTCCATGGGGCAGGCCCATAGTGCACCCAGCTCGTCCTCCCACAGCTGTAAGACACAGACAGAACCAAGTCCAGAGCCCCCAGTTTGGTGTTCAATCCCCACCCCTTCTGCCAGCCCCATCTTCAGATTCCCAACTTCAACTATATCCTCCCTGTGGGGTCATGACAGCAGGTTCCCGCAGGCTGCTCTGCCTTTGCTTACGCTTTGCCTACTGCCTGGACTGTGCCACCCTCCAGATCCAGCCTCCAGCAAGACAACCTTCTCTGCAGCTCCCTGGAGCCCAGGATTAGCACATGGTTATTATCTGTTTACAGGTTTCTAGCCAGCAGTGAGCTACCAGGGACAGAAAGTCCGCTTCTTCCACTCTTAACATGCCCAGGGTTGGGCACAAAATAGGCATAAGCAGAGGGTGAGTGGGTGCTCGAGGGACAGTGAGGAGGCCCCTGCATAGGAAGCGCAAGTTTCTAAGGAAGAGGAGGAAGAGAACATTGGGCCTGCTGCCCTGGGGTGCTGGGGCCGCCCACCTGCCACCTACTCACCTGCAGGCACTGGCCTGACTGCAGATCCTCCAGTAACTGCTCTCCAAGGCGAGCTGCCCTCTGCCGAGCCAAGAGGTGGGGGCTGTCACCTAGGTCACCGCGATAGGTGACTACTAGGTTCTATCTGGGTGTAACGGTGGGGTTGGGGGGCCCGGGAGGCTTTTGAGAGGCAACTGAGAACAGAGCCCAGGTCTGAGTCACCCCCACATTCCCAGAGACCAGCACAGAGTAAGACACAGAGGAGGGGATGCTGAAGAGTGAAATTTTGAGATGGAGGGGGATCCCCTGCCCTCACCGTGGAAGCCCTGTCCAGCAGTGGGGTGCAGCCACTGGGCTCCAAGGCACAGAGTGATTTGTTGTCCTGGGGGCCTCGTGTCTCCAGCAGCAGCATATCATCCTTGGGGGGCCCCAGGGATTCTGGAAGGAGAACCCCCTCTGAGTGGGACTGCCACTGGCAACCCCCATGACCTTTCAGCTCCAGGAGCTGGCACTTTCAGGGTTCACCCTTGAGGGAACAGCCCTGTCCCAGCCCCCCCAGTCTCACTCACCAGCCCACAAGCACTCTTGCAGCTGCAGCTTCTCCCCGTCACTCACCTGCTCGGAAGAGGCCATGGTTAAGGGCACGAAGAAAAGCAAGACAGACCAGAAAAGAAGGGGCAGGCTAGAGGAGCCCTGTTGGGTGAGGCAGAGCTCTGGACCTGACCTTCGGCACGTCTGGGTTCAAGGCTGGGTGATTGGGAGTCACCCCCCTTTCTCAGCCTTAGCCTTGTGAGGTCATCATGACCCCAAATTAGACCCTGCTGTGAGCCTATGTCCTCTTTCTTTACCAGCCTATCCACCTCACGCACCTGAAACATGCCCGGCGCAGATGCCCTGTGAAGCTTTACTGAGTGTTTTAATAATCACCCTCGGCCGCCGTAGAGAAACCAACGCCAGAGGCGGGGAACTAGTATAATGACAGCACCGACAAAGGCAGCTGCCGTCATGAGCATTTCATTCATGCCGGTCCCCCGGCCAAGCACTTATTTAATCTTCATCACACTCTGGCAGCGGCTGCAGTCGGAGCCCGTCAGGCAGACAGGCAGGGAGCTTGCCCAAGGCTCACGCGCGGTGCAGTCAGCACAGGAACCGCTCGAGAGAGCCCCAGCCTGTGCTCCAGGCCCCAGCGGACTTGTCTGGGGGTCCTCCTGGGGAGTGCCCCCAGTCCAGCGCTCTGGCACCCCCCTTACCTGGACACAGAGGTTAGCATGGCCCTTCAGGACCGGGAACTCAAGGGGCTTCTGTGGAAAGAACAGGCAGGGTCAGGAGACGTAGCCCCCGGCCCTCCTTCCTTCCCCACAGGGCACGCCGCGGCTCCTGGCTTACATTCACAGTCACGTTCTCGCGGGGCAGCGGCGGGGCCAGCGGCTGGCAGGGGCCTCCCCCGGAACCTGCCAGCACAGCGCGGCCTCGGCGGGCAGTGCGCAGGGCGCATCCAGTCGCCAGCTCCGCGGGGGCAGGAGGCGCAACCGGGCCGCCCGCCAGAGGTTCTGGTGTGCACCAGGGTCTGTGGGGGAAGAGGGGGTCACCACAAGCCCTGCATGCACCCTCCAAGTCCCTGTGCCAACCCTATCTCCGCTGTCCGCTCACCGTCCCTGAAGGGGCACACGCTTGTCCTGACGGCATCAGGCTCCAGGGGCCACACCTGGAAAGGAAGCCAGGCTGCAGGTCAGTTCCACCCGCCCCCCCGCGAGCACGCCCGGGTCCTCGGCTGGGCTCGGGCCTCGTCGTGCCGCCCATCTTCCACACTCGTTCCATAGCCAGGGATGCACTTCCTCTCCCTCCCCGCTAACCCTATGCCAACCTCTTAATCAGCTCTCCGTAAATACCTACTGTGTGTCTTAGCACCATGGTAGGCACGCGGGACACTCCGCAATTGAATTCCACAGTCACCTTGTGAGAGGCTACTAGGTGCCGGGCATGTGCTCCGTGTTAAAGACACGTCCATCCAAGTATTCTTTCCATGGATTTTTTTTTTTAAGATTTATTTATTCATACATACGAGAACAGGGGCACAGGCCAGAGGTGCTAAGCACCAGAGATAATATCCTAGCTGTTATGAAGCGCACCCACTATGTGGTAGTAACATGCTTGGTTTGAGGACATTTACAGAACAGTGAGCATTTCGTGAACATCTGTTATGTCTCCAGTGTAAACTAGTGCTGTGCTGGGCAGTAGGGTTTCCCTTATTCAATCAACGCACCTAATTAGCACCCACTACATTCAGGCACTGTGCAAGGCTCTGGAGGAGCTACTACACTTTCACCGGCTATTTCCTTGCTTTCAAGGAAATTACAATTCATAACTGTAGCGAGGATAAAACACATCTACACATTGGATTACTCACTCATTGAGCATCTGTCGTGTGCAAGAAGAAATGAGACAGGTGCCCCAATAAGAGGAAAAAGTACTTGGACTGGGGAGGACAGAGTGTGAGGGGATTGGGAGATGTGGGGAAGCCAGGGAGGGAGGGAACATTTTTTGGGGAAAGAGATGACACTGAGCAGGAAGAACCCCACTGTATGGAAAAGAAGTGAGGGCATATCAGGGTGTGGGAACTGCCTTGAGGATGGTGAGGTGGGTGTGGCTTGATGAGTAGCTCCATTTAGACCTGACAAAGTTCCTGTGAAAGGGAATCATGGGGGCCTTCCCGGTGGCGCAGCGGTTGAGCGCTGGGTTGCGAAGCTGCCCGCAGCCTCTTCAGCGCCGGTTCGATCCCCATCTGCTCCCCGGCCACCGGAGGGAGGGTCCCACATGGCGCGCAGACCTCTCCTGCCGCCCGCTGCTCCCCTCAGCAGTGTCCTTCGGTCCTTCTGCCTGTTCTGCTCCCCGCTCTGGCGAATTCTCTCACCCTCCCGCGCTTCTGACTGTACCCAGTGCATGTATAAATAAATAAATTAATTTTTAAAAAAAAGGGAATCATGGGAAAGATGCAGTGGAAAAGGGTCCCCTGGGGGCCAGAATGCCAGGGCAGCTGTGGGGAAGGGGTGAAGTTGCTGAAACAGTCTAGAGGAGACAAGCTAGGAGCCCAGACTGAGACAGAGGAGAGGGAGGGAGAGTCAGTCACCTTCATATTGGAGGTAAAATGGATGGGCCTGATGGCCAATAAGTGTGAGACCAGAGGGAGATGAGAGAGGCTCTTGGGCCCAGATGCGGCTTGTCCCCTCAGAACCGCTCTGTGAGGCTGACACTGTTTTACAAACAGAAAACTGGCTCGGCGAGGGGACGTGACTTTTCCAGGGTCACACATGGCACATGGCAAGAGTCAGGATTCAAACCGGTCTGAGTTCACAACACATGCTCTGCTCTCCAGGGGGACAGAGAAGGAACTGGGGGGCGGGGAGAGGCTTCAAGGAAGAGGGGACATCTCAACAGGGTCGTGAAGCAAAAGCAGGAGTCCTAGGGCTAGAGGATCAGGACAGCACCAGGGGCAAGCCGCGGGCAGGAGGCACAGCAGCCGAGGTCAAGGAGGGCAGTGACCCGGGAGCCACGGTTTCCATCACAAAGAGGGGTACGGAGTCTGGCGAGGCCAGAAAGCACACCGCGCCACCAAGCACTAACCACCCCCCTCTCCCGCCATCCCCCTGGACTCTGCTCCTACCTGAATACAGAGGCAGGGAAACAGATCTGTGTGGTTCAAGGCAATGGTCTGTGGCCCAGTCTGTGGGACAAGCGGAAAGGGGGGAGCTGGAGGAGACGAGGAAGAGGAGGCCAGCCAGCTGCTGGCAAAGTGCAGGAAGCAGGTGGCCCCGCTTTGGGCATGAGTCACCTTGTCCTCCCTCCTCCAGGGTCTCCTTTGACATCACACTGGCAAGCTGCCCATGGCACTGGCTGAGAGTGGGGTGAGTCTGGGGAGGAGGGGCCTCACCAGGTTGCTGTGCCCTCGGGGTTTTGGAGGGCCCTGGAGCTGGTGCCAGTACAGGGAGAGGCAGAAGCGCTGCTCCTCGGGGACGTCCAGCAGCAGGTGCACCTGGTCGCCATCTGCAGACACGCTGAGCCAGGGCAGGGCTGGGGGGGAGGCAAAGACAGACTGCCCTCACCTAGCCTGCACCTCCAGACCGGGCCAGCCCACCGGCGGGGCCTTGGGTGTCACCTTCAAACCCTGGAGGGCATGGCTTTTGTCTAAATCTAGGGGACTCTGTCCCTGGCAGCCAGGCCCGGGCTGAACCCAGGTAGGTCCCCGTATGTGTCCTCAGTTAACTCTCCTTGAGACTCTCTGTGTAGCCAGAAGGATCCTAGAACCATCTAAAATATAAGTCATTCTCCGCTCAGGAGCTCTGATGCCCTCTGTCTTACTTCCAAAGGAAGAGCCAGGGTCTTCACTGGCCTCCTTACTAGCATGTGAATGCACCAGACACACTCCTGCCTCAGGCCCTTGGCACTGGCTGTGCCCTAAGCGGGAGCCCTCTTCCTTCAGACACCCACATGGCGCCGCCCTCACATCCTTCAGCGACCCGCCCACCAGAGAGCTTCCCTGCCCACTGCCGTCCCTCTCCCCTGCCTCTTCTCCTCAGCACTGATGGAGGTCCGCCTCTGCACATTTCTCACCTCCAGGTGTTAACTGTGTCCTCGCCTGCCCGCCACCCCCCCCCCCCCCGCCAACCATGCAGCCTGACCGTGTTAAGAGGTCAGGGGATGGGGATTTTGGTCAGTGTTGCTGGTGGATGTAGCGCCAGAGTCTAACTGTCGTGAGGTTTGCCATGTCACAACCAAAAGAAAATACAACACACAACATGAACAAAGCAAAATCTGAACGGTGCATTGGAGAAACCATAACTGTCACTTTTTTAAAACCTTATTTTAGGGCCTCCCCCGTGGCGCAGCGGTTGAGCACTGGGTTGCGAAGCTGCCCGCAGCCTCGGCTGCACCAGTTCAATCCCCGGCTGCTCCCCGGCCACCGGAGGAGGGTCCCACATGGCGCGCAGACCTCTCCTGCCGCCCGCTGCTCTCCTCAGCAGTGTACTTCGGTCCTTCTGCCTGTTCTGCTCCCCGCTCTGGCTCTGGTGAATTCTCTCACCCTCCCGCGCTTCTGACTGTACCCAGTGCTTGTATAAATAAATAAATGAATGAATAAATAAATTAATTAATTAAAAATAAATCTTAAAAAAAACCCTTATTTTAGGGTTTAATATTTTAATATTATTTTGATATATTGGGGGGCACCATAATATTGACAATGCTGTGAGCCTCTAGATGTCCCCATACTAATAAATGTTTGTTTTAAGGACTGATTGATTCTTCTTTATATTCCCAGAGTCTGGCATAAAGGAGGGAGGATGGATGGATGGATGGACAGACGGATGGATGGACGGATGGACGTATGATAGATAGATGGATGGTGGAGGTTGCATGGACAGATGGATGGATGGTGGATGGATGGTGGATGGATGGATGGTGGATGGATGCATGGAGGATGGATGGATAGATGGATGGAGGATGGATAGATGGATGGTGGATGGATGAACGGATGGAGGATGGATGGATGGATGGAAGGTGGATGGGCAGATAGACAGAAGATGGACGGATGCATGTGCTCTGCAAGTTTCTAGGACTTAGCAGCATAGACCTGGAGGCAACAGCAAGGTTCCCTCGCGCACCTCCCTCCCACAGCCCCTGGCCCTAGCCCCTGCCCCTCCCTCCCGCAGCCCCTGGCCCTAGCCCCTACCCCTGCAGCTCTGGATGCTGTCCCGGACTTCGAGCCCCCTGCAGTCTGGGGAGAGATCACAGAAAAGCCTCTAGTGGGGCTGGGGGCTGAGAAAAGAAGGGGGACAATCCAACCCATGGGGAACGTTGGGGTGGGCTCCCAGGCCCCTACATACCACCCACATCCACCCAGTGCCCAGAGCACCTTCCCCAGGGAAGTCGCATCACCTGGGGAGAGGAGGCTCTGGGGCTCACACCCTTGCCTGGGAGTGGGTGGGATTAGGAATGGGGTAAGAGCAGGAAGGAAGTAGCTGAGGGCAGAGAGAACAGGGGGGTCAAGAGGAGGGGGCTCTGGGCTCTGGGGCCACTTACCAGGCAGCTGCTGCGTGAGGTTGACTTCCTGCTGGTACCTGGGCTGAGTGGAGGACCAGATTCGTACCTCAGCCCCCAGAGCAGCCTCGAAGCAGTCAAATACTACAGAGCCCTGCGAGAAGAGGGGTGTGGAAGGCCGGTGGTACAGGGCTCAGGATCCAGGCCAAGAGCTTGGGGGTCCTCTGCACGCACCTCCCACCCCTCCCCTGTCACCCAGCCAATGACTGTGTTTACACCGTAGAGGCTGAAGTTCTGCCGTGAGACTTGCCTTCAAGGGCCCCAGTGCTAAAGCACAGCCCCTCGGTCATGGTGTCCACAGGGCCGGGACTTACTGTTTGAGTCCCTGACCTGGATCCTGTGGTCAAAACTAGGGTGATCAGTCTCCCCAACACAGATGTGGGATGGCCCTCCCCCCCAGAAGTGGTTCTCAGGCCCAGAGCCTCCAGGGTCCTCCCCAATGAGCGGAGCAGCAGATGCAGAGTTTTCCAGAATGCAGGATGTTGGCAGGGGCTGGCGGGAAAGCAGTTGGGCCCAGAGGCGTTATCCCTCCCAATCCTGTGTGACTTTTTGGGCGGGGAGAAGCCCCAACACCCCCCACCACACAGACTTGGGGTGTGGGAGGCCAGGGCAGTGGTGGCCCCCACATTCCCCCTCCCAAGCCTCAGCTCCTTGATTTGGAAATTGAGGGCACTAACGGCGCGTGTTCATGGGATAGTCTGAGGATCACAGAGAAGGGAAAAGACGAGCCTGCTGAGACCCTTCAGTCTGCCCAGCACCCCCGCCCCGGCGCGCGGCACGCGTCCACGCGGCGAATTCTCACTACTGTCCTTGTCCCCACTTTCTAGACAGGAAAACGGAGGCGTCCACGGCTGAGAGGGCTTGCCCAGTGCCCTGGTCGCAAGCAGCGCTTAAAGAGGCCACGCAGGGGAAGGTTTTGCCAGGAGGCGGCGGTGGTGCCAGCGGGGGTGACGCACATACCACAGACTGATCGGGCTGCACCAGGGCAGCGGGCGCCTGCACCTCCAGCAGGACGCAGCGTGAGATGGGGATGGTCTGGAAGGACAGGACGACTTGGGCCTGCAGAGAGCCTGGGAGGACAGGACAGAGGGGCGGTCAGGCTGTGGCTGCCGAGGCCCTGGGCGGCAGGGCGGCTGGGCCGGCGCGTCTCCTCACCGTTCCTGGGGTCCTCGGGCGCTGGGTCTGCGGCCGTCTCTCCCTCGTCTTCCGGCCCTTCCCAGTGCCCTGGAAGGAGCCCAGAGCAAGGCCTGTTCTGACCCTCTGCCCAGGCAGCCTCTGAGTTTACAGGCCCTCCAGAAAGCCCAGTGCTGGGCAGCAGGGGCCAGGCCTGGAGCCTGGCGGGAGGGGGAGGCTGGCCAGCGTCCTCGGGGAGGACCTCACAGGCATCCCAGACACACTTGTGGTGTGTGCCCAGCCGGGATGGCTCACCGTGCACAGCCAGGTGGACAATCACGCGCACGCACAGGTCACAGTCGGACTCCTGGTGGCACTTCTGCACCAGCTCTGTCTGCAGGCGCGTGGGCGCCAGCACGGGGCCCGGGGCCTGCTGGAGGCTCCCAGGCAGGCACAGCAGGTCGCCATCTGTGTGTGAAGGGCGGGGCCGGAGCGCTCTGAACCCAGAGTGTGGCTGCACCTGACACCCCGGAAGGGCCAAAGAGCTCTGGGCCAAGGGTGGGCTATGAACCGGGCCTGGGCAGCTCCCCTCCCTCCCACCCCTCTGTGAAGTCCTTTTCTCTCTAAAGTGGGAGTACTCACCCCAGAGGTGGCAGGACAGGCCCTGGGAAGGAAAAGGAGAGCCCCGTTTATGCCTCAAAGCCAATAATCTTCATCTCTCCCTGCTGGAGAAGATCCCGCCCATGCCCACCTCTTTCTGGGACTCCCTAGTCTAGGCCCCGCCCAGAAGAAGGAAGACCCAGCTTTTGCCCCCTCCCCGTGGGCCTTGCGCTGCTCCAGCAGCACCAGACAGACCAGCCCGGGCGGTTCTGATAGTGGTGGCAGTGACAGGAGCCAAGTTAGGGACCTGACAGGCCCGCAGACTCAACCCTGAGCCATTCCCCCCACCCAGGCCCCCGACTCACCGGAGAGCAGCGGGCAGTGTCCTCGAGCCCCACCAGCCTCTCCAGAGAGAGGACCACTGGGCTCCGGCCTAGTGCCAAGGACAGCAGGAACCAGGGCACCGGCATCTTCCAGGTGCTAGGTGGCACCCAGGCCTGAGGCCCTGCCTGCCCCCCCAAGGGGGGGGCAGACACCCCACGGCTGCTGCCACTCAGCCCCGTGCCTGTGGGTTGGAGAGGCCAGAATCCCTCCCCAGCCTCAGGTCCCCGGGCCTGGGGCAGGACAGCCGCTCACTCCCGGTCCTGGGAGTCTCCACTCCTTCCCAGTCCCAGCCGAGTGCTTTCGTTTTGGCTCCTGGCAGGCAGCCGGCAACTCCCGCCCCGCCCTGTCCCTCCCACCGACTCCAGGCCTGGGAGCCTGCAGCCTAGGACTGGGGTGGTGGCCTCGCCTCCTCCCTCTTTCCAGTCTCCTCCTCTTCTGCCGGGCGAGAGCGGCGCCCAGGAGGGTGGTGGCATCAAGGTTGAAGGAGGGAGCTCTGGCTCACCAGGGGATCCCAAAGGAGGAGGGCTCTGAGGATGCACGCAGCGCCTGGGCAATCCTGGGCCATTTCCGTTTTCCGTGCCAGTCCAGGGTCTTGGTGCCCACTGGGTCCCTTCCTGGGCACCCCAGTTCCCATCACATACTCCCTGGGCTTCACTGACACTTTGGGGGACAGGAGCTCTAAAAGCAGGGATAAGGGACTTCTCAGCACTTCCAGGCCCTGCTCCAGTGGGGTGTAGGACCAGGACCTGGCCCAGCCAGGTAGACTGGGGTTCAGGGGTGCTGACACACTCCTTTCTGAGTCGGTGGCCTCTTGTCCTGCAGTGAGGGTCATGGGGAGTCCCAAGGCCTTGCCTGCCTTTCTGGAGCACTGCTTGTGAGAATGCGTGGGTGAGGACACAGAGATTTGCACAACAACCCCCCTCTTCGGGACCCCCCAACCCCCAGAGAAGCACATGTGTTTCTTACTTTCTTCATCATTTTTGCCTTTATTCACCTTTCTCCGCCTCTCTACTGTCTCACCTTTGCCCTGGGCAGCCCCGACAAACAAAATGTCTTCCTCCGGGTCCAGAGTCTCCTCTCCCACCCCCTTGGGTAGGGTCAGGGAAAAAGGGGGGGCTCTGATCCCAGGGGGCTTCTCCCACCCTCTACCCCCCTCGCTGGGGACTGTCGGAGCCCAGCTCCCTCACCACCACCAGGGCAGCCTCACGCGCCAGACCTGGAGCAAGTGCGGCTGTCCCTGGAATTTTGGGGGCGAGGCGAGCGGCCTCCCTCCTCCCTCAGGACGGGCTGGGGGCGCTCTCCTGGGGGTGCCTCTCCCTGAGACCCCCAGAGCTGGGGGCGCTCTCCTGGGGGTGCCCCTCCCTGAGACCCCCAGAGCCGGGTCAGCATGAGGGTGCGGAGGTGCTGCTCGGGCTGGGGACAGCGAAAAGCCTTCGGGGTGGCCGTCCTCGAGGTCCTCCAAGGACCGCAGGGCAGGCGGCTCCCCCTGGCTCCAGCCGGTCCCCGAGCGGGCGCCGGCACCTGACGGCTCGGCCTGGGCGGGGGGGGGGGGGGGGGGGGGGGGGGGGGGGCAAGTCCCGCGGCCTCCAGCTCCAGCCGGCGCGCGGCTCAGGCGGCCCCAGCGCGGCCCGGGGCGCGCAGCAGGCGGGGCCGGGCGCGCAGGGCGTGGGGCGTGTGTCGGGGAGCGGGGCGCGCAGGGGCGCGGGGTGGGGCCGCCGCCGCCCCACAGCAGCAGCACCGCCCGCTCCCGCGCCCCGCGCGCCCTCCCACAGGCCCACGATGCCCGCGCGCCCCGCCAGCGCCCCGCGCCTCCGAGTCCGCGGCGCCGGCCTGGAGCGGGAGCACCAGGAAAACAGGCAGATCGCGTAGATAAACCCTCCCAGAGCGGGAGCACCGGGTCCACGCAGCCCCTTCCTGCCCGGGTTCAGGGCGCACCCTCCCTACCAAGGTCCTTCTCAGCGCCCTAGCACGGCTCGGGTACCCAAGCACTCTCGCCTGTGGGGCGCCTTCGGGCTAATTAGATAAAGGAAGCCGAGAGGCGAGGGCAGGTGCAAAGCCGCCTGGATTTCCGCCCCACTTAGCCTCTCACCTGGCGACAGCGGTGAGCCACCTGCACTGCGTGACCTCCGCCCTGTCCTCACCGTTGCCTCCCAGCAGACGCCCGAGGTTGGGCGGGCCAGCTTGGCAGGGAAGGGGGCCTGGGCAGTCACCCCAGGTTGGCTCAGGTCACCTTACCCGACAGTGGGCGCTGGCAGGCGAGGACCAACACAGTGCCCAACAGGCCGGTGAGGCCCGCGGTGCCACATCCAGAGTCCCAGTCGTCTGTGAGAGACTCGGCCCTTCAGCAGAGGCTGGCTGGGCTCCTCAGCACCTCACCTCCCTCTTGCCGACTCCCACTGTCCCCAGAACTCCCCATCCAGAGGCGCTTCCAGGCAAACGGGACATCTGACCTTCACACCTGAGGGTACAGAGCCCCCCCAATGCCTGTGCGCCTGTCTCTCTCCTCCCAGGGGAGTTGAATGAGGCTGGGGGTGCAGGGAGGGGAGAAGCCACTGGGTGGGAATCCCTCCAGCACAGGGTGGGCATCTGGCCCCGCTCCAGGCCAGGCTCAGAACAAGGCAGGCCCAGCCCACTCAGCAAGTGAACTCAAAGTTGTTGGGATGTGGGTGAGGCCTGGCGGAAGGAACGAGACACGGCCGGGCTCCAGCCATTGTCACGGGCCTGAAGGTGGACAGAGCGCAGGCTGTGTCCGCTCCAGCAGCTCACCCCTCATGGACGAGAGACCTCTCTTCCTGTGCCCTCCCTTTCGTGCCCCCCGGGTGGCAAGGCCTGCTCTAGCTAGTCCAAGGCAGTTGCAGCCTACACCTCAGGCTTATAATGAGGGAGCCGCCAAGGAGGCCAGTCAGGACTTTCAGGGTCACATGGACCCCAGCAGTGACCACAGCTTCCACCATGATGCCCTCGAACACACAGTGAAGGCCGCTGCCGCTTCCGCCCCTGTGGGCTGCGCTGGAGGCCAGTCTGCACTGAGGGAAGCTGGATTTGGGTGGGGCTGAGCTTGGGATGCCCAGTGCTCAGCAGCCCCTTCCACCTCTGCGCCCGCGGGCAGCACAGCCACGCCGGCACCAGGCGCCCAAGCACCTTGTAACTCCCACTCCTTTGAAAACCAGATGTGCTGGACGTGTGCTTGACCGCCTGTGGCATCCGGGGGACCTCGGAGTGGAACCCCGGTCAGCCCACAGCTCCCCGCTCACCTCTGCGCACAGACAGGGCAGGAGGAACTCGTAAGGCAGGTCCACAGCCCGCCTCCCCTCCCCCCGCAATGGTCTTCTGGTGACCAAGCAGCTGGGGAGAGCAAAGCCTGAGAACAGCACTGGCTCCTGGACAGGGGCAGGCGGCAGCTGGGACCGGCCACCACCCTCTCTTCCCTCTTGCAGGAGACTTTCGTCTCCCAGGCCCTGGCAGCGGGCATCTGCGCTAGAGTCTGCCCGTTTGTTCTAGGTGCCTCAACACTTGGGGTGGGGGAGGGGGAGCCAGGGGAAGGAATACACCATTTATTGAGCTCCCATTGTGTGCTAGGTGGGCGCTAGGTGCTGGCAGCAGGAAGTCAATTAATTAAAATGCTGGCATCCCAGTGACCTTGGGAGGGGCATCTCCAGCTTGTACCTGAAGCCAGCTGGGGCCCCAAGGGCAGTGGTGGCAAGGGAGGTGGAGGCAGGGCGTCGGCGGGGCGGCGAGCATGGGATGGGGGCCCAGCCACTTTGTTGTCTTCTCAGGGGGAGCCACTCCTTGGGGGCAACGGAAAAGGCTTTTCAATACTACTGAATCACTGCGGGGCCTGGCTTTGGAGGTGGCCACCGCACGCCTTTTTCTGCTTGGGACTCCTGGCGCCCCAGGTCTCGTTCCACCCCTTCCGCCCTCCTCCCAGGCGACAAGGCTCCCTTGTTTCTGTCTAGTCTGAAGAGCGGGACCTGGTGCCAGATCCCTTCCCGCTGGGCTCTTCGGACTTGTGAGGCGTCTTGAACGACCATCTTCCTTCCCTGACCCTCAGTCTCCCCATCCGTTCAGGGGGTAGGTCCTTTGGGCGCCAGCTCCTGTAGAGGAGTGGACATTCCATGCCTGGACATCGAAGGGACCGCTCAGCTCTTCACACTGGTGACAAAGACGCACACTGGCCTCGGGGCCTGGCTGCACCGCCCCTCCAACAGCCCGGGCCTCGGGCAGCAGGTGGAAGGGGAACTCGGGCCCTGGGGGGAAGGGGACTTAGTGGCCTCATCTTTCGGCCTCGGCGCAGGCACCACTACTCGGCTGGGCCCATCTCTGCTCACCCCCCACGCCTACTCCATGCCTTTGGGAGCCAGGTAGGGAGAGACTTTCCACTGCTTCTGGACTGGAAAGCTGGGTCCTGCTGGAGCACAGCCCCTTGTGGGAGAGGTCTGCAGAGGGGAGGGAGATGTGATGGCCCTTCCCAGATGTGCAACAGCTCCCCAGCAGCTTCCTCTGTAGGCAGAGAACAAGCTTGGCCTGAGGCTGGGAATCAGGATCTCCGCTGCTTCTCCTGCCTCTGGAACCTGGGGTGCCACAGGCAAGTTGCTCAACCCTTCCATTTCCTTAATTGCATAATAGAGGGGGCTGATCTATTTCAGCTCCACACTTTCACTGTCTCCCACCAAAGAGGGGCCAGAAAGGGAAGGGCTGTGGGCGCAGGGGTGGGCCGCTGGGCAGGAAGCCACCTGAGCAGACCCTGCATCTTGCATCTCCCACAGAACAGGAACCTGTAAGACTTTGGGGATTTCTGTGCCAGGAGACAGAAGCGGCCCCGCTGGAGGCCTGTGTGGGGAGCACACACCATGCAGCTAGTCATTGCCCCTCCCCTGCCTGGAGATGTGGCCCAAGGTTGGACAATGAGTCATTACAGACAGAGGAGAGTGATTAATGGTAACAGGTTCATGGTCTGGAAGGTGGACACAACGATAAAGAGGCAATTGTTTAAACAGAGAAAAGCTCTATGTGCATATAAAGGTGTCCATGGGAGCAGAGTATCAGGGTGCAGTACGCACCAAGCAACAAGCACCACAGGAACAGAGTTGAATAAAGAAGGACTTTCTCTGCAAACAGCAGGTAATAATAGTAGATTCATAGAACTAAATGAGGTTAAGTCTCAGGGCTCCATGGCCTGGGTTCGGTGGCGGCCAGGGAGCTACCCACATGGCGCAGCAGACCTCCCCTCAGCAGTGTATTTCAGTCAGTCCACCTGTTCCGCCCCCCACTCTATCTCTGGTGAATCCTCT